CAGTCAGGGTGAGATGTTGGTTGAGAAGAGCGTCATCACACGTTTCAACCAATGAGAGCATTGGTGGTGGGTCTGGTGAGAGTGTGTGTGTGCGTGTATGATTAATATTTAAAATAATGATGATGATGATGGCAGCAGCAGGTGTCTGGACCAGGGTCCAGAAGGAGCTACGAGTCCTTCTAGAGAAGCTCAATTAATGATGTGCATTAATAAAACGTGGATTATTGATTATGTGTAAGAGAGCGTGAGAGAGGAGCTTGGTGTGTCCTAAGAAGTCCCCCGGCAGTCTAAGCCTATAGCAGCTTAACTAAGGGCTGGTCCGGGCTGACCTGAGCCAGCCCTAACTATAGGCACAATCAAAGAGGAAAGTTTTAAGTTTTACTTTAAAAGAGCTGACCGAATCTGCCCCCCGGACTGAAAGTGGAACCTGGTTCCACAAAAGAGGAGCTTGATAACTGAAGGCTCCGGCCCCCAGCCTACTTTTTAAAACCACAGGAACAACAAGTAACCCAGCATCTATGGAGCGCAGTTGTCTTGTAGGGCAGTGAAGTGTTACAAGCTCTTTAAGATACGACGGTGCCTCACCAGCAAGTGCCTTGTAGGTGGCATCTAGAATACTAGTAAAGACTTGCTAATTAACAGAAAGACCTCCTTAAGCAGCTTAGTCGGAATCGGATCCAAGAGACAAGTAGAAGATTTAGACTTTGAAATTATAGAAGTCAGTTGATCAACGTTGATGGAAGAGAAGGCATCCAAGTAGGTACCAGGACCCACTGCTGCATCCAAGGTTCCTACACCGAGGACGGGTCGCCACTGGTTGATGGCATCAATTTTCTCTTTGATAGTCAGAATCTTATTGAAGAAATTCATGAAGTCGTTACTACTGAGGTCCAAAGCCGTGACTCTCTGTCAGTATGGCTACAGTGCTGAAGAGAAACCTGGAGTTGATATTTTAATGGAGTTATTTTTATGATATAATGATGAGTAATAAGATGCTCTTGCGTTACGGAGAGCCTTCTTAGCGCCACGTCGACCTATATCTTGAGGCAGGGCACTGAACTTAGAGCAGAAGGAATGGCTTCTTTAAATAAGGCTACAGCGGTATCCGATAAGCGTCGACTGTAGAAACCTTTGGCGGGAGGAGGTGGTTCTGATAGTAGAAATTCAAAGGTTATCAGACAATGGTCCGACAGGAGAGGGTTCTGTGGAAAGATTGTTAAATGTTCAATCTCAATCTCATACACAAGAACCAAGTCGAGAGTGTGGTTAAAACAGTGAGTTGGTTTATTTACACACTGACAGAAACCAATTGAATCTAACAATGAAAGGAATGCAGTACTAAGGCTGTCGTTGTCCACATCCACATGAATGTTAAAGTCACCCACAATAATTACCTTGTCCGTTTTAAGGACCAAACTCGTTAAGAACTGTGAAAATTCAGAAAGAAATTCTGAATAAGGACCTGGGGCCCTGTACACAATTACAAAGAGAACCGGCTGGATTATTTTCCAGGTTGGTTGCGAAAGACTGAAAACCAGGCTTTCAAATGAGTTATAATCCACCTTAGGTTTAAAGTTTATTAAAAGGCAGGAGTCATAAATAGCTGCCACTCCCCCCCCTCGGCCTGTGCCTCGGGGAATATGAGTATTAACATGACTCGGAGGAGTCGCTTCATTTAAACAGAAATATTCCCCATTCAACAACCACGTTTCAGTAAGACAAAATACATCAACATGGTGATCTGATATTAGTTCATTTACCAAACAGCTTCAGATGACAGAGATCTGATATTCAAAAGACCCCCTTTAATTCTCCTATTTTGTTGCACTATTGCATTATTAGTTTTAACTTTAATTAAGTTATTTACTACAACTCCTCGGTTGTTTACCTTTAACTTAGATAAGTGTGTCCGTGGGGCAGACAAGGTCTCTATAGGGTTCATTATGCTGAGTGACTGCTCAGATGAAGTGTGTAAGACTGCGACTCTGCTTCCATGTAAATAAGATAAACTGCTAGTTTGAAATAGGAACTGCTGCTAAAAAGGCTTATATGCATTTTATACCTTTTCATTGTTTTTTGTGAGTCTCTGAATAATAACATACAGACATGTTGACACTACAGGTGACAAGTTATAAACACTAACTGTTATAAATCAACATGAAACTCTGATTACTGACTTTTAAAACATTCTCATGTATGATTTCAGAACTATTGTTATTATTTCAGTATTATTGTTGTTTCAGTACTATTGTTGTCATCTCTATTATTTTTATTATTTCAGTATTATTATTGTTTCCTGGGTTCTATTATTATTATTTCACTACTATTGTCATTTCCTCAGTGCTATATGCTGCCATTATCCCATTATGATTGTTTTCATCATCATTGTCCCACCACAGATTGTTTTATTGTTTCAGCTCCTGCCAAAGAGTTGGATGTTTGGGTCCCTGAAGCCGCTTCAGACTTTAAGTCCCTGAGAGTTTACTGGAAGGTACATTTGGAATCTTTCCTTGCTGCAAAGCTTCGTGTGTTCGTGCAGCACCGTTTAGCTACACGCGTGCTAACGCTGCTCGCCGTTGTCTCATGTTCTCTCTCTCACTTCGGTCTGTGTGGGCGTGCGGTGTCGTCGCTATAGTAACACGTTCTGATCTTCCTGCCTCATTACTCCTTTTTGCTCAAACTAAAGGTCGACTCACCACTACTGAGGTGTGACATCGTCACACACATCCCCCACTCACACGCACACACATAAACCAACACACACACATCCGTGAACCTGACACCACAGTTTCAGTTTTCAAGAAAAGAGGAGCTGAGGAGAAATGATGAGTTTGACTAGTTGACATCCTGTAAAGAAGTAACGCTTTAAATCCTCGCTGTGACTGCAGCCGCTGAGCGTTTCCTCGGCTCGAGGGAGAATCCTCGGTTACACACTCCGTGTGTCTGAATCCAACTTCATCTACAACGTTAGTGCAGACGTATCAAACCGTACGGTGACCTTCTGTGAGGACTGTGAAGTGACAGTGTGGGCCATCAACTCCAAAGGAAAGTCTCCCCCAGCCACCATTACTACTCCTCACAGGAAAGGTGAGAGAAATGCAACAACAGCACTGCTTCATTAATCATGGATATGAGCCATAAGAAGAAGCAGCAGCAGGCTGACGATGTGCTTCTCTCCTGTAGTGAAGCCTCAGGAGGTGCTGCCCCCTCAGGATGTTCATGTAACAGGCGCAGGTGACCACAGCGTCTGCATCTCCTGGAGGAGGCCTGACTCCTCCCCTCTCCTTGCAGCCTACGTGGTGGAGTGGTACCGAGAGGGCAACAAGATGGAGGATCTCCAATGGGTCCGACTAGGCAGAGATGACAACCACACCGTAGTTACAGGTTAGACATGTAGAGTTCACTTCATCTATTGTTCCCTGGCCACATGCTGGACACTGTGGGGAGTTGAAAACTGGTCCTGAACCAGTCAGCATTGATACTGGACCTCTATACCAGCTACTTTCTACAACCACAGAGAACATTGCTGTTTCTTCATAGTTCACTGGTGCAGAACTAGATGAATCCAGAACCTGGTCGACTGGAAGAAGCACATTTTCAACGGGTGGCGGGTGGGACGTGAAAAAGCGAATGGAGCAAAGCGAATAAATCGCCAAAGTTGAAATATTCCAACTTTGGGCAAAGAATTCCCGGGCGCTGACTCGCGAAAGCCAATCAGCGTTGAGATGCTCTGCTCGTCATCGCCGCCGTCCGGGTGCCAGAGCGTTAATCAATACACTTTATGAAGCCAGACACACACAGCTGAGACTGGACAACTAACAGAGACGCACCGAGCCGACACATCAGGTCATCAGACCGGCTGCTGGTCCGCCGGAAGCAGCGCTGGAAGCCGCAGTCATCCAGACGCACTTCCTGGAGGTGATGTCATGAATCCAAACAAGACGGCCTTTGCAGTTCCGACGTTTGTGTAATTCACACAACAAATAAAGAGCAGAAATAGTGGTTATTTTTATGGATAGCGAAAATTATCATAACTGTCTTTATGGAGACGAGTAACCGAGCTAAGCCACGCCCCCTTTCAGTAGCGAATGAAGCGAAAAAACGACAACTAGTCGCGTGAGTAAGCGCAGAATAATTAGAGCACAGTCAGTGTTTTATACTGTTTATTACACACTCCTCCGCTCTCTTCATCCAGTTCTAAACATGGTGCTCAGGTACCATGCTGTGAATGGATGGGGTCCAGCTCCCATCCAGGACCTGGTCCAACCCGACACCCCGACCTCTGACCTCTCCGCTCTGCATGTGATAAACTGCTTGTTCCTCCTCACTGAGAGCAAAACACTCAACTAGATCTCCACTCTTTGCTGTCCTGCTCCTAAGTGGTGGAAGGAGGTCTCTGAAGACACCAGGACCACAGAGAGCCTTCACATCTTCAGACTAAAGACACACCTCTTCAGACTCTACCTCCACTAACACACTAACTACCTGCAGCACTTACATTGGACTTATAATGGTTCTTATCTACAGCAAGTTGTACATCGGCTTATTTGAGGAAATTGAACTTATTGTTTCTTGCTATGGTTGAAATGCACATATTGTCGCTTTGGATAAAAGCATCAGCTAACTGACATGGAATAATGAAATAACAATAAATGCATTAGTGTTTATTATTGATGCTTCCTTTCTTCGTGCAGGTCTGAAGCCCTTTGAGTGCTATGAAGGAGCCGTGCATGTTGTCTACAATCAGAGCTCAGTGGGCAGCAGCAGGTTCCTAGGTGTCTCCACTGGGTCCTCAGGTGAGGTCTCAGAAGAGCAGGACAATGTGAAATCTATGGTGGATTGAACTCACTTAATGAGAACATTAGGAGTCTTCAATAGTTTTCTTGTCTGCAGCTCCGTCAGCAGCTCCGTCGGTGCAGGAGACGGTGGAGGGGAACCAGGTGACGGTAACCTGGACGGAGCTCCCCAGGGGTGAGCGGAGGGGCTGTCTCACCATCTACACCATCTACCTAGAGATGAGCAGCAGTCAACTACCGCCTGGTAAGAACCGTTAAGAGAGACGGACGATTGGATGCAGATTATACATATTATATATTATAAATATCATATGTATATTTAATTGTATTTTTAACAAGAAACTGCACACATGTGATCATCTTGGAGGTGGAACATCACATCACATGTCATTTATCTGACGCTTTTATCCAAAGCGACTTACAATAAGAACATTTTAACCATAAGGACACAAACTCAGAGGAACAAGAAACAAGAAAGTTCAATTTCCTCAAACAAGCCGATGTACAACTTGCTGTAGATAAGAACCATTATAAGTCCAATGTAAGTGCTACAGTTAGTGTGTTAGTGGAGGTAGAGTGTGAAGAGGTGTGTCTTTAGTCTGAAGATGTGAAGGCTCTCTGTGGTCCTGATGTCTTCAGAGACCTCCTTCCACCATTTAGGAGCAGGACAGCAAAGAGTGGAGATCTAGTCGAGTGTTTTGCTCTCAGTGAGGAGGAACAAGCAGTTTATCACATGCAGAGCGGAGAGTGAGGGTCGGGACAGTAATAGTAATGAATATTTAAAATAATAATAATGATGATAGCAGCAGCAGCACGTGTCAGCAGGGCCACGGCAGGAGGCAGGAACAGGGTCCAGATAGAACCGTGATCCATGGAAACCATGAGGCGAGAAAGCACAAATACTATGTGGAAGAAACAAAGTTAGTGATGCACATTATAATGTTTACAGTAATAAAACTGGGAATATCAATGGTGTTAGAAGGGGTAGGTGTCTGTGGGCCCTGCAGGTGTCAGGACCAGGGTCCAGACGGAACTACGATCTACGGAGACCTGCGAGGCGAGAAAGCACAAAAAACTCTGGGGAAGAAGCTGAATTAGTCATGTGCATTAATGAGACGTGGATTATTGTAGAAGGAGACAGTGAGAGAGGAGCTCGGTGTGTCCTAAGAAGTCCCCCGGCAGTCTAAGCCTATAGCAGCTTAACTAAGGGCCGGTCCGGGCTGACCTGAGCCAGCCCTGGTTCCACAAAAGAGGAGCTCGATAACTGAAGTCTCAGGCTCCCATTCTACTTTAAGAGTCTAGTAACAACAAGTAATCCAGCTGAGTGCAGCTCTCTAGGGTTAGGGGTAATATGGTGTTATAAGCGCTTTATATACACATACATATATTCAGTAACGTATGAATATGTTTTCCAGTCTCTGTTCCAGCTGCTCAGAGGAAGTACATCATCAGGAACCTGTCTCCAGCCAGGTACAGTCTCTGGATGACCGCCTCCACTGCGGGAGGAGAGGGCCGCGCAGGTCAAAAGGTCAACTTCTCCATCCAGCGTAAGCAGCTCTCTGGGCTTCTTTTAAATAATACTTATGATGTTATGATGATGATGAAGTTACATGAAAAGATGGAGTCTACTCTCAGGTCTAAATGTGACCCAACGTCCCCATCCCGTTTATAACAAACACACAGTAACTACTCGTAAGAACCAGTGTGAAGTGTCACATTATACATATGAGAATATACATATCAGTCCCTACATATGAACACACACATATATATATATATATATGAGTACTTATGAGAGTAAACATATGAGTACCTACATATAAGTACATGCATATGAGTACTTACATATAAGTACATGCATATGAGTACTTACATATAAGTACATGCATATGAGTACATGCATATGAGTACATGCATATAAGTACATGCATATAAGTACATGCATATGAGTACATGCATATGAGTACATGCATATAAGTGTAATGTAAGTCGCTTTGGATAAAAGCATCTGCTAAATGACCTGTAATGTAATGTAATGTAATATAAGTACATGCATATGAGAACATGCATATGAGTACATGCATATGAGTACATGCATATAAGTACATGCATATGAGTACATGCATATGAGTACTTACATATAAGTACATAAATATGAGTACATGCATATAAGTACATGCATATGAGTACATGCATATAAGTACATGCATATGAGTACATGCATATGAGTACTTACATATAAGTACATAAATATGAGTACATGCATATAAGTGCATTGTTGTGGATTAGTTAATTCATAGTTGTCACTATTTAGTCCTCTAACTCACTGACTATATCTATCTGACTGGAGATGAGGACCCACACATCCTCACAGGGCCTTTCAGTAACACACACCCATAGAACACACTGGAGACCTGCATGAAGTTGATTCACAGAGATTTATTGGAGCACCAACACTGGAATAAACCGAGCTCCTTCAGGAAAGACACCAACGAGGTGATGATTCTTTGACCATTGCATTGAGTGAAGCCCTCCCCTTCGATCCTACCTGCGTAACCCTCCTGTTGGCGTCCCCCTTCCCTCTGCTGAATTGTACCTCACCTACAGGGATATATTATTATAGTTATTTCCCTACTTACCCAATTTCTCTACAACTGATTAGAACATGAATATATGTTGGACAAAAAGAAACATTTTCACTTAACAACATGCATATGAGTACTTATGAGAATAAACATATGAGTACATGCATATGAGTACATACATATGAGTACTGTATGTACTCCACTGTGGATCACATAGAACCGCTTTCTGGCCCAGTTTTAATAGTCCCAGTAATAATAATGGAAAACATGCCTTAAAGCCTAAACATAGTTTTCCTGCTCATTAAAAGCACAAAGAAAAGGTTGTTTGATTGCTCGTTTATTCTCTCCCAGGATCCGATGAGTTAAATGTATAAACACAGTCGTACATCTCGGGGGTTCTGTTTGTTACAGACGAGACCCGACTCTTCCCTTTGGTCCTGTGTGCTGTCGTCGGCCCGGTCCTGATGGTTCTGGTGTGTCTGTACCACAGCTCGGCAGTGAAGCAGAGGTACTATTCTCAAAGAGATGGGCAGCAATAACAACTGAAGACGGCGTCGTTAAACTCCCCTTATTGTTGTCCTCAGGTTCCGGGTTTTCTTTCAGTGCCTCGTGCTTGATGTGGTTCCGGATCCTGCAAACAGCAAATGGGCCAAGGACAGTCTGCAGGGAAAGGTGATGATGTCATGGGATGACATACTAAGTTCTGTAAAGCTCCGAGCGGGAGGATCTAAACATGTGCATCCACAGGGGAAAATGAACCTCCAGCTGCAGCTCAGTAACTCCAGTGGCACCGAGGAGGAAGAGGAGCCCGACCTGGTGGACGTGGAGGAGCTGCTCCTTCCTCCTCCACCGAGCTGCACTGAGACGGAGCTTCTGCATCCTCAGACCAACTACATCAAGAGCTTCTCCCACGACTCAGACAGTTCCGCCCACACGCAGACGTCCTTGGACTCCACCGTGGACTACATCTCATCCCACGGACCAGGACACATGGAGGAGGAGGTGGAGGAGGAGGAGGAGGACCAGGAGCCGTTTGGTTTCTTCCCCAGTCACAACCTGCTCACGGAGCCCATGGAGTTTGGAGGGAAGTTGACTTTGAATGCTGTCAGAATAGACTGTAGTGACTTCCTCCTCTCAGAAGCGTAGATGTGGAGCTGACAGTTGAACTCTGGTGAGATGAGGTCTGAAGACATCTTCAGAGGAAGAACAGGATAAAGAAACTAGACACAATGACTTTTACCTCAAGACACAATAATACTACAACACAGTTCAGGCTGCATGAGGAACATGTTGGGATTCTGCCTGCTTTTACTCATTTATACATCCATCAATAATCTAAATCTTGTAATCACTGTAAATGGTTGAACGACAATAAAAAAACACTTGACTCTATGAACAGATTCTGCATTATTCAGATTTAAACTTCCCATAGAAGTCTACGAGAAAATGACTCCACTTCTCTCTGGATTTATTCCCTCAGTAAACATCGTTAACATGAGTTTATAGTCTCAATCTCTAGTTTCAAGTATTTAAAAAAAAGTTAATTCAGTAAATTATGGTCCATTACAGACCACAAAAGCAGAGGTTGCTGTAGGGCGGGGCTACACGCTGATTGACAGCCCCTAGTAGCCCAAGCTGGATCGAATATTCCTTTTTTCTTACAAAGGTTGCTCACTAAGTGAAATGATCCTGGGGGTCGTCGTGGCGCAGGAGTAGAGAGGGTACGCTGGGAACCACAAGGTTGGTGGTTCTGGCTACCGAAGTGTCCCTGAGCAAGACACCTGAATCTGGTAGTTTGTGTCGTCTGCATGACTCACCCTGTAACACACGAAGCGTCTGATTCTTCGTAGCCGCTGCAGACTGACGTCACTAACAAGCTGATATTTAGTATGAATGGACACAGGGAGATTTTATGGGCCGATCCCTCGGACAGTGAGCGTGAAAGGAGTCAGGAAGATTTTGCCAGACAGGAGGTCAGGGGTCAGGGAGTAGAACAATGTGTCACTCATTCATTTTGTAGGATAAAGCATGTCTGATCACAGTGGGTCAGGATGAGGTGAACACAGTTATGGGAGGAACTACGTTTTACCCCCACGATTAAAAAGTGATGCCATAAAGGGAAATGTCAAAAAACAAAAATGGAATCGTGAAAACATTCAAATGTAGTTTAAGTGGTTGATGAACGTCATATTTAGATGTAACGTAAAAGGTCGTAGAATAGTACATATAAAAAAAGAAACCGATGAGAAAGTCAAAATATATGTGGATTTAAAATGTATTTCAAACTAAGCAGCTGTAATGGTTAAATAATTGTTATAAATGTAACATGACCGTCACGATTTCTTAGTTATTGAGTAATAGATGTTCAGGTCCTTAATATACGGTGACGACCACATGGTCGCCTTTTACATCATTCACATGGATTTAACTCGTTAATGTGACACATTTTCAAAGTATTGTGCTTCTCGATCCTCAAATCAACACGAGTCACTGTTACCGTGGTTACGAGGCATCGTCCATTTGACAAACTTGCTTGGTCAAGTAGTGAAAATAGTAATAACTGACAATGCAAACAATTTATCGACCACCTTTATTCATCGACAGAGGCCTCTAACAGCAGAGCTGCAGTTCACACTTCGTAGAGAACACTAGTTCTACCACTGTATTCCTTTCAGAGCAATTATGCAGAGCAGAGGGGGTCAGCAGGAACAGTTTACATGCTGTGAGGATTTTGGGCAGCGGGAGGACTTCAGCCTCATCTCACTGTGTGGAGACCCGTCCGCTTAAACAATTATGGAGAATCAGAATGATCCTCGGATCAGTACCAGAGAAGAGTAGTACAGGTTCAGGCTCCATTTCACGAATGCATTGGAATACAAGACCTATAATACTAATATAGACCACCTGACACGCTCGGCAGGAATTTATAAAGATAGTACAGGTTCACAGGCCGAACTTATTGAATAGACCTCCTGTATGAAATAAAACCCCAGTGCTCAAGAGAAAATAATCCATAAAAGTGTTGTGGCGTGAGGCTATGGGCGCGTTAGCATAGGAGCTACACACTACCTGGTTCAAAGCTTAAGAAACCCTTATGCTTACATCTCTAACACAAACGATCAATGGGCCATGCATAACCTCTGAAAGAAACACCGTATGAAAACATCCCTGCTACTTGGTTTCGGAGTACAAAACCTCTACCAATAAGCTGCTCCCGAGTAGCAAGAAGTCCTTTTCTCTTTTTGTTTTTTTTTTGTTAATTTCTGTTTTTTTTTCCATCTTCGTTTTGTTTTTATTGGGTAAAACTCAGTCCTCACTTTGAGTGTCATAGTCAATGACATTCTTCTCCATCATTCCACTCTGCTGAAGGATCCAGGAACATGCAGGCCTCGTAGTGGAGGTGCTCTGGAGGCTCCTGTAGGCCTGAGGAACAGCCGCTGGGCTTTAAGCCAGGGCTGGGAAGGCCTCCGGGTCGTCCACGTTGGGCACCGACGCAGACGACTGAGGGGAAACGAGGGGAGGAGTCAGTAAACATGTGGATCAATGAGCTTCATTGGTAACCATCACTGCGGCAACGAAAAGTCATTGGAACTTATTACACATCTGGGCATTAATGACCTTATCAGGCCTCGGCGCACGGACCGGCCTAGTGGCTTCTCCACTGACGGCGCCAGGCGGCCCCCCACCAGTGCCGCGGCCGCGACCCCCTCGACCTCCACGCGGTCCGCCGCGTCCACGGCCCGGACGGCCCAGATCCCCGAAGTTGATCTCCAGCTGGGAGGTGATGTCGTTGGCCGGCTTGCGGAAGTGGTGCTCGTCATCAACCTACAATAAATCAGGTTGCATGATTATTGTTGTTATCGTGGTTGATCCGAGCGCTTATTGTGTGCGACAGTCGAGGTTTTTACCTTCGGCTCCTCGACCTCGGGATCAATCACTTCTTCCTTCTTATCCTGAGAGAGCAACACAAGCATCAACTAACAATGTCTACCGTACATACACACATCCACCTGCAGCGAGGGACTACAGCATCATTGGGTTTGATAATCTTTCACAAGCACTTAGCAAAGTCTACACAGCTAGAGGTGCAATTTAGTGCGGACGGGTCGTACGTACGTTAGGATGAAGACAAAGACACTAAGCAGCTCCACTCACTTCTGCCTTTGACTTGTGCAGCACGAATCCTTTGTTCCAATTAGCTCCCTCGTTGGCCTTACGGATGTTGAACTCCACTTTGGCTCGCTCCTTGTCCTGCACAGCCTTCCACTCATCCAGAGTCATCTCCTTGGGTCCTTCCTCCTTTACCTCCTCCACCTCATTCTCCCTTCAACACAGACACCCGGCGCCACAGTGTTAAAGTTTCACAATCAATGAATCAGTAATCAAGTTTGATGATCAATAACCTGCTGCGTCATAGAGGAAAATCCTTTACTTGTTCTCGGAGTCGGCAGCGGGATGCTCTTCTCCTTCGGGGGTCTCTTCAGTAACGTTTGATTGGTCGAGCTCACTGACAAAAGAAAAGAACTTTAGTATCTGTAGCAAACCAGGATTTATCTATAAATAGATTGACCTTTGTTGCCGTTTACATAGAAGACTTCATATTTATCTCACTTTCCACCCAGTCGCCCCCCTCCCTCACCGAGTGGGGAGCACGCTCACCCTCCCATCAGAAGGTTGGCGGTTCAAGCCCGACCAACCCGCATGTCGATGTGTCCTTGGGCAAGACACTTAAGCCAAACATGCTCCCGTAGGGGTGACGGTCTGTTACTGATGGGCACGTGAGCGTGTGCGAATGACGGCATGAAGACTAGAAGCATTAAACATTTACCATTACTGTTGAACTAAAACATGATCTATATGTAGTTATACCGTAGGTTTCACTTGACAGTGGATTATATTTGACATTTGAATATCAATACAAGGGTTAAGTGTACGGGTGCTGCTTAGGTGTTTCTTACATTCGGCCCACCGAGTTTTTATTTTTTATACAATGGTTGCTGACTAGTTATAAATAAGTTTCTCCTTCAAAGTGACCATGAACCGAATAAACCGTGTCAAACTGCTTTCGCTGCAATGGATTTGAATTATGCATAAATGTGAGATTTAATTCAGTTAATGCACAGAAGCTCTACCTGCTCTCTGGCTGCACATTTTTATGTCAAAATAAGTCATTATGTTCCATATTTAGGAGGAACTTACTTGAGTTCATCCTTGACGGTGCCCCAGTTGTGAGATCCACTTCCACCACGCTTCTCCTCACCTTTCTGGCTACTGAAAGAACCGCAGCTTTAAACACACACAATATATGCAGCGTTTCCCAGGTTACTGCTTGTTTTGGGCCGGCTTATGGTAAACTGAAATGTTGCGGCCGCCCATCAACAATCCACATTTAAGGACATGAAAGTGGAACAGTACTCACGATCGGTCGCTGCCACTGTGTCGGTCAAATTCACGCTTTCCTCTGGAGTCAAAGCCGTCGTTGCGACCGATTCCACGTCCTCGTCCTCCACGGACGCCTCCTCTGGGACCACCACGTCCTCTCATGGGCCGATCGCCAACAGGTCTAAGAGAGACAACATGGTCACATCCAATGATAAGAGACCCTTTGAGTCACATCTACTAGTATGAAGAGAGACAGACACAGATGGACAGTCCACTGGCGTGTAAGGCAGAAGCAGAGATCAACATCTTCAGGGTTTTCTCATTTGAGTGACTAAGACAACAGAAATATCCAACCGCCACTTTATGAGTATGTGACAGTTCGGATGATTTGATTTGTATAGATTCATGTTAAATTCACTGATGTTTGAAGTTTGTCTATATCTATACTTTTATTCTCATTTATTCTTTGGGATTACTAAATTGATCCCAGGTGGATATAAACAAAACTCGCACACACACACATTTCTTTTCTAATAAATATCTGCTGGTCAACAGCTGAACTCACTTCTCCACCGAGAACTCGCCGCCCTCGGGCTTCTCGCCGGCGTCACTGGCAGCGGGCCTCTCGAAGCGTCGGGGGGGCCGTCTGTCCACAGGTCTCCGGTCTGCTGGGGGGCGTCCCTCTCCCTGCCCACCCGGGGCTCTGAAGCCTTCGCCATCCGGCTTGCGGCCCATTCTCCTCATGCCAGCACCTAGCATGGATCACAAGAACAGGATCAGAGGAGCAATGGATCCGGTAGATTAGGACCCAAAGGAGGGAAAGAAGAGGAGCAATTTATGATGATGATCCTTATAATTTCTCATCATTTCAGTCTGACTGATCAGTGCACTCGCTCACTGTATCTATAAGTATTTAACCCTTCAGATGACACACAGCTGACTGCTGCCGTACAACAAATCCCACCAAGCTACCAAAATAGCAACTATCCACCACAGCGGGGCAGCTGGGTGCACAAAGTCAGCGCACCTGTCTCATCTCCTCTCCAGACACACCAACGCGAACCAACGAGCAGCGAACATGGTGGACTTCCGGCACCTAAGTGCCCATGCTCCGGTTCTACACGCAACAGGCTAACAAGATGATCTACGTGGTATCATTAAATGATCACACAATAAGACGATATCTAACGTCAGTGCAGCAGAAACGTTAAACGATCATATAGTAGAATAATAATATATAATGTGGTACATTTCCACAAAATGCCGATCTACAGTACAAAATGTGCATATACTCGACATTATTGAATGATCACACGGAGCATGTGCGCCGATGGGAAGAAGCTTTACTCCAAGTCAACACGCCCAACAGTTCAACCACGAGGTGCATCATCTCCACGAGAGCAGTGCTGCTAATGTCGGACACAAGCACCTGCGAATACAACACGATGTACAACATCGCTCACACACGATTCTTTACGTTACTACGGAACACTTCTTCACCGTAAGGCGCTATCTGATGTTGAGGCAATTTACGTTACCACTCGGGTTATATTTCATGACATGACGTTATTGAAAACTCTACATTGAATATTCAATCTGATTAAAATCCACCCCTCGCTGACTTTAAAGGAATAACACGTTAACTCCTCGAGGCCACTTGCTCGCTTTGAGTTGTCGGGTTCTGCCCGCTCAAGTAGGCCGGAGGGGTTATTGGGGGAGGGTGGCAAGCCACAACAAGTGGGGCCTGCAGACGGTTTAAGATCCATTAGTTCGATCCCCACACATGCTGCTGTTCTAAACATCACCGTGGGTGTCATGATCGAAGCCATTGGAAGCAGCCATGCGGACCTTACGAACAGCTAGCTAGCGAGCCGCAGAGACCGTTAGCATGCTAGCATGTCAACTTCGCTACAGAAGCAGAAAACACAGAAATAAATCTCACCATCTTTTTTCAGTGGGACCGGTGCCTGGCTCTCCTCCTTCTTGTCAGTTAGCGGGACCTTTCTGTCTTTCTGGGACTCTTTCTTCGGCTGCTTGGCAAGCTGCGCCGCGGTCTTGGCGGCACCAGGAGCAGGGGCTTCCTTCTTCTTCACTTCGGCTTGCTTCAGCAGCTCGAAGGGATCCGACTCGTCGTCAAATAGTTGGTCGAACCGATTGGTAATGGCACAGCCAAAACCTTCTTGCATTTGTCCGGGCATGATGGCGCCCCTTCAGCAGGATTTCCCTCCGATTCTACGAGGCTTAGTGCGAACACTTCGCTAGATGAAGCCACAAGATGGCTGTAAAAAGGACCTTCTTCTCTTCCGGCGCGGTAGACATCCGGGACCTCGGCCGAGGTCCCGCATGGGGCCTGTAGTTCTTTTAAAAATGGGAATCGAAACACTTAGTGGCGGTATGTAGCGACGAGAAACTACAATTACCCACAATGCCTTGTTCTTTAGTGTTGCTAGCTTCTGTGACGAGAAGCATGGGTGCTCTCACATCATATTCTGTTGTCTTGATTCCTGGAAGAAGAAAGCTCTGTAGTCCTTATAAATATATTGTATTAAACCGAATGTTCGTTTTAAACTTCCGAGTTTTAAACTTCTGTTTCATACTAGTATTGTATCTTAAAATATTTAACAAAATAGAGCTACAGCAGAGGTCAGTAATTAGTCAGTAATTAGTTTAATAACACACACACACACACACACATATATATATATTTTGAAGGTGCCAAATACATTTCATTGAGACACAACATTGATTTTAAGTAGCTGTATGGGCGAAGTGTGATCTTACCAACGTTTTCATCAAGAACAGGAAGAGCAGCATCACTAGACTTCCTCCTTCAACATGTCAAAAAAGTATAGAAGATATGGAATATATAAATGCCATAGAGGACAATGGGGCGTGGCCCCACCTTGAGTCACACAAAAAAATATATATAATATTTGAAAATTATATTAAAAATACATTTTACAAATAGTCAATATATGTGCTTAGTTGTGTTTTTGAAATGTACCTAGTAATATTTGAACTAAGATATCTGCAAGAAATATATGCTTTTCCTGTGTCCTCTGTACATGTCTCAGCTGGGCTCGGGCTGTGTCCCAAAGCGGCGGGTCTAAGAAGCGGCTTAGCCAATCACTGATGAAGATAAATTAGTGACATATAATTCCAGTGTCCTAAAATACATTCAGATTTGGGCTAGCCCGTCGCCGCCCTACGCTGCGCTCTCGTCAGGGCGAGTCTCGCCACGCGCCATTTAACAACAAATCAAGAGCGACGACGAGCAGTGTCCTTCCAAGAAGACCGACCCGAACTCGGAACGTTCTCTCCTCCAAGACCCGTTTGAGAGAAACTAGAGGTAAAACAACTGGACCCAGATCAGCCTGATCTCACGATCAGACAACGTACCGGCGGGAAAGAGAAGCTTCTGTAGGGACTTGTAGCTAGTTAGCTACGTGCTAAGGCTGTATATATGTGCACGGCGAAATAACATGTGGGCTGCTTAACTGTTTTTTGAAGTGGAGGCTGTTTGACCGCAGAGATAATATATGTATCCTTTAATATAATATATTTTTTATATGATATTCATGATATTTATATTTCCTATTTATAATAGTTACAACATGGTGGTTATATCATACTGAATATTGTTTATTCAGTTTATTGAATATTGTTGCCATATACATATACTGACTTGTATGAATAATTATTATGTTAAACTGGGACTCAAATATTTAACTACAAAGTAATAATGCGTGTTTGATACCTTTTTTGCCTCGAATGATACTGGGATGTTTGCTGAAACTGATTGGTTGGCCCTACCAAAAAAAAAAAATCCAACAGCGCCACTGTATAAATGCATATGTAATAAATGTGTAGTAACACGTTAACAACATCAGTTTTTTTCCATCACAATGTTTATAGTTGTCATGTCATCTAAAAAGTGCAATCAGGATCAGTCCCGTCTCCTCTGTGTCTCCGTCTCACGTTACAGGTGTTGAACCTCCCTCCACCTCCGGAGGGATGAAGCCCTACGGACTGGCAGCCTCTGCCCCTCCCCGGGTGACACCCTACACTCAGTACCTCCTGAGCCTCCGGCGTGTCGCCAAAGCTGCCTCTGAGAGATGCCGTCTACGGTCACCAAAGCCATGGCGGAGTCCTACGGCCTCATGCTCGTGGTCATGGGCTCGTTTTTCCTCTACTTTTGTGCGATGGTTTGGACTTTTTGCAACCCAAGGTTGAGCGGGGCGGACGAGCAGGAGAGCGGCCCCGTGACACCAGCTGGAGGACACGGGAACGATTGCTGTGTGCGTGCGGCACCGAAGCGGCATCTTGGGTGCACCTGCGACGGTTGGCGTGCACCAGCCCCGCGGGACGCCGGAGCCGAGAGGCTCACGCGCATCACGTACGTGAACTTCTGGGACGACACTGATGGTCTGCTGTCAGACTGCTTCTACCGGGAGGAACCGACAACCGGACGGGACCGGGTCCTGAACCGTTAGTGACCCAGCCTTCCATCCCGAGCGCGTCCTCATATAACGTCATCTCTCAGCAGCTCGGGGTCGTTGGCACAATGTGATATAACTAATATTTGTGCTGTGAATTCCTTCTTACAGAGAGGAATACAAGTCTCGCCCTCCCAGTGAGTGATGTTTTGTGATTTTTTTCTGTGCTGACTCTTTCTCACATGTCTCCCATCGATGTCCATCTCTCAAAAGACTCCATGAATTATTTGATTTCATGATTCAAATAGAAGTTAGTTCCGCTCTTTTGTGGCCATGAGGTTGTTTCCTGGACCAGGATTGAAGCTGTGCTTTTTGCTCAAAGGTCCAGGGATTCACTAAAGAGCAGCAGTAATGTATTAATCAATTTGTGCTAAACTGGGACAGCAACTTAGTAATATTAGTAAAAACGTATGAGAGATCAACAGAGAGACAATTCATTTCACATGTGTGTCATTATTCTCAAACACTCACAAGCAAAAAGTCGAGAATGAGGAAAGTGCAAAGGAGGGCTAAGACAAGGTCAGGACCCTGAAGGTCAGGTTATCACAAACAGGACACGAGACGATGATGGAGGGTAAAATAAAAAATTACAGAGCACGTGAGGTGTGTGTGTGTGGGAGGAGGAGCTGGAGGGTTTGAATCAGGAATCAGGAAACATTTATTGCCATGATATGTCAGACATACAATGAATTTGACTTGGCGGTTGGTGCGTAACATACGACAATGGACGACAAGACAACAGTGCATGAGGAATAAAATAAAATATAATGCTATGGGTTAGTTTAAAATAAAAGAATAAAAGTTCCCTCCATCCATCATCAAACCGCTTATCCTGCACACAGGGTCGCGGGGGGGCTGGAGTCCATCCCAGCCAAGTTCGGGCGAGAAGAATAAAAGTTAAACAGTTAAAAATATTTAAAAATTGAGCCAGATGGAAGGGGCACACACAGGTTTTGTCGGGGTGAGAGGGGTCGGCTACCATCTTTTTAGCTGCTTCAGAGACCTGGAAGCGAACGAGTCCTGCAGGGACGGCAGATTGCAGCCGATCACCTCTCTGCAGAGCGGAGGACACGCTGCAGCCTGCCCTTGTCCTTGGCTGTTGGGACATTGTTGGCACTTCAAAACACGTCAAATGATGGAGATACACGCTTTCTAAAGTGATTACTCATTACTCGTAAGATTTAGTCTTTAGAAGAAAAACAAACATTCATTAACAACAACACACTAACAACAACAACATTCATTAATTGTGATTAATTTCAAAATATGCATTGAATTAGTTGTTTAAATCAGCCCTAATATATATATATATATATATATATATATGGTGCTAACCACCACGCACGGTGGCGTGGTGGTTAGCACCGTTGCCTCACAGCAAGAAGGTCCTGGGTTCGATTCCGCCCAGTGGCCTTTCTGTGTGGAGTCTGCATGTTCTCCCCGTGTCTGCGTGGGTTCTCTCCGGGTTCTCCGGCTTCCTCCCACAGACCAAAGACATGCTCTGGGGATCAGGTTCATTGGGGACTTTAAATTGCCCGTAGATGTGTGAATGTGAGTGTGAATGGTTGTGTGTCTCTGTGTAGCCCTGCGATATATACATATATATATATATATATACATGTAATTATAATTATGGTGTTACATTCCTGCCAAACATTATTGATAGTTTCACAAGTACAAAAATATAATACTTCACTTAAGAAAGTTAATACATGTCAGGATTCATCTGCAGATAGACAGTACATAGAATCCTGCCCTCTGTGACCTTCGACCTTGAAAAGTACTATTAATATTTAATGACCTGCTCTATGACAGATGGATCAGTATCATCCATCTGTAGCAAGAGTAGATTTAGTGTTCCTTGAAATTAGACTGTGGATAAAACCATATGGTTTAATTCTGGAAGGAAGTGACCAAAGAGGTTTGTCACAAACGTCCTGTGTTCATATATACGTGTATATATCCACATATAGATATGTATATATTTATACCCATACGTATACATTGTCCCCAGATTTACTTGGACTTTGTCTCGCTCTTGGGACAATAAAAGGACATGTCAAATGAACAACCATCATCAAAGGACAATAAGTGGCACTTGATAACATGTATGTAAATATATATATCATTTCTCAGAGAAAGCAGAAGCTACATGTTTCTGAAACTGCCTAATTAGTTCAGCATCCAAACTGAAGACATAATTCTTCTGTCGGATCTTCTCTCCTTCTTAGCACCAAGTTCTGTTTTGGTTAATGGAGTCACCTTCGTACCCCGTCCCCACGCTGTTATTGGACACTGCTGCAGCTGTCAGCCAATGAGTGCCTGTTATCGTTTGGCTCACTTTGAGTCCCCGCCCACATGAGTCAGATACTCACGGAGAATTTACATTTTATTTGGTTTTTGCCCGTCAATGTAAAAAAACAATGTAATCAAACCAATCCACAAGGCCTCTGACAACCTGGAGGAGCCGCTAAATACAGTATGAAGTTCAAGCTATGATACAAAGAATCCAGCACACATCAGTAAAATGAAATATTAAACAATGTAGAGACATCACTACCTGTGTTATCTTTCATCAACCTATTCCAATCAACACATGGATTATTCCTCTGCCTCCTGATTCAAAGGAAACTATTATATTCTCCTCTATCTTCTATCTGAAGCAGCTAGAAAGATGGTAGCCGACCCCTCTCACAAAACCTTCCATCTGGCAGGAGGCTGAGGTCCATCAGGACTAAGACCTCCCGCCACACCAACAGTTTCTTCCCGTCGGCAGTCGGGCTCATCAACAGAGCCGGTCCCCCACTGACTGACTATAACATCCCACCGGTCACTCTGCTTCATACTGCACATGTCAATTTGACTGTCATTTATCACTTTGTCGTCACTTGTCACTTTGTCACTTGTTTGCTAGTGCACTTTATGCTTAATATTTTATTTTTAACTTTAACTTTATTCCCTTGTTTTATACTAACCCATAGCCTTATTCTACTAAGCCATTGCATTAGCATTTCATTTTATTTTATTTTATTACTTGTGCACTGCTGTCTTGTTGTCTATTGTTACACTGTCTGCTGTCACGCACCAACCGCCAAGACAAATTCCTTGTATGTTTGACAGATTTTGTCAATAAATGTTTTCCTGATTCCTGATCAGCATAAACATGACCAACAATTAGCCGACATCTGATATGTTGTGATGTGTGATGTGATCAACGCAAGACAATACTTGGTGCTTGGATCCAAAAGGTTTGCAGTGAAGTCAGTGAAACACAGAAAAGACTTAAAGGGAATATTAATCCACAAATATATCAACAAAACAGAAAAAAAGATAAAGAATTTGAAGTACATTTTTAAAAGTGCCGAAATGTCACCTGCTACATGTATTATCACGTCTGTGCGTGTTCTAGGGATCATACCACAATAGATCAATTCCTAATGGTACCTGTATGTCTATGAAACATAAAACATGTGGCCGAGTCTTTGCAGAGAGGCTCCATGGATCAGTGTAGATGGTAGCTCAGACCTAACAGGAAGCTTTCACGTTTTCAAGAACGGGGGGGGGGGGGGACGACACGGTCCACAGGGGGAGGGCTCGGACCAGAGTCCGGTTTCTTGGCGTGAGGAATCGGATGTGTGGCAGGAGGGCGTGACTTGAGACCGAAATGCGTGACTGTCACGCTCAATGCGTGACACTTGAGAGCCCTACCTAACAGGAAGCTCTCACCCGGTTCCTTTTCTCCTGAAATCAGCAGAACCTGGGTGGGGTTTGAACCAGGGTCCACTCTTGACTTTCCCTCCAGAGACGAGCCTTCTGGGAGTTCCTGTCAGAAACGTGGCCCGGGCCTACGGATGCATTTCCAGGAGGGCTCTGTGTATTTCCTGGAAGGAGGGCCGCTCCTTGGTATTCCTCCTCCAGCAGCTCAGCATGATCCAGTAGAGCGAGTCCGGGCACAGCTCGGGCTGAGGCAGGTAGATCTGCAGGACACGAAGACCAGGACTTAGGACATGATCCACCTTGGGAGGAAACGTTTGAGGAGACACTTACCTGTCTCTTCTTGTCCCTGAAGAACTCCCCCGTATTCTCAATCACCTGCTCGTCGCTGAGCTGTGAGTAGGGCTGCTCCTTGCAGAAGTTCAGGATCTCCCACAGGGTGACCCCGAAGGCCCACACGTCGCTGGCTGTGGTGAACTTACCCTGCACAAGCAGACATGGAGAGCCAGGTAAACAAGGATTTCAAGGAGGCTAGTCAAATCTTTTGTGAGAAATTTAGTCATGATCTGTTGGTGAAGGAGGTGGAACACATTGCTGAAAGACTGAAAGTATTGCAATATCTATACATTTAAAGTCTGTGGAAACATTTACAGTTATTCTCAATTGTATCGTAAGACAAAATAAATACAACTAAGCACACCATTCTGTAAAATTAATGAAAAGAAGAAGAAGCCTCACGATTGATAAACTCTAAACTCAATGACACCGTCTTCACTCAAATCAAACTGACAACCAACCAGGGGGAAATATTAACAATTAAAGGAATAATTCACCCCTAAGATGACCATTTGTAAATCAGTTATTCATCTCGGTTAATGGATTTGTAGAAAGAAGCCTTCATTTTTCATGCACATCATGATGAACAGAGAATCCGTAACTATATCAGACTCTCATTTACCATTAGTACGCTCACTATGTCTTTACTAAAAGTGTAATATTTCAAACAGCCTGAGGTCTGCACATTAAGCCCCTGCACCCACAGGCCGGTGAGTCTTAAAGAGTAAACTGGATTCTACGGCACACATATTCCTATGAAAGCTTTCCACTGTTTTTGTTTTCTTATTTCATCATGGAGGCGTGAGAGAAAAACAGAGGGGAGACCAATTCATGCTTTACAAAATGCTCCTCACCAGCAGGATGCTCTCCCATGACATCCAGCGGATAGGGAGCACCGCCCGGCCCTGGATCCGGTAGTAGTCCCCACTGTACAGGTTTCTGCTCATGCCAAAGTCAGCTATCTTGATGGTGAAGTTTTTGCCCACCAAGCAGTTCCGCGTGGCCAAGTCCCGATGAACAAAGTTCAGGGAGGAGAGGTACTTCATCCCCGACGCAATGTGAGCCGCCATGTAGCTGAGGTCATTGAAGCTGAGGTGGGGTGAAAGGAGACATTATAAAAGCCAGAGGCAGACCTCAACCTCTCCCACTGGTGTCTCCAACTGACCTGACCGTGGGCGCGTTGCTGAGCAGAGCCAGTTGCCCCTCGGGCTCGTGGTGGGACAGGAACTGGTTGAGATCTCCGTTCTCCATATATTCAGTGATCATACAGAGGGGGTCACTGTAGATGCACACGGCCAGCAGGCGAATGATGTTGGGGTCCTTCAAGCGCGACATGATCTTTATCTCTTTCAGGAAGTCAAGCCTACCAAAACACACCACAAATGTACGTTACTCAGAGATAAATCCGACGCATAGAACCTTTTAAACTCAGGAACATGTGCAGGCTGAGGATTAGGTGCACTGATCTCGGCTCATGGATTCAGACCTTGCATTCTTGTCTGCATCTGAACGGAGCATTTTCACGGCCACTAAAACGGTCTGCTCCTCCGGGATGTCAAAGGAAAACTCCGTATTCATGAACTCTTGCATTCCCTTTGCCTCACACAGGTGCACCTGAAGAGGGACGAGGTACGGAGCATTTAGAGCTCTGCTAGTCCTTCAAGCGTATATTATATGGATTATAGCATACAGAATATAGCTTAGCTTATAAAAGTAGCAGGAAAGGTGACATGCACACACCTCCCCGAACTGGCCCTCTCCCAGCTTCTCTTTGAATGTGAGCAGCTTTCTGGGAAACTCCTCCACGCCAATGTCCTTCCCCGATAACAGGTCCATCACCAGGGTGGGGATGGCGTAGGTGTTGCTGCCGGTCACGCCCTGCAGGTCCACAATGTCCGCCTCCGCGTAGTGAGGGGCACCTTCTTGAACAATAGTAGTTGTGGTGGCTTTAGAAGCTGCAGTGCTGCTTGAAGCTGGAAGACAATGAGAATAGCCATGCCTAAGGCGCCATTAAGAGGAGGGACTGTGTTTATAGGATGTGAAACCTACCGGGCTCCTCCGGCAGCTTACACATGATGTGTGAGGGCTCTTGGTAGTCGGGGACGAGGGGGAAGATGCGCTCGTAGGTGGAGTTAGACTCCTGCTCGCTGCTTGTGCTCGCCTGGTTGTGGGTGTAAGCCAACGTCTCACTCTGTATTGACAAACTAGCAGTTAGTTCATCGTCCAGCATCCGGCGAGAGGCCTAGAATGAAGGACATGAGGGTGTGAAGGAACAAATCGGACCACCTTCCAGAAGCCTGGTACCACTTTGACGCATGCTAGCTTCGGCTTACCTTCTCCACTATCTTCTGCCACACCTGCCTCCAAAGAATGATGACGATGATGACCACGAGGATGAAGATAATGGCCACTAAACAACCAATCAGAATCCGTGTGTTGCTGTCATCTACTTTGTGAGTGGGGTCATCCTCTGGGAAGAGTGGGACAAGGACATACACTTTTTACTGTGTGCATCAAGCAGAAAGAACTGAGATTTGGGCTTTGGAGGATCACTCACCCGGTTGTATGTTGGGGGGCAGCCCGCTCTTGGGAGGAGCCAGTGTGGTGTTGTACATGGCGGTATCTGAAAAAAGAGATGATGATTGTTCATTTGACATCATAAGGCCTCAGAACAGCCTTTGATGATGATATTAATAAATAATGTAGATATACGAGTCTTCACAGATGTGCAGAGGTACCTGACTGGAAGGTGATCTCGCTGAACAACATCCAGGCGTCAGCGAAGTAGAACCGGCACTTGATGGCGCTGGCCATGTGATGGAGCAGGTCGATGGTGACGAAGCGGGCACGAGGGTTCTGCTCGTCCTCCCCGGGGTTGAAGACGAGTGGCGTGGGCTCCCAGTCCGCCTCAGAGCGGAAGTAGCACACCACCTGGCGGAAGGCCTTGGTGTGTTGGGAGAACATGTTGTTGCAGTGGACCTGGAGGTAGATAAGGACACGTTTAGAGCAGGTTAGGATGAATGAAATATGAAAGGCTTGAAGACTCAGGAGGCCTCACCTTCATGGTGGTGAAGTTTCTTGTGCGGTCAAACTCAAACATGATCTCAACAAATCCAGCGGGGAAGCTCTCGTTGGTCCAGCCCACATAGTCGTAGCCGGGCCACACGTTATAGACGTGACTGTGAGAGAAGTCATCCAGGCCGCACACGCCATCAGTCAGCTGACCTAAGCCCTCCGTCATGCTGAGGCACAGAGACACAGAGAAACTCCCCTAATCACACTGCATGCACTTACATCACTGGCCACTAAACAGGAACTCATTCCACTAGTTCTCCTCCTCCAGAGTGAAGAAACATGGCTGCAGAACTGTCACTCTCTGGAATACCATTTTTAACTTCTCCTCTGGTAGACAACCACACGTATGGAGTAGAGAGGGTTTGCTGGGAAGCGCAAAGTTGGCGGTTTGAGTCCTGGCTCCCCCATGTCCCATGTCGAAGTGTCCCTGAGCAAGACACCTAAAGACTGGTGCATGCTTCTTTTGTTTTACGTCTTTACGCACACTGGTTTCACTTCCTGGTTGTAAAGTCTTGCGTGTGTTGCAGAGCGATTCACCTCCAGAACAACAGGTGGAGTCACGTGTTTTGTTGAAGACGACCTGGAGAGTCACGTCTTTGTGTGTGGAAGTCGCTGGTTGCTTTATTTATTTATCATAGACTTTATTGCCCCGTGCATCCACACTGCTGCTTTTCATCAAGGACACATTTGTCCCGTATTTTCCTCCACGACTTTGTTCCCCTCGTTTGTGGAGATCTCCCTCCATGAATCAGAGGCCATCCGGCGTCCTCAATGACCTCAGCCAATGACGGCTTGTACAGGCGCTCATATTTACGCATTTCTTCCCTCAAAAGCTCTTCAATCTGATCCGTTCTCTTGTAAACGTTCTTCCTTTTAATAACGGCCGTATTGTGCTGTGAAAACGGAGACGTGAGACTCCGTAAAGGACGTAGTCAGAGACCAATCACAGCCTGGTGCTGCAGGAGGCTGCGTCGCTTTTAACGCTAGTCTAGAAAAATGGGTCGACGCACGCAAGGAGGTGTGAAAAGACACGCAGGGGACACGCAGGGGACACGCAGGGGACACGCAGGGGACTCTTGCGTCTGCGTGTCTTTGCGTCTCTCTGAAAACGCAGAAGCATAAACTAGGCTTTTACCAAAAATGTAAAAACCATGGGTTAAAAATGCAATGTCAGTTGAATGACCTGCAATGCAATGTAATGTGGACAGGATGCTTCATTGGACCACTAAGGGGCAGCATTGTAAGGCAGATGCTTCTAACATGATCATAAAAGCTATTTTCTTTACCCGACCTGCATAGAGAAGGAAGCTTTTTGCTGTGTCTCATTTGGTCTGCTGCCTCCTCCTGAAGCTGCGACTCGGCTGCCACGTTCCTTCAACCCCTTAAACGTGCCCGATAAACACAGGCAGGATTCGAGTTGCCACCAATTGACCTCCTAACGTCTATTCCTAAGCACTATTCCTTGCTCTTTGTGGAAAACCTTATAAGGTAAAGGAAAGATAGTTTGGCGAATTCATGAGGAAACTTTGTACTAAAGCCCCTATAGATTTATTCTGCTTCACTCCAGCAAAGTGTGACTTTCAATGGATACTGTCCGTAACCTGAGTTTTTAGCCAGCTTCTCCATGTTTTATAGTGATGGATACCCTGTAAGTGATTATTTATCATGGGTGTGCCATTTTCAGAGCAGAGACAAAAACGGCCTCAGGAACTAAGGGGTTTCAACCCTCCAGGACCTCATCTCTTTGTGTTCCCATGGTGACAAAGCAGTGCATTGTGGGTAAAATAGTGAGGCACACACCTGTGTATCACAGCTCCATCATAGACAGAGTCGTTGAAGTAAGCAGGTAAGCTCATCTGTTCTCCTGCTGGAGCGTTGTACGACACAAGACCATCTGTACAGAAACAAAGTGCAATGTTATGAAAATAAATGACCTCATAACTGTGTTAGTCAAAAATATTACTACGCAGAAAACAGTCTTAATAGTTCACAACAGCAGTTTTAAGCTCCCAACATGGTAAATGGCCTGTACTTGTATAGGGCTTTTCTAGTCTTCTAGAAAACACTACATGACATCATTCACCCATTCACACCCATTCATACACTGATGACAGGAGAACCACACACAGTGACACCTGTCCATCATTCACCCATTCACACCCATTCACACACTGATGACAGGAGAACCACACACAGTGACACCTGTCCATCATTCACCCATTCACACCCATTCACACACTGATGACAGGAGAACCACACACAGTGACACCTGTCCATCATTCACCCATTCACACCCATTCACACACTGATGACAGGAGAACCACACACAGTGACACCTGCCATCAGTAACTAACATTCACACACTGTAGTCGCAGCTACAGGAGCAATGTTGAGTTAAGTGTCTTGCTCAAGGACACAACGGCATGCGGGTTAGCGGGGCCTGGGATCGAACCGACAACCCTCTGATTGGAGGACAACCGTGCTCCCCACTCACCCACAGTCGGCCACAACAAAAGTGATGCACTTTGCATGCAGAGACGTTTACATTCTGCAATATGGAACGTTTTGTTCAACTAATCTCACACTTAAAAATATTATTATTATTTTTTCTCACAAAGCTTCAGATATCAGATAGTATGGACTGAATTTTTGATCATCATCACCATCCTTCTCCTCTTCCTCTCACCGTCATCGTCATCTCCCTCCTTCTCATTCACCCCATCATCCTTCTCCTCCTCGCCACCACCACCACCATCATCCAACTCACTTTCACCCTCCTCCTCCTCCTCATTGTCATACTACATATATACGCTTACTCCTCCCCAGCCTCCTCTCACCAAGCCATTCACACCCGTAGAGCTCCACCCTCATGCACACGTTCATGGGGTGGTCCGTGACGGGCATGAAGCGGACGAAGCGAGCAATGATGGGCGGCTCCAGGTCCTTCAGGACGATGTCGTAGGCGTTCCTGTTCCCCTCAATCACCTGTGGGTAAAAACAAAGGACCAGATGATATGATGACCTGATGAGTCCATGACCTGATTCCTGATGCCACATAAGGCCGCGTCCCCCCAGGGAGCCCTCGACCCACCTGCTGGCCCTGCCGGTTCCTCCAAGAGATCCAGCGACTTCCATCACGGCTGTACTTGATCTTGTACATCTGAGAGAACTCGTTGCCGATGCCACCGGCGTGTCGGCCCTGAGTCCCCACCAAGGTCACAAAGTGCAGCGAGCGAAGGTCAATCTGCAGGAACTCCTTCTGGCTGTCCGGCTCCACGGTGACCTCGGGACACCAGGCGCCATCGCCCTCCTCGAAGTCCAGCCTGGAGGGGAGGAGTGGGGAGGGGGGGGTATATGACATTGTCACCCACACTCACTCATTTTTACAGGCCTTTGAGTGTATGTGTGTGTGTCTCTCTCTCTTTGTGTGTCTCCCACTGTGTGTGTTACATACCTGCCGTATCTAGCAGCAGTGGACTCGGACCACTGGCTGGAGGCAGAAATGTCCTCGTCCTGAATCTGTCCTCCGGACATCCCCAGAGGATAACGACAAACCCCTGCGACACAACCATGTCTATTACTAGTCTATTAAAACTTAAAACTTTCCTCTTTGATTGTGCAAAGAGGGCTGGCTCAGGTCAGCCCGGACCGGCCCTTAGTTAAGCTGCTATAGGCTCAGACTGCCGGGGGACTTCTTAGGACACACCGAGCTCCTCTCTCACGCTCTCGTTCTACAATAATTCACGTTTTATTAATGCACATGACTAATTCAGCTTCTTTCCGGGAGTTTTTTGTGCTTTCGTGGTCGTCGTGGCGCAGGGTTTAGAGAAGGTGTGCTGGGAAGCACAAGGTTGTTGGTTCGATTCCAGGCTGCCCCATGTTCCATGTCGAAGTGTCCCTGAGCAAGACACCTAACCCCTAATTGCTCCCTGGGCAAAAATGTGAAAAAGCCATGGGTTTAAAGTGAAATGTAAGTCGCTTTGGATAAAAGCGTCTGCTAAATGACCTGTAATGTGATGTAATGCTTTTTCCCCTAGCAGGTCTTCGTAGATCGTAGTTCCTTATGTATGGTGGTTCTATGTGATGGTGGTTCTATCTGATGGTGGTTCTATGTGATGGTGGTTCTATGTGATGGTGGTTCTATGTGATGGTGGTTCTATCTGATGGTGGTGCTATGTGATGGTGGTTCTATGTGATGGTGGTTCTATGTGATGGTGGTTCTATCTGATGGTGGTTCTATCTGATGGTGGTTCTATGTGATGGTGGTTCTATGTGATGGTGGTTCTATCTGATGGTGGTTCTATGTGATGGTGGTGGTCCCTGCAGTGGTCCTGCTGTGCGCCCGACTCACTACTCACAGTTACTTGAATCATTTCTGTCATATAATTGCATGTATGATACATTGTTCATTCTGTACACATGGCAGACGGGAGACGATCCTCCTCTGCCGGAGGTTTCTTACCTTTTTTCCCCATGGAAGTGGTTTTTCATTTTTTGGCGAGTGTTTCCTGTGCCGATGGTGGGTTTCGGGACAGAGGATGTTGCGTACAGACTGTAAAGGCCTCTGAGGCAAATTTGTAATTTGAGATTTTGGGCTACACAAAACAAAATGAATTGAATTGAATTAACAGATATTAACATTATAAGATATAAGACATGTATCCTTTGATTTATGAAGGGACCTTTGCCTCCCCTTGCATGTCGGGGGGGGATACAGTCAGAAAAAAATATCTAGTTAGGTGCATTTTAATACCATTTACTTTTTTGTAGGGCATAACCAAGAGCTCATGTGTCCAATATAAGTCAATCGATGATCGGGGAAAAAAGTGAGCTAATAGGCTTAAGTGCCAAATGTATAGGGGGCGCTATAGAGCCATTTCTTTATACCCAGATGCACAACCCCTAAAACATCTAACATTTTTAATATGAAAATAGCGTCAAAAGTGCTTTCAGTCTCTCCCTAATTACACATTACATTTGCTCGCATAAATAAATGTAAGAAAAAGGAGTATATACGATTTCATGTGGTGATAAAACACACAGACATGCACATGCATATATATATAATATAATAATATATCTATATAATATAATATACATGCATTCTCTGAGAAATTGTATGTATATATATATATATGTATATGTGGCCTTTTATATACAAACAACTCCATCATTTAACGGTTTGTGAACAGCTCAATAATAAAGTGTGGGTGTCTCTCGTTTGATGTGCTTGAGCACACGATGTCTTGCCATGGGACAGTTCCCTTGGCAGAGAAGTATGAACCGTGACCCTGACCCCGACCCCGTGGCGAAGTCACTGACCTGGGTTCACCTGTGATGTGACTCCTCCGAACAGGTGCAGGAGGATGAGCAGCAGGAAGTGAGCGTCCCACGGGTGCTTCATCCCACAATACAGGAACACACCTCACCAATGAAAGACAAGAGGTTACTAAGTGTTTATAACCACGGCTAAAATAACTCTGCATGTTAACGTGAGTGAAACATTATATTTAATATCTGCTCTTCAAGGGAACAAAGCATTTGTGAGAAATACGAGTTTAATGGGAAGCATGTTTTTTTTTCTCACAGAAAGACAATAATTACCACCAAACTGAGTTCCATTCATCGATGCAATCAGTCTGAGATGTTTTAAATACATTTCTATATAAACCAGACAAAAAAGCTGTAGTTCAGATGTAATTGAAATGATTTTATTTAACTTTATAATTTAAAATCTTCCACACTACTTGTAGGAACAATTGATGGAGGAAGAGACGTGAGTGAGTCACAGACGTGACTTAAGTTGCACAGACGCCATCTAGCCGCCTCCCACTGACCACGAGTCCAACAGCAGAGGAGACAGTTCAAGTTGGTTCCTCTCCACGTGTTATTTGCGGTGTCTTTATGAAATGTTTAACAAGGGGACCCCACTGTAAGAGCTTTGTGTAGTTACTGTATTACACTTCAGGTCATTTAGCTGACGCTTTTATCCAATGTGACTTACATTGCATTTTTAACCCGTGGTTTTTCACATTTGCCCGGGAAGCAGTTAGGAGTTGGGTGTCCTGCTCAGGGACACTTCGACATGGGACATGGAGGAGCAAGGCTTCAAACCGCCAACCCTCCGCTTTCCGGCGCCACGCCTGGTTTTATTGTTCATATAATGCTCTCTTATGCAGAAATGTGCAGCAAATGAGACACTTTGATGGAAGATGAGAGAAAAATCTAGAAATCAAGTGATTTATAGACATATCTATATAGATATATATAGTGCAGAGTAACGTTGGGTAGCTAATCAATGGCTGTTCAGACACACCATCTTCTGCTCCAGTAGATCCTTCATTTAAAACTCTGTCTCTTTGTTGTTGTGCAGACGACACGCTTTGTGCTGTGAATTCAGTAGGATTAAAAAAACTGACATTATTTATTGTTGTCACGTAACAAAGAACTACACATATATGTGTGACTGCAAATATAAATAATGTTCTCTCTTTAACTACAAAAAATAGGCTGCATTTCAAAATAAGAGAAAATAAATTAAATGAAAAATAAAATAAAGGGAAGAAAAGCTTAAATTTCCCCTTTTCTGTTTCACATTTGGACTCAACAGTCTCAGCCAATTATGAATAATAAATCTGTGTCTATCAACACATTTGAACAATTAAAGAGTTTAATAGAATACATTGTTGCTCAGTGGGAGATGAGCTCTAGTTTGTCCTGCCAGGATTTTAAAGCAGTCCGTGAATGCATCATCGGGCCTCATAATGCCGTCTGCACTTTTAATACGTGCTACAGTTTGTGAGCATATGAGACACACTGGTTTAGTGCTCCAAGTGGGAAGTATGAATAGAAACGAGTCCGTGCATTCTGGATTAAGTGCTTTGCTTTCACTGTCTACTTTTCTCTTTTTACAGAGCGCCATTTGTTCCTTATTTCTGTCCTCCGTCCCGTTCTCTCACTGTCCGTCTCACTCGTCTTTTTCTCAGATATCTTTCTTGTTCTCCGTCTTTGCCGCTTTCTCTCTAATCTGTCTCCACTGTTGAGACGATATCGTCCTGGCTGGAATGCAAAGCTTTGATTGGTCGAGTGGTATCACGTGGGATGGCTTAACTCGAAGGCTATTGGTCTGTGCTTTCAGCCACAACCGTCAAGAATACCAAGGTAGAGAAGCGCATGTGACACATTTCAAAAGGTCCAAACGAGCATTTTTTTCAGTCAAAATGTTCCACGTTGTTCTGTGAGAGGAAAAAAACCATTGTGACCCCAGTTTGTTGTTTCATTTCAGCTTCAACCTTTGCTGTGCTGAAAATCCAGATTATATGTTCAATTTCAATTTTTGAAAAGTTAATATGCACCTTAAAGTTAGAATGAAAGGAATGGTGAAATCTATTTGAGCTGCCATGGTACCGCAACACTTACACGTACCTTAGCATCAGAAAACCATTACTTTCTCCCAGAGTGGGAGTTTTGGCGTGTCATCTATTCCCTGGGAATAATATCTGTAGATTCACGGCTATGTTGAGGACATCAACCACTGCAGCATTCAAAGTGGAAGGACATTAGTATCACAGAAGGAAAGACCTTAGTCTAGATGCAGCTAGAACACCAAAGTTTATTGTTTCAATGTGAAGCCCAATGCTCCTGAATGGGGACTATTGACTTGAATTCTTTACTTCTGGGGGGGAGAAGCCTGAGGCCTATAAATATCAGCTCCCTCTTGGCTAGTTCAGGAAGTGGTAAAGGGCAGATCCTCCACTCGTGAACCCACCAAGAAAAGCTTGGTGCACAATGTCCACTGAACTTCACCTGCATTTCAGAAGGACCAACTCGATGTGTATTATTCACAGGAGAGGCATAAATGATGGGGTCGCCGTGGCGCAGGGGTAGAGAGGGTGCACCGCAAACTGCAAGCTCCACATTGGTTCGAGCCCCGGCTGCCCCATGTCGAAGTGTCCCTGAGCAAGACGCCTAACCCCTAATTGCTCCCGGGGCAAAAATGTAAAAAAGCCATGGGTTAAAAATGTAATGTAAGTCGCTTTGGATAAAAGCGTCAGCTAAATGACCTGTAATGTAATGTACTTTTACAAAGAAAACTATTTGGTATTGTAATTTCTGAAAAACAAATGCCAGCCACATCAAGACAGTTACAAAACCAGCCGACTTTCACCTAAAGAATATTTCAAGGATTAGTGGATTTATGTCTCAGCCAGCAAAAACGTGTCCATGCATTCATCTTCAGTAGACTCGACTACTGCAACAGTGTTTTTACACGTTTGTAAAAAGTCAATCAGAAAGCTGCAGCTGAGGAAAGTGGATCACATCACACCAGCTCTCAGGTCTTTACACTGGCTTCCTGTCAAACGAAGAATTTACTTCAAAATCCTGCTGTTGGTTTATAAAGCACTGAATGGTTCAGGGCCAAAGGACTCTTAGGTTGTCTAGAACTGGTCTACTTTCTGTTCCCAGAGTCAGAACTAAGCAGAGAAGCTTTCACTGAAAGTGAACGCTTCTCTGGCTCAAACAAGAAGTCACCGTAACAACCTCCTTTTATCATTTGATCATTGAGAGAAGCTAAAAGTGTTACTACGGTACAGGTTTGTTAAAACAGGCATTTGGAAATGTTGTTATTGTTTGATATCAAATCATGCTGTAGATATTTTAGTAATTTATCACATTTAGTGGCTCAAGAATATCATGGTAAAACGCAAACAATGAGGAAGGATTTGAGAAGGTTTTTCTTTCCCGATGTGCAAATAAATGAGAGATGCAAATACATGATCCCTACAAAAGCTGCACCTCACTCTGTGTTAGGAATTGAAGTAGTAAGAGGATCTCTACTAGTAGAAGTACGTGTGATATTATATATACATACACTAGTGTACAGAGAAGCAGCGTTCAGTTTTTCAAAGTCCCAAAAAACTGCAGGTCTGTTGGGTCCTTTCCTCCTATTATTTTTGCTAAATATCAAACAATTTAATTGAAAATTGATTAATTTCCCATGAAGTGACTAATCTGAAATAACAATAAGACCTACATAACCAAAGAGCAGACACGCTTACACACACACAACTGACCTCAGGATGACCTTGACCTCTCTAACAGTGTCTCCATCTTCAGCGAGGTAGAAAAGAAGCCTCAAATAGCACAGGAGGACACACACACAGGCGTTTTCAACATTTCATCAGTTGACCAGAAAGAAACAACATTTGTTGTTCTGGTCCGATCCTGCTTGGTTGAATGCACTTATTGTAAGTCGCTTTGGTTAAACTTTGCTTAAACCTCTGTACATTTATTGAGGAATGCTCATCTATAAAGCGATAAGCTTCAGATCAGATGTGTTCATATATGTCACATCCAGCCATGTAAAGTCAGCTAGGAACATCTGGATCTGTAGCTTGCTCTGCTTTCTACTACTTTAGTCTGCAACCCGCAGCAAGACTTCACACAAAAGAGTTTAAACATTCAGCTCCTTAAAACTTCAGAGGAAGCTTTAAGGCTCAGAGTCCAAACGATGACATAAAATCAGAGAGATGCGATAAGTTAAAAGAGAGACTTACTTTAAGAAGTTTTATCCTTTCAGACCATTTGTTCAAAGAAAGTTTTAGATTATTCCAGTAAGAACTCGAGCCGTTTTCTCTATTTCTCTAAGTTCGTCAGATGGTCTGAGCTGATGTAAGACACAACTGCTCATAGGAAAAAAGAGGGGGAGGAGCGGGGTGAGGAGGAAGAGAGAGGGGGCGAGAGAGAGAGAGAGAGAGAGAAAAAAGAAGCTTTCACATTCTGGGGATTCCTGGCAGCCTCCCAAAGTCCCCAAATTCCTCACACGAGGTTTCAATTAAGAATCAAGCCTGGAAGAGAAATGTTTCTTCTCCTGAAACACGTCTTTCAGGCTCAAACAAGAAGCTACAGTAACAACCTCATTTCATCATTGAGAGAAATGAAAAGTGTTACTAAGGTACATATTTGTTAAAACAGGCATTTGAAAGTGGTGTGAATGCTCGACTTTAATATCAAATCATGATGTAGATATTTTAGTAATTTATCACATTTAGTGGCTCATGAATATCATGGTAAAACAGAAACAACAACAAATGGAATTAATGATTTATTTTGTTATTATTTGGCTTTTGGAGAATAAAGTGGAAATTCTGTATTTGTGCTGGTTTTATCAATTCTCAAAAGTTTGAGTTTAAGTTTAAATTTCTACTTTAATCTGAACAGTTTTACTTTATTCTTGAGACAAAAATAAATGATGTATTTCTCTGCCTGGTCCTAAACTCATCGAGTGCTTTGATGCTGCAGTTTGTCACAATGATGATCGTTAAACTCCATGAGTTTGAACCATTCAACCCCCCCCCCCCCCCACACACACACACACACACCCCCTCCCCCCACACACACCCACACACCCCCACACACACACACACACACACCCACCCCCCCCCACACACACACACACACCCCCACACCCACACACACACACACACACACACACACACACACACACACACAGAGACCCCCCCCCCCCCCCCCACACCCACCCACACACACACACACACACACACACACACACACAGGGAGGGATAGACTGTGCTGTGCAGTCGAACGTTGAGACGTTGTCGGCGCCCGTTTTCTTCACTGGGGGCTCGTTGGCGCATGTTTGCTCCACTGAAAGCACCGTAGCACCAATGAGCGCACTGGGAGTTAACATGCGTACGTGAGGGAGAGAAAACACATTCAGTAGGTTTTTTAATTATTAAATGTCTTTAATAAAGAAGAAATCTAAGCATCTCTCACAGCTGCATAATATCGAATCTTCAATGATTACAAACAAAGATGTAGATATTATAACCCCCCCTCCTCCCCCAGTACCTTGATTAAATAGTAAATAGTAAGAAATATCTGGTCATCTTAGTCCTACGTGAATAAAAAAATCACCAGGTAAAAGGAATAGATTTCCGCCAGCTTCTATTGGATTATATAAAAATAAAGTGTCACCTGCAGACCGCTTCATTCAGTCAGCCTGATGGGGAATTCATCTTCACCTCAGTTTAAGTGCTTAACAAAACCGGAAATAAGACACCAATACACAGAGCAGAGAATCACATGTAAAGTAAACTTCAATCATAATGGAGCTGACGGCTTCTTTCACCACATTGTTATTATTGCACAGTGATGACATCACAGTTTGAGTGAGAATAGGGCGGTTGTTCTTCGGATACCCCCCGCCCCTCCTCTTGACTTCCTCTTCCTCGTCTACACTCCGTTCTTCACCAGCTGGTGGACTCCGGTCTCATCGATCATCAGGTTTGGATGAAACTCTTGTCCCTTCACCAACTCTTCCAGACCCTTAAAGTAGAAAATAACTCTTCAGCACCTTCAGAGACGTTCTAAAGAAGATGCTGCTTCTCACTCAGACATTGACAACGTTCTAAAGATGTTTCTTTTAATACAATTAAGACTGCAAGTAGGAATGCCTATAGTTAGGGCTGGCTCAGGTTAGTCCGGACCAGCCCTTAGTTAAGCTGCTATAGGCTTAGACTGCCGGGGGACTTCTTAGGACACACCGAGCTCCTCTCTCACGCTCTCGTTCTACAATAATTCATGTTTTATTAATGCACATGACTAATTCAGCTTCTTTCCGGGAGTTTTTTTGTGCTTTCTCCGCTAGCAGGTCCCCGTAGATCGTGGTTCCTTCTGGAACCTGGTCCTGACACCTTCCGTGGCCCTGCTGACGCCTGCTGCTGCCATCATCATCATTATTATTATTTTAGATATTAATCATATTACTGTACTCGTAAACCATCATTACCCTCTCCTAAAGTCTCTGTGCTCTCGCTCCCCACAGGCTTCTGTGGATGGTGGTTCTATGTGGATGGTGGTTCTATCTGATAGTGGTTCTATGCGACGGTGGTTCTATGTGACGGTGGTTCTATGTGACGGTGGTTCTATGTGACGGTGGTTCTATGTGACGGTGGTTCTATCTGACGGTGGTTCTATCTGACGGTGGTTCTATGTGACGGTGGTTCTATGTGGATGGTGGTTCTATCTGATAGTGGTTCTATGCGACGGTGGTTCTATGTGACGGTGGTTCTATGTGACGGTGGTTCTATGTGACGGTGGTTCTATCTGACGGTGGTTCTATGTGACGGTGGTTCTATCTGACGGTGGTTCTATGTGACGGTGGTTCTATCTGACGGTGGTTCTATGTGACGGTGGTTCTATCTGACGGTGGTTCTATCTGACGGTGGTTCTATCTGATGGTGGTTCTATCTGATGGTGGTTCTATCTGATGGTGGTTCTATGTGATGGTGGTTCTATCTGATGGTGGTTCTATCTGATGGTGGTTCTATGTGATGGTGGTTCTATGTGATGGTGGTTCTATCTGATGGTGGTTCTATCTGATGGTGGTGGTCCCTGCAGTGGTCCTGCTGTGCGTCTGGTTTACTACTCACAGTTACTTGAATCATTTCTGTCATATAGTCTCATGTATTATACATTGTTCATTCTGTACACATGACATCATTGTAGTCTGTCCATCAGGAGACGGATCCTCCTCTGATGTTCTCACTAAAGGTTTCTTCCCTTTTTTTCCTCTTGTAAGGGTTTTTTCATTGTTGGGGAGTTGTTCCTGTGCCGATGGCGGGTTTCGGGACAGAGGATGTCGTATGTGTACAGACTGTAAAGCCCTCTGAGGCAAATTTGTAATTTGCGATTTTGGGCTATACAAAATAAAACAAATTGAATTGATGTTATGCACCAACCGCCAAGGTTGGTGCATAACATGAAAGTCAAAACTTTCTAACATATTTTGGTAATAAATGTTCCTCATCCTGATTTCCCATCTCCGCCCAGCCTCCTTACCTCTCCACCGTAGGACACCAGCGGTGAGATCTCACATTTGATCGGCAGGTCTGTTCCGTCCTTCAGGCTGGGTTTGGAAAGGAACAAATTCAGGGAGCACCAGAAGAAGAAAGAGAGTAAGTGATTGTCCCATGAAAGACGAGCAGCTGTTCTACTGCGGCCGGCTTGTGATTAGAGTTCAACAGACCCACACAAGACTCATGATTAGCCCCTTGACCTGTAACAGACTTCCTCTAGAAGTAGACATATTATTGACAGGGAAACAGGGCGGGACTTGCCTCCACATTGCCATCACTCAGCATGTCTATTTCTAGATGATCATTACAGACAACCGTCTCTAATCAACAGCTGCTCCGATGTTTTCTGAGCAGCGGACCTGTATCATTAGGATGAGGAAAGGAGAAGCACACCCTTAAAAGAGCCAGAGTAACATTAATTGCTGCCATAAATGTCATAGAAGCACATGCTCATTTATTATTATGTCTTGAAAACAACAAAGCAGGCGGATTTAAACTAACTGCTCCACAGATCAACAGCAGCGTCATCTATTGCAGAGCTGCCCATCACCCAGCATGCAATACATGGAGTATTAGTGTGCTCCATCAGAAGGTGTTTATGATCATCGGACATGTGTGCGTTTCAGTCCAAACTGATCTTCAACGTCATTTCCTTCATCGCAACTGTCTCTAAAGAGAAGAAAAAAAATGGCGTCCAGCAGGTTCCTCCCCTTGGAGGTAATGAAGGAAAGGGGATCAGAAGTTGTGTTGTAGCGTTAACACAGAAAGCCAGAACCCCGTCACCATGCACTCAGTACTGCCGGGGGAGGATAATTACTTTGTCTTGCCATCATCTGAGAATCTGCCTGCTCCCCCGCTTCTGGAAACATTGTCAGGGACCCAACATGAGAGGTAAGTGAGTGTGACGCTACAGGAAGCACAACATGTGGGGCGGGTTGAAGTCACCAGGTGTGTGTCATGGGAGGTCACCTGGGAATGGCGGGAACATGTCTGCCGTTCTCGTCGATGAAGTGGCCACCAGCGTTGAGCACCCAGCGGTGGTGCAGCGACATGAGGGCGTGTCTTGCTGTGGTGGGCGTGTCCTTTGCATCCTGGCTGTCTGCGTTTTTCAGCGGGGAGAACTCGTCCTCCCGCAAGACCTCGTACACCACAAACTTCCTGTGGGAATTCATCATACAGAGACGATGAGGATGTGACATACTGCAAGGTCTTCTCTGCAGAAGTCTATTCCATCAATAAGAGCGCTTTGATACAAGTCTCAGATTTGCTCCGGCATTGACCTTCAGACACCACGTTTAAATCACCATGTTCTGCTTCAAACGGTTTTGTTTGGTAGAGATCCTGAAAAGAAACTACAACTTTAGAATCTTTTTGATAGGATTTCTGTAAAAATTTGAATAAAGCAGTAAAAACCAAGTCATTTCAAAATAATTTGCTGCCATTTTAAGCTGAAATGATTTGTCAATAATCAGGAAATGGATTATACATTCTATATAATATTTCCGTGTATTACGTCGTGTGAACGCACCATGAGAGCATCTGGATCTGTAATCCATCTCCTCTGAACATGATGTCACATAAATCGCCCCGCAGAGAGCTCGGCTCAGTCTGCTGAATCAGACCTGGCTTCATGAAAAGAGGATCAAGGACCATTCAGTCCCAGAAGAGCATCTGCATCCACAACTAGGGAGCTTGCATTCTGAGAAGAGACTATAAATACACTAAACACAGAGTTGAACTCACTTAGCGAACTGGAAGATGTCAAAGACAAACTTTTCCATTTTGATCCCGTTAGGTTTGTCTGGTTTGATGAGTTGACCTTCTGGATCCACATATGGGATCTTCTTCTGGGCCACGTGGTGCTGCAGCTCCGGCTCGTACTTCCTGATATATTCAAAATGAAACACTTAGCGCGGTCATTACAATTTTATTTCTGAGAACTATACTAATACTAAAAATAATAATAACCGCCATAATAGTGCAAATAATATTATTAACCAAAATTAAAATCAGCATCTAAAAATCACATTAATCCTAATTCTATTTGTGATAATAGTAGCAATAATGATAATAACGGCCATCATATATAAATAGAATTACAACCATCATAATCTTAATATGATTATTATGGTCATGACAAAAGTAGTAATACTTGTCACTATTGGCCATATTAATAATCATAATCACAGCAATCATAATGTGGTGATAGTTGTAATAATGAAATAATTTCTATAGTAATAATAATGGCAACAATAACTTAATTAATAAAAAATAATTGCCAGAAACGTTTGCCTGTTGTTTCTTACTTCACCACGTCTCTGAGGAAGGAGAAGCTGAAGAAGTGATTGGCCACATTTCCAGCGTTAAACATCAGTCGTCCATCGGCGCTTCGCTTCTCGGCAGTTGCCAAGGTGATCTCGCTGTACTCCACCACCTTGTAACCACCATCCACCTTGCAGACCACACCCACCGCCTCCGTTGGATTGGTCTTCTCCACCACCTAGAGACAATACCGCTAAAGGTCATAAACCGGGTACCTTCCTCTTCTTTTCCACCTTTCGTGTCATTTATACACACACACACACACACACACACACACACACACACACACACACACACACACACACACACACACACACACACACACACACACACCTCTTTCTCTCATCTAATCATCCTCTTTCCCCCACCCGTTCCTGCTTCCTCTAATTAGACGCTGTATTTCCTGCCTCTTCCCTTTGTTCTCAGCCAGAGCATTATCTTTACGTACCGTCCCGTCCCGTCCCGTCCCGTCCCGTACCGTACCGTACCGTACCGTACCGTCCCGTACCTCCTGCCCTGTCGTGTCCTGACGGTTCGTGTTGAACTAGTACTGTACATCGTTGCTAAACCTCTGCTTTACCCGGCCGTCTGCTGTCTCCCTCAGCCTGGACCTGCTCTCCTGCTCTCACCAGGATTTCCCTTTTGCCGGCCAAGCGCCCGAATTCTTCTGTTAAGCATTGAGAGACGTTTTTGCTTTGTGGCTGCCGGAGCCATTTTTGCCTCGGCCTTCGTTAATTAAAAGGGACTTTGCCTTCCTTTGCGTTTGGGTTCTCTCTCCTTCACAACCACAACAGCAAACATCAACTGGCCAATTGGCTTCAGAGATACAGAAATCCTCATTTCCTGCGGGCAGCGATCAATGACTCAAACACAGCTTCACAGGTGTGAGTCCTTTTTTGTAGAATACATATTATCATTATAGATACATAAGGATATTTGGGGGTTGCTGTGGAGGAGAACCTGAAGACAAACCGGATGTTCATGTTGACAATGTCACTGAACAAAAATATGATAAATAGAGAAAGAATTTAGAAGCTTTTTGTGGGATTTTTTTTTCCTTCAAACAAACTAAGCCCTTTCCCCAAATCATCAACCCCTTCCTTAAGTCCCAGGTAAGTGCTTTAAAAAGTCAGAAGATTAAGAAACAACCCAGCAGGTATTTTAGTTTAAACAAATACACTAAACAATTCACTTTCTTAAAAAGTTCATCCTAATCACAAAAAAAAAAGAAAATCAAACTTGTGATGTTGCTCTTTAAAATAAAAGGTTCAGGACAGATGACCTAAAAAACTGATTATCAAGTAGAAGTATTACGTTAAGAGATACATGTGTGTTTGACTCAATGAAGCAAACAAGTTAAAGAACTTTTTCCCCATCTGAATAATATATAGATATACACTGCGACACTTTATTGGGTCCACCTATCTGGTAAAAGGCTGAACCAGCTTTGCCTTCAGAACTTTAATTCTTGGTGGCAAACTTTCAACGTGCTGCATCATCCTGCTGGAAGTAGCTTTTAGAAGAGCAACAATACTCAAGATAGACTGCAGCATTTAAACCATGTTCGGTGTGTACTACGGGGCCCAAAGCGTGCCAAGAAAATGTCCCCCCACCAGCACACCAGCAGCAGCCTGACGCGTTGGCACGAGGCAGGATGGATCCACGCTTTCATGTTTACTCCACATTCTGACGACCATCTGGATGTTCAGCTGAAATGACTCATCAGACCATGCAAGGTTTTTGCAATCTTCCATTGTCCGTCGTGGTGAGCCTGTGGGAGTTGTCTCAGTTTCCTGCTGTTAGCTTCAAGGTTCCATGAGATGTGCGTTCAGAAGTGGTGTTGTGTATTTCTTGGTGGTGACGAGTGGTTTGTCGAGTTACTGTTGCCTTTCAATCATCTGGAACCAGTCTGTCCGTTCTCTCACATCAACAAGACATTTCCGTCCACATACCTGCCCCTCACTGGATAGTTTCTCTTTTTGGGTTCTCTGTGAACCCTGGAGGTGGTTGTGTGTTTGAATCCTAGCAGATCAGCAGTTTGTGACAGACTCAGAACAGCCCGTCGGGCACCAATAACCATCCACGTTCAAAGTCACTTCAATCCCCTTTCTTCCTCATTCTGATGCTCGCTTTGACCTTCAGCAGGTTGTCTTCACCACGTCTACAAGCCTAAATGCAGTGCGTTGCTGCAATGTGAATGGTTGATTAGCAATTTGTAAAAGCAATTGAAAAAGTGTTCCTAATAATGTGGTGGATATACACACACACACACACATATACAAAAAAAGTTTTTACCCCTTCCTGGTTTCTTTTTTCACATGTAACTATTTTAGAAACAAACAAATTTACATTAGACAAAGATAACCCAAATATATACAAAATGTAGTTTGTAAACGATTTCATTTATTAAGGGACAAGAAATATCCAAACTGCCTGGCCCCATGTGAAAAAGTCATTCTAATTACTGGTTGTGGCCCCCTTGGTGACAACTATATATAAACACGGTGTATCGTTCTCATGGGAGAACATGATGAATTTAAAAGGGATCTAGACAATACCGCTACCCAGTGTATACTGTATACTTTAAGGCAGACGTGCGATCCAACTGAATCGATCTGTGCTCCGTAAATCGGCATTCCGCTCGACATACATCGATTACAAATCGATTGAAATGGTACATAATCGATTGTATCGATACTTAGAAACTGCACATTGGATTTAAGTACAACAACGGCGTGGATGTGCGTTTGTTTTTAAACGTGACTGGATTCAGTCTGCTTGTCGGTGACGTCATCAGTACGCAGCGGCCGCCGCGCGAAACTCTGAACAACAACAACAACAACACACAGCGTGGAGGAGACGACTGCGAGCGAGACGTTTACAAACCAACGTATCGATCCAGTGGAAACATTTTGGCTTTTGCAAACACGGAGGTGTTCTAAATAAGTCGCTCGCTGTTTGTAGAATATGTAGAAGACAAATAAAAACCAGGGAAACACGAGGAATCTTTGCGGCCGTCTACTAAGGCGCCGCGGGATTAAACAACGCCGACAGTCAGGACCTCTAGCAGCGTCACCGCTGCAGCAGCAGCAGGTAACTCAGCTCTGCAGACGCCTCAGGCCTCCAGCACCAAACTCATCACAGTAACAAGTTCATCTGTAAAGACGTGCGACCCGACAATGAGGTGAATTGATCCAAACATTGTGTAATTATTGTGTCATGTTTACATTGAAAATGGTTGCACAATACAAGGTTCATACATTTGCCATTAATTGTTGTTTCCTTGTTAATAATATCCATAATTAATTTAAACCTGATTTCCTTACAAGAAACGACAGAGATCTCAGAAACGTTGCCTGCACTGTCCAGTAAAGTTACTGAATCGATTTCAAGTCACTGAATCGAATTGAATCGTTGTTAAAATGAATCATTACACTATACTTATATATTAGGGGTGTAACGATTGTAACGAACCAAATTCGGGTAAAGCTCTAACCACTTTGGTGGGTGGAACATATATATCTCTATATTTCTTTGTAGTGTAGCTAGCTAGCTGTTAGCAGACTGAATCCCCTGCATTCAGACAGATGTGCGTGGAGATGAAGACCCGTTTAACACCTTGGCCAGCAGAGATCTGTGTGGACCTGCCTGCTCTCCGTTTTCTGGCGGCGGTGGCCAGTTTCCTCGCCTAAAATGATAGGTCAAAGCGAGCATCACAATGAGGAGTGAAGTGACTTTGAACGGGATGGTTGTTGGTCTCTCACAAACGGCTGAGCTGCACATCACAAACAGCAGTTTGAATTTGTAGAAGCAGAGAGGAAAGTACCATCTCCTGAAGGCGATACGCTGATTGTCCCTCATACAAAGCCCCCCCGACGCCTCCTTTTTCCCTGATTGGTGACCTACCAACCATCCACCAAAAAGTACAGAGTGATGATCTTAACCTCATCTCATAATAATTAATAATTAAAATAACACTGGGTTTTTATGTTGCCTTTGGAGATGGATAAATAAAAAGAGGTAGTGACAAACCTTTGCTCCACAGTCGGCTCCCTTCTTCACACAGAAGCCGATGAAGGCGGGGTCCGCCACTTTGACTAGGATGTTATCGACACAGTAAACATGGACAAATTCAACGCCCCTCCGCTCCATGTCCTCCATGACGCCCTGGTTCCCCAGAGCCCTGTAGAGACCCCCGTTCCCATCTGAAACACAGGACCTTGGTAAGGCTCTTGGAGTCCACATGGCAGATGATTAACCCTCAGAAACCCTGCGCCAGCTCACCAGGAGCCATGGAGAGCTTCCCCCTCTTCTCCAGGAGGATCTTCCCCTCGTAGTCCATCGCTGGGAGCATTCCCTGCTGGAAGAAGATCACGTTGTTCTGGTCCAAGCCAAAATACTGATTTTGGGAGAAGTAGGCTTTGGTGGACTCCATTGTCCTGCCGCTGGTCATAATGTACCTGAAGGCAACACAGAGATGACTAGTGATTATATACTGTCTATTTTAAATCATTCAAGTGTGAAACAAGAAGCTAAAGGAGATTCGTGAAATACTGATTCTCTCTTTATTCTTTTAAATTATTTAGGAAGTGGTGGTGCCTTTTAACAGAAACTAAACTTACAAAAAGCTGGAGACGTATAAAAGTTAAAGAACCTCTTCACATGAGAATGAGACCTGCTGAGGTTGATGATAGACAGTTTATCCCGGACTACGATGTCATGATGACTTTGTTCACTCATTTATCTCCACAACGTTCCATCTCTCCTTTGATCCGCTCCCTGGGGAGGTAATCCCTTTGAACAAATTAATCACCAGGAGAAATGTCTGCAGCTCTAATGATGAAAGCAGCTTTTTAACCGACTAACCCACCAAGAGGTCTTAGTCACCACTTTTATATATCTTACAACACATCTTATTATGGACATACCATGTCTCACCAGAGAACACAGCTCCACCTTAAATATTAGAGATGTAATTTGATGTGGAACACAACTCGATCATATATAATATAGATTATATTAACAACAATGGAACACAATATTATATATTCTATATAATATTACCCACCAGGGAACACAGTTCTTGACATGGTGGTTCTGCTCCGCCAATTGTTGGAGCTTCAGGATGCGTTGGGCCTGGATCTCAAAGAGGGTTTTGCGTGAGGGCAGCCCCACGTCGTACATGCCTTTAGGATACGAGACTCCCAATCGGGTCCCCTGCCCCCCTGCCAGCAGCAGGACGGCCACTTTACTCTGAGAGATGCACAGCAGACCTGAGGGAGCACACAGAGCAGCGTTACGAGAGGGATCGTAGGATGAAGAAGAGCTGCAACCATTGATCACATAGTCCTGGGTCCTTTCAGCTGGCCGGGCCTGGAAAACCTCCCTGGAGAGGCGCCCAGGGGGCCTCCTTACCAGATGCCCAAACCACATCAACTGGCTCCCTTCATTACACATCGAGCTGAGCTCCGCCCCTCAGGTCAGGTGATATGAACACCGAATCAAATCATCAATCTTCAGCCTTAGGATGCCGTTCCTCCCAATAACGCCCCTGTAGTTGTATCCATCGTCGTCCAAGTATGCATTGAGGTCTTCCAGTAGGACTACGGAGTCCCCTACTGGAGCCCAAGGCAGAATTCCATTTAGGGTCTCCAAAGAGGCAGAACACTCCAAACAGCTGTTTGTTGCACAGACAACAGTCAATAGCTCCTCCAGCCCCCCCCCCCCTCCCTCCCATATGCATCCATATGACAGCGGACAGGGACTTGGGAGTATCGCCACACGGAGCCGATAGCGCGGGGAAAATGTGTTTGTATATATAAAAATGTTATATGTTCAAGTAAGTGTACTTCAAATATTAAACTGAAGTTGGGAACAGTGCAAAAACGTGTATTTCCATTTTTCAAACCATATTTTCTGTGGCGGCGTGTTTTTCACGTCTTTCTCTCTGCCTCTTTGGTAACCTGAGCCGCAAAACGAACAAGTCCTCATGTTGGTTTCGCTTTCTTTTTTTACCGTTGACTGTTGTAACCGCGCCCCCACCCTTTGGGGTCGCGACCCCCAGTTTAGGAATCACTGCTTTAAAGGGAGGGAAGTGAAATATTCCACTTGCAGCTTATTAAAAAGGTGAATGTTTGTAAAAAAACAACCTCCAGTTTAACACGTTTAAACCAAAGAACTCCAATAATTAACAGATTTGTTGACAATGAGTAATTATTTTAGACAGTGACACTCATCCAGGCTGACACTATGCAAAGACGTGGGAAAAAGTGTATTAATAAAAACTACACTTCTCCTACCTGACTTGGCAACGTACTAAATAAAGCCTCTTCGGTACCTAGAAAACCGCTATAAAAAACAAAAGTATTATTATTAAACCTTAAAGTTTATCTATTCATCGAATGACTCTTTTACAGTTCATCGGTTTATGGTTTTTATAAACGTCATCTACGGGACTCGGTGTGAGCAGGAGCCACAAAACAACGCTCATACCAGAGAACTGGGCAGGTCTGCTGGACTTTGACTCGGCGTGCGCGCACACACACACACACACACACACACACCAGCACTAGCACACACACACACACACACACACACACACACACACACACACACACCAGCACACGCGCACACACACACACACACACAAGCACACGCGCACACACACACACACACCAACACACATATACACAAGCACACACGCACACACCCACCCACACACACACCACACACCAGCACACACACACCACACACACACACACACACACACCACACCACACACACACACACACACACACCAGCACACACACACACCAGCACATGCACACACTAGCACTAGCGCACACACAGCACACACACACCAGCACACGCGCACACACACACACACCAGCACACACACACCAGCACACGCGCACCAGCACACGCGCACCAGCACACGCGCACACACACTAGCACGCACACACACTAGCACGCACACACACACACACACACACACACACACCAGCACGCACACACACACACACACACACACACACACACCAGCACGCCACGCCCTACACACTCAGAGCAGAATGACCTCATCGGGGTCAAGCACCGACTCCATTTACGTCAGAGTCAAATCAAGACCTGATGTTGTGTGGCGTCCCCCCCCCCACACACACACACACAAACACATACAAAAACATAATAAACGACACAATCTTCAGTCACGAGGAGAGTTTCTATAACAGACGCATTCTGATCTTTCTCAACATGCACTATCTGGGGACACGAATGACTCGAGTTGCCGGAATGCTGTCCCATCAACATCCAAACATCTGGATTACCTTTCGACCCAGAAATATCTCCTAGTATATCTTGTATGGCAGTAAATAGTCGAGTCTAATATCTAGTGAGTGCTCACGTACTCATTACCTCTGAATGACATGATAAAAACCCAATAAAACTGCATCTCCTACACTAATAAAAAGGCTTAAAGGAGACAGGAGTGTCTCACCTGCTTCCTCCCAATCTTTCAGTCTCTCCCGGTCTCTCGTGACACTCCCCAGAATCTCTCGAGGAACCGGCTCCATTCGAGCGTCCATCTTCTCCTGTTTGCTACCGCTAGACATCTCCATGGCCTTCTGGAAGAACCTGTTAATCTCCTGAAAGTCCATCTCCTGCAGGTCAAAGGTCAAGTCGCTCTGCTCCTCAGGGCTCAGCTCTTTCCAGAACTGCAGGAGGTGTGACTGACCGGCTTCAGCCAACCTTCTGGCGAGTCGGCTGGGGTCCATGATGAAGATCTCAAGTGTGGTTCTTTGTGAGCTGAGGAGACTTTACAAGTTATTCATTACAATGTGATTGACACCATCTACAATGAAACACACACCACACATGGCTTTACGGCTGACTTGTTTAAATAAATGGAACCGGAGTTCAGTCACGATGAAGGGAGTTTGTTATACCCTCGGACAGGTGCCATTTAGATCGGTTTGATGACAGTAGAAACTAGTTCAGGAGGGTGGAGCTCTGTAATTCTACTATTATGTTAGCTTGCAGAACCAGAAGAACCAGAGAAGCAGAACATTCAAATAACTACAAAGTTTATTCATAATCAGACATTTCAGCAGCAGTATGTTGTTTTAAAGAGGCATTCCTCTTAGCTTGTAAGATGAGGGATGCTTCATGGAACGTGAAACACTAATATCTATAATCACTTGGCTCGTTTCATTCATGCTCGTTGGGCAGCCCTGTTAGTGACAGCGCTACCATTAGCATAGCATTACGACAAGCAAACCGGCTAACCGCGGCGCTGACTGCTAGCATATCTACAGATACACCTGAGTAAAGAACATGTGGCTGGAATATTAAAGTCCTCTTACCTTCCACAGAGTTTCCTCTCCGGTTAAAGAACATGAATGTCAGTGAGCCGTTCACTGGTCGCTTGTCCTGGTTTGTAGGGCTACGCCTCCTGTGACGTCACGTTTGACGTGGCACGAGCGGCTGTGACCTGACTGCGTCCTAATCCAGCTGCTGCTTCCTCTGACGCAAGCATCGAAGGACGCGTCCTACGCTACTTCTAAGTATCCTGCTTTCTACGTCCAACTTGTTTTCTTCTCAGTCTGGCAGACTTCCTAATACATACTATTATGTATTATTATATCTTTATTGTCAAAATGCAACTGTCATCTGACTAATGATTGATTTTACAATATTATGCTTGTTCAATTCACATTTAGTAACTTATCTGCAACCTGTCCCAGTTATCATCGCTCTGCTGTAGATTCAGGTCATGTAAACCTGAATTAAGATGTAACTTCATTTCTCAGATACATTAATATCTCAGTTCCTCTCTGCGCAGAACGACCGTGACTTTGTTGTATTAATGCTCTTTGCTATTTATGCACAGCAACAAAGTAGACAGAAGACACACGGAACACTCGTAGAATTTCGAGTACAATTTAAAAACAAATGAAAACAGGATTGTTGTGCAGGTGTATAGATCCAAACTCCAGAGCAGCAGGTGGTGCTATTTAACCGACCGCCGTTAAAACGACGACAACAAGGCGGAAGCAGTTTTTATTAGCTGTTGTTTTTGTGCTAGCCAAGATCTCTCGTTAGCTAGCTGCTCTTCTAACTTATCTGTGTTTCTGTGATCGGATTGTTTTGTTTTGTGACAGCTAACGGAAATGAAGAAGTTTTTTGAAGATATTAAGAAAGATATTAAGTTTAAATCTGCGGGGCCTGGGAAGAAATTAACGGAAGCCAGCAGGCAAATAACACATTTTGCTTGTCTAGTAGAGCTAACTGTTAGCTAGCTACAAATAGAGTTCGCATAAAGCCAGCTGTTATAGTTAGCGTTAGCTGTAAGTGGAGTTAGCAAAAAGCTAACAGTTGTAGCTAGCTATGAATGTAGTCGGCCGCAAGGCTACATATGGATATAACAGAGAGCTTAAGGCTGAGCATTTGATTAATGGGTCACTGTTAGCCGTAAAGCTAATTAGAAGGAGGCTCTTTTGCATTGTACCGTGGCTAACGTTAACCGTTTCAACCTTTACAACTAAATTGGGTTAAGTTATAGAACTTAAATAGGTTGTCAGCCTGTCTAATTCTAATTCTGTGTTAATCCCTAACCAATCCTAACTCTTAGCAATTTGAAGTAAAATATATCTGCTCTATTGCTGCAGTTTGCACGATTACATCAAATGGGTTAAACGGTTAACGTTATATAGCATAAACAGTCACTAGTTAACATAAGCTAACACTAAACGCACAAAACAAAAACCGATTTTTTATAATTACCATCATAATCATTATTATATTAACTCCCTTTCGATAATTAGCTTTAAATCCTTGCCAGCGGTAAACGCCTCTGACAGATAAATGAACTGTTCTTTAACCTTGTTTTTCTGAAGTCCTCGCTTTTTAAGCACCTCAGAATAATTGTTCTTAATAACACCTGCAAACTTTACCAATAGTTTCAACATGTAGCGTATAGATAGTTCTGATTAGTTCAAGATATTAGACGTTTTATATAATATGCAAATGTTTTAGACACTTTAGTTATTACATTGTGTCATTTACAACATATGTAATGATCAGTCATTAAAACCTGCATTTTAAATCATTTATCATTTTCGTTTTTCTATTTCCTTTCCCTTACTGATATGTTCAAATCCAATTATTGTTGAGTCTCTTTGGGAATTTAGACATTGAGCTTTGCTTCACTCTGCTTTTCTGTCCTCATAACGGTTTAGTTCCAAGGCCGAGGTGGTGCAGAGCAGCTGCGGGTCCAAGCATAACCGCAATGCTCCCAGCGAAGGATCCCAGAGAGCCGGAGCAGCAGCTCTGGCCCGGATAGAGCAGCACCCCCGACCAAAGGTCCACACCTCTCAGGACGCCATTAGGAACCAGGGTGAGACCTGCAACGCTCATCTATGGACACAAGATGAATGAGAGGCGCTCCTCAGAGTGGCATGTGCCAATGTCGGATTGGTATTCAGTGGCATGTGCCGAGGTCAGGCTTGGGCCTGCCTCTTCATTCCTATGCATACTCCATGCAGACACGACATTTGAATATGTCCCTCTCTATCATAACTGCGTGGGGGTGAGTTAAGAGAACCATGAGTGTGGCAATACTTAAACGATAGAGAGACATATGTGTCGACCGTGCATGCTATATACCTTTAAAAATAATAGTAAACTAAGACCCTATTTTCCAATTACGGCTTAATAAAATGAGTCGGAGTACGTACCCACGCATTGTTACTGGCTGCAGTAGGTTTTGCAAAACATTGGCCAAATAACCGGTTTAAGAGTACATGAGCAAATACAGAATCCCATTATCTTCATTTATAAAGCCTCGCATTTAGCCAAAGAAGGAAATTGCCAAGATGAAAAAAGATGTATTCCTTTATTTAAGACACTGTGCTACTTTCGAATACATTAGAAAAAAAACAGTTAAAACACATGGTGGTAAAAGATATCCATTTACATGGGGTTTGCATATGGATGAGGAGATGGGTCCATGCCACTTCCGGCCCAACTCTTCAGAGGGTTAAAATGACTGATTGATCCCCACATTTCATGTTTGAATAATGGGATGAGTTCTAGTGTGGGGTTTACATAAGAGATCTGGGAATGTAGAGCACAAATTAAAGTCATCAGTCAATATTCTGGACTATTATCATCAATACCAACTGTTAAGTGAAAATGTTTCTTTTTGTCCAACATATATTCATGTTCTAATCAGTTGTAGAGAAATTGGGTAAGTAGGGAAATAACTATAATAATATATCCCTGTAGGTGAGGTACAATTCAGCAGAGGGAAGGGGGAAGCCAACAGGAGGCCCATAGACGGATACAGTGAGACACCAACTAGACAAGGTTGCAAACATGGAAAGACTGGAGTCATCATGACACTGGGGATGGCAAAAGGTGTAGGACAAGATGGTCTAGAGACACCAGCTGTGGGACAACGGTCTCGTGGGTGTGGATGGACCCGAGACAGAACGGGAGGGTCAGCAAGACTGGGTCAGCCGACCAGACTGAGCCATTTAGTTCAGCATATAGTGATAGTGTTCTTCTATTACTCAGACTGAACTACTCTTTTCCCCTTTGAAAACCACGTTGTTTCTTTTAATGTCTTAAATCTGTTTTATGGAAAATTATTGGCTGCTGATTTGGCAACTTTGAAAAAAAGTGACAGTATTGAAAAGAAACATCGGTTCATGGTCCTAATGGTGTGAGGTCTTTACTAAGACCGTTATCATTGGCTTCTGTATTAATGACATATTTAAAGTGCACAGATTTCAGTTCATTAGACATAATATTAGTGATTAAAGAAGAGCCTCTCTGTTTTTGCTTAGTTAAGAGGGAACTGGAGACTGCGGCGCTGGCTGATAAAGAAAGGTCCAACCCTGAGGAGGTGCGTATGACCAAAGATACTCTCATTACCTTGTTAACAGAACATGAAGGATACATGTTTTACAGGAATCCAAAGTGGTGGAGAAAGACCTCTCCTGCTTGTCAGTGTCAGGTGTGTATTTCACCTGTCCCCTAACTGGAGCCACTTTGACTAAGAGTGAGAGGGAAGTTCACATCAAAGAGGCCATCTTAATGGTACGTCTGGAGATATGGCGCTGGTTATTATCAACAATGTGTTTGCAACATGACTTTTTGATGCGAATGTCGTTTTCACTGCCAGCGGTTTGAGGAGGACGCTGTGGAGGCGTCGGTTATGATGGTCCACACATTCAACAAAGACAGAGAGAAAGTCAAGGCCGCCGTGGACATCATGAGCAAGTACGACTCTGTAGATCCATGCTGACTTTTAAGTTACCACAAGGAACTTTAAACCCAGTTCTGATCCAATCCAAGCCTCAATGAGACCTACATAAGTTAAAAACACCAGCAGGGAGAAGACGGCTTATTTCTTTATTCTGAATGTCTGATATCAGACAATATCCTCCCAGCTTAGACTGCAGCAGAGCAACAAGATCTCAGTGGACAGAACCAGTTTTGCTGCTGCTCATTGGGAAGGAAAAAAAAGCTCAGTGACTAGAAGACGTTCCTCCAGTGAGGAGACACCACGCTGCTGGACACCCAGTGCGTATTACTGGAAGAACGAGACGCGGTGCTGGGGGGGTTGGACTGTTGGACCCTGCTGCAGTAGAATAAGAGGTTTTCTAAAAGTAGCCCTGGTGGAAGAAACACTGCCGCTTTATAGCACAGGGGCGCCAGAGTGAAGTGAAGATACAAGTTCCTCGTTATAACTGAAGTTCAGCTTTTGATTTGCTTTTTACTCAGTTGAATATCCTTCTCTAATTTGATGTGTGTAACAATAATCATGTTTTCTCATTTGTAATAGATATATTGAGAATATATGTAAGAATCCCACAGAGGAGAAATATAGGAAGATTAAACTCAGCAACAAGGTGTACCAAGTAAGTTCAAGTCCAGTCATCATTCAAATTTTTCCTCCTCATCTTTTACATCATCTCCTTTTATATCTTCTTCCAGGAGAAGGTTCGCTGCGTCGACGGCTGCAGAGAGTTCCTGGAGGCCCTGGGCTTCACAAGCATTCTGCTCCCTGTAGAGGGTCAAGGTAAATGAGCCCTGACAAGCTGCCCAACAGACCAGAGCCAGCTGTTGCATGTGGTCATGTGCGCTGTCCTTTGCTGGAGCTCAGAGGAGGAAGAGGAGTTCCTGGTCCTACTAGAGCACGGTCCCGATGCCCTGGAGCTCATGAAGGAGCGGAGGGACCGTCTGCAGAGAGGAGAGCCGGTCAGAGCTCAGCTGGACCGACAGCCTCAGGCCTTCAGATCATCTCCCCACGGGCAGCGCTTCGAGCTGCCGCCAGACTTCTACAACCTGACTGCAGAGGAGCTGAAGAGGGAGCAGCAGCAGAGGCACGAACTCACGCTCATCTCCATCATGGTCCGGTGCCGTTTGTCATCTTAGATAACTTCCCTCTTGTGATTTTTCAAGGAGCGAGTCGGTGGAGAAGAACGCCATGATGCGCACTAAAGCCATGAGGGAGAAGGAGGAGCAGAGGGAGAGAAGGAAGTACAACTACACTCTGCTCCGAATCAGGTTGCCTGATGGAAGTCTGCTACAAGGTAACCACACAGAAGAACATCTGGCCCCCAGCTGTAAGTCGGGCACAACTACCGGCGCTAACTCCTCGTGACGTCTGCCGTTCCTCAGGGACGTTTTACGCGTGGGACCGGCTCACCACGCTCTTCTGCTTTGTTCGGGACTCTTTGGTGGACGGCTGGCGTCCCTTTGAGCTCCTCGCTCCTGGAGGTCAGAAGCTCACAGAATCTGAGGAAGTGGCCCTTGCAGAGTGTAACTTGGTGAGTGGACCCCACAGGAAGTAGTTGTATATCATTAAATGCAGAGACCCGTGATATGCTCTACTTTTACAGTGACTGTTAATATTCAGGAAGTGATAACAAGCAATGCAAACAAAACATGACACACTACGCTGTCCATTTTATTTACATATAAAATATATTATGAAGACTTGGTCAGTTTGTGAGGCACACATTAAGACGAAGACCTGTGGTTCCTAATTCAAAGCATCGCATTCAACGTCTTTCAGCAATAGAACTCTACACAAAACAAAGTATCTTCAGATTACTTGTGTCTTTCCTTCCTTCCTGATGTTTTACCCTTTGTCTCTTTAAACTGGGCAGCAGCCTTCGCCCCCGCTGGCTGTGAGATTGTAGTCGGTTAATAAGATGCCATGATGGCTTGTAGTCTCTGCTAGTCTGTAGTCTGTTTTCCATTGACACTACCTTCATTACAATATAAGAGGCAGTACGGCCAATGTTACAGTTCAAGGCGAACGCTTGAACTGTAACCGTATTGACAATAACTATTGCCTCGAGTACCTAATCGATTTTATAATGCGGTTGTCGGATATTTTAAATGATAAGCTGCCTTTCATTTGTTAGCTAATAATCAACAAAAGTGTGGTGCTAAGCTAGGAGATTGACATTCATTTGTCAAATGAAAGCGTAAAAAAATTGCACTATTTAGAGGTGTTGAAGCCAGATATCTTATTGTAAAAGGCCAGGTTTGGGTTCTGATAGGTTGGCAGCATTAATAGTAAAGTGAAAATCAATGTGGCTCAATAATCTGGCATTACTTGCTTAGGTTCCTGCGGCGCTGCTCACATTCTCCTGGGATGCAGCTGTGCAGGCAGATATAACTGCTGCAGGGGGGTCGAGCTCGGCAATCCTCAAACCGGAGCTGCTGGAGACCCTTTGGACCCTGAGCTGAGCTCTGGTACTGCAGAGCTGAGCCCTCCAATGTCCTTCATTCCTTCCCTGTAGTTCTAGCAGAGCTCTTCAGCCCGAGAGGAGACGCTGTAGAGAACTCAACGAGCTCCAATATGGTTTTGTCGCCGATGCGTTTTTGTTGTTGAGGCTCAAGTTGAAGACTTTAGCTTCTGGTTTGTTTGCTTCAATAAATAAGAACTTTAAATGTGATGCGTTTGTATTGCATACGAGCACAAATGCAATGACAAGATCCTACAACTACTGGATCTTCCTCTGCGTATCCTCGGCTTCAAACACAATTCATGCCAAGTTTATAAGTTCAGCAAAGTATTATGTTTAATTAGTTTGTTGTGTGATGAAGATTCTACCACCTAACAATACCTAGTATTGATTGGTTTGGAGCTTTATTTGAAACTTAATCCTATTAAATAACCTAAAGCAGAAGAATCATGTGGACTTTTTTCAATTCATCTGGAGTCTTGTATTTGTATCAAACACATTTCCTTGAGATAAAAACAGGAGAAAGTTTAACATAACACTTATGCTTCAAATTTTAAATTAATAATTTACCTGCAAAAATCTATAGCAGGTAAAAGTATACTGCTATATTAAAGCAACAACACCCTACCTCTCATTGCTCATCAGTCTATACACGCGTGTGTATGTGAACATAGGTTTTATTGATGTCATCTCTGCTTTAGCGGCTCACACGGAATCATTGAAATGTGTAAATGTTGATCAGCATTGTAACCCTAATAACCAATTATGTGATAAGTCTACGTAAATATATTATTCTAATATGCCTGTAAAAGATGTAATCTAAATGTTTGTTTAATAAACAGTTGATATGCAATTGAGTGTTTAATAGGAATTTGTTTATGAAGGAAAACTAACCACCGTTCTACAGGAACCATTGAACTAGTTAACCTTAACAGAAGATGGGCCACAGTAAAAGCTTAATGTTATTACATTAGGAAGCTTTATCATAACGCTACTAAAAGGCACGGAAGAGAAATGATTGGAATATATAAAAGTGCAGTACTTTTATTCATGTTTAATGAATTTATCCTGTTCAAGTATTCTTGAAAAAAATACATATTTATGAAACAATGTGACTGGAGCTAACTTTTCAAGCAGAGATCTAAAATCTAGTCAGTGAGTCCGCAGTCAGAAACAGCAGAATAAATTCACTTTTTGTAAATGTACAGAAGAACTTTCAGCCTCACTACCCGACTTATTCTGCTTGTACTATATACATACAAAGACACATTTAGAATAGATGCCCAATTCTGTCATAGATCAACAGTTCAAGGACTGTAAATAATGTTGTTCTGAACTGTTGAAGCGGTTCTCTTGAATGCTTCTAATGAATATTTGGAGAACTCCGTTCTTTCTCCCTTTGATCAACTAAAAGAGCCAAAGCTGATTCCAGAGACGCTAACGAGGTTTCTCAGCACAGAAATCAGACCCTTAAACTTAAAACCAAACGTCCCTTAATTATTATATCACACCTTCCTGATTTAACTACATGTCACAAGCCACATGACTGCAAATCATTTAGACAAGGAAACCAAAGAAGAACTGGATGCAGAGCAGAAGTCACCTGCTGTGAGGTGATGCTGCTTGAAGATTCTGTCAAGGACAAAGTCAGAACACTCCGAGGAATCAGCTGATCCGACGAGCCCTCAGGCCGTTGAGATTCCCGAAGCAGGAAGTGTCGCCATGTCAGAGGAGGAGACCTCCATCGGTCCCGCTCCGTCGCCGGTGGAGGTCTTTGTGGTGGAGTCTGGAGACGATAATTTATTGAGATCAAAAGCTTCTCACCCTCAACACTTTTAGCAACATCACTCAAAGTCAACAGGTTTTTCATCAGATGACCGAAATGAAGTCTGCGGTTAAAACAAGTTTGTGTTCCATTAAAAACTTGTACTTGGTAAAGTATTTCATGTAATAGTAAATGACCACCTTGTAAATGTTGAGGTTTAAGTGTCTTAAGGAAGCGGATGCTACACAGTGTAGGTGATGACCACTCATCTGCCTTTGGCTCCACAGGACGCCGTCGTGTCGAGTTCATTTATGGCCCAAAGCTTTTCACATTTTAACTTTACCAGCTCAACCAAATGATGAGGACTTAAAAACACAGCTGCTATGGGGTGTAACTGGTACTATGATAGGGAGGGTTAGGGGGACACTATGGGGTGTAACTGGTACTATGATAGGGAGGGTTAGGGGGACACTATGGGGTGTAACTGGTACTATGATAGGGAGGGTTAGGGGGACACTATGGCGTGTAACTGGTACTATGATAGGGAGGGTTAGGGGGACACTATGGGGCGTAACTGGTACTATGATAGGGAGGGTTAGGGGGGACACTATGGGGTGTAACTGGTACTATGATAGGGAGGGTTAGGGGGACACTATGGGGTGTAACTGGTACTATGATAGGGAGGGTTAGGGGGACACTATGGGGCGTAACTGGTACTATGATAGGGAGGGTTAGGGGGACACTATGGGGTGTAACTGGTACTATGATAGGGAGGGTTAGGGGACACTATGGGGCGTAACTGGTACTATGATAGGGAGGGTTAGGGGGACACTATGGGGTGTAACTGGTACTATGATAGGGAGGGTTAGGGGGACACTATGGGGCGTAACTGGTACTATGATAGGGAGGGTTAGGGGGACACTATGGGGCGTAACTGGTACTATGATAGGGAGGGTTAGGGGGACACTATGGGGCGTAACTGGTACTATGATAGGGAGGGTTAGGGGGACACTATGGGGCGTAACTGGTACTATGATAGGGAGGGTTAGGGGGACACTATGGCGTGTAACTGGTACTATGATAGGGAGGGTTAGGGGGGGATACTATGGGGTGTAACTGGTACTATGATAGGGAGGGTTAGGGGGACACTATGGGGCGTAACTGGTACTATGATAGGGAGGGTTAGGGGGATACTATGGGGTGTAACTGGTACTATGATAGGGAGGGTTAGGGGGACACTATGGGGTGTAACTGGTACTATGATAGGGAGGGTTAGGGGGACACTATGGGGCGTAACTGGTACTATGATAGGGAGGGTTAGGGGGACACTATGGCGTGTAACTGGTACTATGATAGGGAGGATTAGGGGGACACTATGGGGCGTAACTGGTACTATGATAGGGAGGGTTAGGGGGACACTATGGGGTGTAACTGGTACTATGATAGGGAGGGTTAGGGGGACACTATGGCGTGTAACTGGTACTATGATAGGGAGGGTTAGGGGGACACTATGGGGCGTAACTGGTACTATGATAGGGAGGATTAGGGGGACACTATGGGGCGTAACTGGTACTATGATAGGGAGGGTTAGGGGGACACTATGGCGTGTAACTGGTACTATGATAGGGAGGGTTAGGGGGACACTATGGGGCGTAACTGGTACTATGATAGGGAGGGTTAGGGGGACACTATGGGGCGTAACTGGTACTATGATAGGGAGGATTAGGGGGACACTATGGGGCGTAACTGGTACTATGATAGGGAGGGTTAGGGGGACACTATGGGGTGTAACTCACCGCTGTGAGTGGCGATGATCACACAGTCTTCCTCGTCGTCTTCCTCGGTATCTGCTTGGAATCCGTCTACCTCCATTGTTTCCGTCTGTGAGGGAGAGCCGATTGATTAGGTGGAGGACACAAGGAACTCTTCCATTAGATCTATTGATTAGATCAGCAGTTCCCAAATTGGGGGTTGCAACCCCGTGGGGGGGGCCACTAAATGACGTCACTGCCTAATTTGCTTAATAGCAATTGACACGCTAGGATCATCGGAGACAGTCTGGACGGAGACATATGGTCTCCTCTCTGAATGCTGCAAGGCAGGAAGTGCAGAACAACACGTGCCTTCAGCCAGAAAAGAGTAAATAAAACAACGTCCCTATGTCCTCAAAGGGGGACTGAACAAGTCTGGACACCAGAGGATGAGATCGAGGACACACAGTACCTGCTCTGGGTCGGAGCATTTCTTCATGAACTTTGTTATGGACATGCTGCCCGAGCTCTTCCTCTTGTTGGAGGACAAGGACGTCTGAGGGGTGGTGGGTGAGCTCCCCTGGGAGCCCGTGGCAGCCTGCGGTTCTTCCCGGGACTCTTCTCGAGCTCCGGTGGTGAGGTAGGTCCATTGGCAGGGAACAGGAAGGGCCTCCTGGTCACAGCGGGTCAGAACCGCAGCGTGTACGTACCAGCAGCAGCGCCGGTAGGTGGAGCGCTTCTCATAAACAGCATTGCTCTTGATGAGACGCTTCACTTGTATTCTAACCAAAGAGGGAAGGGAAGTTATTTTAAATGGACATAAAAACACAGCAAAATTATTCCAGCATTCACAACAAAGACGAAAATCTACAAACAGAACATTGAGTAAAAGGTGGTAGACAGACATTAGACAGCAGCTTGTGGCAACCTTGAACATATGATGACAATGTAGGATGTAGAGAATAAATCCTACTTTGTGGATGAAGATATTTGTATTATTGTTAGCTTTTACTTTAAGCCCATTACAGAACTTTGAGGATCAGAGGTTTCACCTGGTGGGGATGTTCTCTGCTTGGCTCTGAGGACTCAACAGTTCAGGGGGCGAGGAGGAGGAGCTCTGCTGACGACAGAACTCCTGAAACTCAGTGATGATCACTTTGCTGCTGTTCAGGTTGCCGTGCAGAAGAGGAAGCAGCTGAGTGAGTACTGAGAGAGGAAACAGCTGATTAATCAACGGTTTCAATTTGTTGGAAAACAAACTTATCCAAACTTCTACTGGAGCATATTTTATGCACAGAAAGATTGGATTGTGTTTTCAGGTGTACTTTTTAACCCAAACTATAACTGCAAGCTTTATAGTAAATAATTGCTGCCCTCGCTCTCTCTCTCACTTACGTTGCGCTTCCCTCTGACGCTTCTGTGTGGACGCCTCTGGACTCGGGCTGGTTTCTACTTTGGGTAAAGGATGGACCAGACACAAAGCATAAAGCTGGAAGAGCTGCAAAGCAGGACCTTCTTCCTCCCAGACGCAGCCCCTCACGACTGGCTCCAGCACCTTCATCCTCTTCTTGTTGCACATCAGCTCGTCCCACTCCCTTGCTTTCACTTTTTGTCGTAGTTTCTGCTTCTCCAAGTCACCGCCCTCCTGGGAAGTCACACGTGTTGATAGTGATGCAGAGCAAGCTAAAACCTCAACAATGAAGTCCAAACAAGGATATTAACAAGGATTTTAAAGATTAAAAGGCCTTTAAACACAAGGTACGTGGGGCAAATAAACACATTCAATTAAAACAGTTTCACCATTCATAGTGGATGTGGTTTGCAGTGCAATCTGTCAACATTGAAATTACTGAAAGTTCAGTCAAGTTATTATAAATCTTGATCACATTACTATTACTGTCATCATAGACCAACATTACCCTTTGCTAAAGTCTTTGTGCCACAGGCTTCTGTGGATGGTGGTTCTATGTGATGGTGGTTCTATGTGATGGTCCCTGCAGTGGTCCTGCTGTACACCTGCTTACTACTCGCACTTATTTGAATCATCTGTTGTATGAATTGAATGTATTGTTCATCTTCTACATTGTTCATTCTGTTCTCATGACATCATTGTAGTCTGTCCACCAGGAGACGGATCCTCCTCTGATGTTCTCCCTGAGGTTTCTTCCCTTTTTTCCCCATGGAGGGTTTTCATTATGTACACATAAATGACCTTTCAAAGATAACATCCTTATTGTGTAAAAGCCTTCAGGAGACAAAGAGATTTCTTTAAAAACAACATGCCTCTTCTTCTGGAGCCCCTTCATCGTCTGAGAGGTATCCATGAGGAACAAAGAAGCCATCATCATCGTCATCATCTTCACCTCCTTCCTCCTCGTCTTCCTGACAATTATCAAAAGGTTCAACGGTTGACTAAAGAGTAAAAGGTACATTTCAACCACAAAACTTCTCCTATACTCCTTTTACTCCTATGTATACTTTGGTTCAAAGCTTTTTAAAAAAATTAATAATTAAGTCGTTTTTGTATCTTTTTAAGTGTTTTGAATTTATTTCTGTTGCAAGTGAAGAGAATGTTTCTTTGGAAGAACTTTTTTGTGTGGAGCCAATTTTCCCTTTAAATTTAAAAATGTAAATCATTTTTATGAATTCTATAAAATGTTCACCGCTGCTCTGTTATCCAAGGTCCTCCGGGCTGATTTGGCCAATGAGAGTGACGCAAACTGTATAATTATATTTACAAACTATTTCTAGATGCCAGATTACATGTTAAACTACAAAACTGGAATGTAGACAGACATTAAATAAATGTGCATACCGATTCCCTCTACAATAAAACTCACCCCTTCACTATGTGACAGGGATTCTCCTGGTTCTTCTTCCTCCCATTCTTCATCACTCTCCACCTCATAGTCGAGCAGTTTCTGTAGTCAAACAAAACAATTAGTGTCACTGTTACAAAAACAACATTCAGGGTTAAAGGCAAAAAGTGACAAAATCACAGACGGCTACATTGAAACTACTATTCTAAAACCCATGACATGCCAAGTACAGTCATGACGTCCCAACAGTGCTTAAGGCCTTTATCCAATCAGTACCTTGTCCTGTTTGAAGGGGCAGCGAGCGGAGATGTGAGAACTCTTCTTACTCCAGGTGCCCCAGTAGGCTGGACGGTAGTTTGCATGGAACTGCAGCAGCTTCATGGCTCCACAACGTTTACGATCTGGAACATCTGCTTTGGGTCCTTCTGCTGTTGTACACTTACTATGAACAAAAGATGAGAAGAGAGGGAAACCATGTTTAACCATCAAACTACTGGTAAAAGTCATTTGCTCTTTACAATCTATAACGTGGGCAGAATTACACACCCCAAAGCGTTTTATTCTGGCTGAGACTAATGAAGCATTGTGTTCAGCAGTTCATTCAACTGGGGAATCACAGCAGTTATCAGCTTTTAATAATAACGAACAAAGAAGCCAACAAATATATGGAGGCCACAAATTCATGATCCGTTTTGAAAGCAGTTGTGCCTTTTCATACATGCTCTGAATTGGCAAATTACAGGTTATTATAAAATGCTTTGCACAGAAGAACATAATGGGACAGATTGAGGTTAATCCCAATGGCTCACCAGAGCGGGTCTCTTGGTCTCGGGTTGGTGGGTCCTGAGCGTCGGGGTATTGGACCGATCCAGTCTTTCAGTCCATTCAAGTTATCAGCAGGGTTCAACAAGCACCGGTCCAGCTCCTCCAGAGCGGAGTCCTCACAATGAACCCGGCATAGTGGAGCAAGAGCCATGTGCTCCTTTATCTCAAATGGAGCAAACTTCCCACACGCAGCTGCAAGCGTCTGAGACAGCCACGTTTTATTATCAATTTTTATTCATTCAATTGGCTATCTCAGTTAAAGGGTCAGAACAATAACCCAACAATAGTTTATTAAGCTCTTAAATGCTCGCTAGCTTTTAGGGGATCGACAGTGTTCTAATGTGACCGTAAGTTATGAACCCAACAGTGTTTACCGAGCCGAGTAAAAGAGGGTAATAGTTATTATTAAGTGGGACGTCTACTCACCTTTGGAGGCTGTTGGATCTTGGGTTTCTGAAGAAAACGAGTAATTTCTGCTTTCTCAGCTTTCAAGCGCTGTAAAAAGATTATTCAGTAAATCAATTACAAATATGTAGAGACAAATATATAAATATGAATAAATTACAAACATACATCCTTTTCTTCTTTCAACCGTTTCTCCTCTTCCTTCATTTGTTTCTCTTCTTCTTTCTTCCGTTTTTCTTCTAACTTCGCCCTAAAACAATTTCAAAACATTTAGCATTCAGAAAGCAATGTGTACGTTGAAACCTTTCCCCATCGCTGACTAGCATTACTCACTCTAACTTTGATTTCCGCAACTCCTCTTTCATTTTCAACTTGTCTGCCTTTTCCTTCTCTTCTTTCTCCTTTTTCTCTCGCTTCTCTCGCTCTTTTTTCTCTCGTTTTTCCTTTTCTTGTTCATCTTTTAGCCGGCGAGCCTCTTCCTTTATTTTCATCTTTGCAGCTTTAGTTTCTTCCTTCTGCCGTTCCTTCTCCTGTTGCAGACGAACTTTCTCCTCTTGTTCACTCTACAATTACAAAATACCAGTGAGTTCTTCTTCCCTACTAGTCGCATTAGAACAGTTTGAATGAAAAACCACAACCTAAGTGACAAATAAGACACATAACCGGTTGTGTTTGAAGCTGCGTTAATAAAGTCTGACCTTCGACGAGCGTCTTCTCGGGTTCTTCGGATCAGATGAAGTCTTGGAAGTTGTATTTGGCTGCTGTGAGCAAAGAGAAAACTTAAAAACGGAAATCGGTTCAACACAATTTGAATGTTTTACATTGTTCACTTACTGTTTTTTTTAAATTGTACTGGACCTTAAACCTTCATATGGATGTTACACAATATTATTGTGAGCAAATATCTACATTATATTTTAAAGGACTAATTCAAATCCATAAAAATGTAAGAGGTTTAAAATTAGAGTGGAAACTGGTCAAGGAATTGTGCTTTATAAAATTATTTATCATGAGAATCATTAAGCCATGTAAAAATCCCAAATAAAATAACTGATCATTGAACCATTACTGCTCATTGGGTCACAATCTATTTTTACAACATGATGTACTTTGTGATGTGTTTGATATATGCAGGTACATTACAAAAGGAATATTGATGTGAGACTGTATCAGCTAATTGTGCACAGCCCAAAGTGTGATTAAACCCAAAGGAGGACAGGGAAGATGTACATACTGTGGGTGTACTAGTGGAAGTGAGGTCATCGGTCTGAGACTTCTCTGGTGAGCCTTCAGATGTGGAGCTGACCGATGAAGCAGACAGCATTGACCGGTTTCCTGACACGTCCGGCTCCTCTGGCCCACTTTCAGAATCATGTGTTGAGTCAAGCTGAGAATTAAATGCGGTCTGATTACCAGTATCATCACCTTCTTCTTCCTCCTCCTCCTCCTCCTCCTCCTCCTCATCTTCGCTGTCTACCGTGCCGTGTAAAGTGTGTGTTTTAGGAAAGTGATCCACACTAAAAGGTTTTCCATAGGATGTGGTTTTGTCTTTGCCCTGATGCTCGTCTTCAAGGCAGGGAGAAGCAGCAGAAGCGAGAGGGGTAAGGCACTTAAGGGGAGATGAGGTGCTGTCCTCGGTCAAATCTATAACCGTATTCTCATCTGAGGCTGCGGATCGCCTACGGCACAGGAAGCCATCAAGGGGCCCACGACCGTTAACCAAAGGTGGTCCACTTTGAACAGGGAGAGCAGCAGACTCATCATCTCCGTCTGGGACTCCTGCCTTGGGGCAGGCGTGTGCACAAGCACGTTTAGGTTGCAGGTTGTCTTTAGGTTCAGGGTTCATGCGCTTAAATGGGAGACGAGCTGCAGGAAACAATCAACATAAGAAACGGTTACTTTAATGGCTGTTATGTTGCAAAATGTAGCTTAAGAGAAACAAATAATTAATTAAATTGTTAAATACAAATTTATAAAAGTGAATTAGTGTGTCAATTGACAATGACAATACAAATATAATTGGGCTATTATTGTAGATGGATATAACCATCTGATGACGTCTTATTCTCAGGTAATACTTTAAATCGTGTAATAAATCAATGTTGTGTTTACCTTGGATAAGTTTCTTGTTTGCCTTGTTACTCGATTTACAATCCATTCCTAAAAAAAAGATAGCAGAAATAAAACGTGCATCACAAAATAGTCAAAACCAAAACTGCACATTGAAATAGTATTAATACTGTGATCAATGACCCGGTGGTTGGCTAGGTCAAAGCAAATCTATCAACTAATGAAATACGATGACAAGAATGACGACTGAAAACCGCTTCACATTTAATTAACAACTAAAATGGGACAATTTAAAGTTACTCTGATAAAATTAAAAAGTAATAACCACATGTGCTTTGAGGCATCAAATCTTCAACTTATGATGATTATGTTAGTAGTATTCGTCAAGGGGGTACGGTATAGTAATGAAAGAGTTGTTTTATTATTATTCTTTAAGGTGTGGTATTAAATGACACATTTAAAGTTTATAATGTTAAAGGTTTATAATGAGTTACGTTAGTGTTATTCTTTAAAAGGTTGTATTAAAAATGCACATGCAAGATTTACACAGCTGTTATAATCAAAGTATTTACCCACCTTGGTATTATTTATATACTGTTGTATTAAAGGTCAAGTAACGTTCATAACATGAAGGAGTTATAATCATGGTTCTGTTTGGACGGTCTCCCGCCACTGTTTTTTTTGGGGTCCTTGTTGAAGGCCCAGTTGAGTCCGCAGCCTTTCTGTTAGGCGACCGATTCACGTCCAACAACAATGCTGTTAACTTCGCACAGCTATTAATGTTCCCTTTTAGTTAACGTGTCTATGGCCATGAGAAAGATACGTATTTGAACGTGCAGAGACAACGGAGCTGCTCCTTGATTTCACTCATGCGAACGTGTGATGTGCGAACCTAACCAACGCACATGCTAATGCGACGCAACTTAGCTGGTTTTGTTCGGTTAGCAGAAAAGCTAACATAAGACACCGCAGTGTACTTTGGGCGAGGCTAACCACCTGGCCTGTAAATCCTAAACCACATAACGTTGGTCCCGTACCCCTCACAACCTAACAATATGCCCCCTAGGTCAACCCTCATATGCTAATGCACTAACGTTAGCTTGTCTGCTAACTCAACCAGGTAATGCGTCGCACCCTGGACAACCAGAGCTCCCTCACCCGATGCACCGTAACCACCCAGCCCCTAATCTCCAACCATACCCAACAATGGTAGAAGAGCAGGGTTGTTAAGAACTTAACGTTATGTCATTCTTGTGACACTAAAACGTTTCTAGTTAAAGGCCCAACTTAACTAATATGCATAACGTTACTGTGTCTCAGTTGACGTTAACGTTAAGTAATTTGAGTTGGAAAACATGACACCATTAGCAGTGCCAGGGGCCGAAAGCTGGCTGTTTAGTGCTAACTATACTAACGTATACGGTGCTAATAACTCATATTAGCCAGCTTTCCCCGTAAAAATGAAACCTACTTTAGTTAACGTTAACTGGTAGTGAAAACCTGGTTGCAGGCGTTAACTACAGCAAAACGTAACCTAAATATATTGGTTGCTTTAACGTTGTCAAGCTTTTGTGCAGTATCAAGTCCAGCATTTAGTAATATAACGTTACGTTTAGCACCATCAGCAAGCATTGAACAGAATTAGCATGGAGGTACCTCTTCTACGGGGAGTCGAAGCGGCCAAATGTCGGTCCACCGGAGGGTTCTCTGCCACCAGCATCTCACTAAGTCGGAGCTTCTTACGTTGGCGATATTTTACGTTAAAAACACAGTTCAGAAGGCGTAGAACACCGAAAGCAAACTATAGAGTGGATTGCCACTCAAACAACATGCATTTTAATTAATTTCACATAACACAATACGCATCTTCTTTCCGCCTCCTCCACGTACTGCCTGCACCCCGCTGCCTGCCTCGCGCTCCCAAATCAGAATTGGCGGGAGTGTGTCACTAGCACCAATAATCGTCACTGATTGGTCAAAGCAAAGTTACTGATCATGAGAGAAGAGGCTTGTTTAGGTTAAGGGCGTTGCACGTTTAGTCGATGCTTCTAGTTATACGCTTTGGAAGATTGTTTAAAGTGCCGTTTCAAATGTTTACTTAATTTCTTTCTCAGAGAGACGTTGTTATTTGACCTCGTTTCATACAGTGGTCTAAATGCGGTTATGATTGAACTCAACCTGTCCGGGACACCCCGTGGAATAAAACCTAAGGATGTCTGCCGCTTCTCACAGAGCACGCCTTCTATATGACGCTGGGGATTTTGTGATTGGCCGCTGAGTTTGACTTCCTGGGATGCCATGTTTGGGATGGTAAAATGAAATAAGTAATTCCATACTTTTCATGACTTAGTTACAGATCATAACATGAACATGAACACTTTTTAGATAATGTATTGTTATACTGTCTTTACAAACGTTGTCGAAAACATGCCATTCGCTGTCACTACCAAGGCTTTTGCTGTTACTAGAGAGGAAGATGTCAAAATTGAACAATGATGTTTTCCTCCTATCTCCTATGATGGCCTAAAAGTCTTAACTGTCTACAGGTTTATCTCTCGAGATGGCATCCGGTGGGATACAAACCAAAGGGTGTCACGTTGTAGTCACGCGTTTTCCGTTTACCGCTCTTGCGAATCCTGGGAGTTGTAGTTCTTCAGCCCCCGGAGCGCGTTGGCTGAAAGATGTTCAAAACTACAAGCCCTACGATGTTGCGCAGGCGCAGTATATTTGAGGGGCTCAGAAAAAGCACATCGTAAATGATTCCCGGACCCCTGCAGTTGTCGTCGAAAACGTAGAGACAAACGCCGTACTCTGGTAATATTAACATTTCTATTTTTAGTGTCTCATAGGTTTGCTGGTGTAGAAGCCTTTTAACTCTTTGTCAAATCACTGTATACATAAATAATTACTAACGGTACTGAGTTGTCCAAAAACGTGCTTTGACGTTAGCTAACGTTAAATACTGTATATTATCACCCTAGACAATGTAAACGCATGTAAACTTTACATTTACAAAGACAACTACAAACACATGTTAAACACACGCACGTACATTTATAAAGTAATCTGGATAATTTAATGAGTTCCTGTCAGCATTAGTTACCAGTTAATTAGAACCATCATGTAACGGTAATACATTGTGTTAACTTATTCTTTTTCCTGCTTTCCAGGGAGAAATTGGAAATTTAAGATGGGAGGTTTGTCATTTAAAACGTTTATTTATTTATCTACTTACCAGTTTGTCTGTGATATACCAGTGTTTCCCTACTATATAGAAGGGGGTGGGGGGGGCTTTGATTTCTTTTTCATCGGATTACGCGCAAAATTGAATAATACATAAAAACGAGTGTATTGCCTGCTTTTATTTTAATGTTATCAAAACATGTAACAGGCAATCTCTTTACATACATTTGTTTTCTTTTTTTTCTGAACAGGTACCAAAAAAACATATTTTATCAGGGAACAGCATGATGCATAATGCAGCATATGTTCAGTAGTAAGTCAAGTCAAGTCAAGTTATTTTATTTTGTATAGCCCATAATCGCAAATTACAAATTTGCTTCAGAGGGCTTTACAGTCTGTACACATACAACATCCTCTGCCCCGAAACCCACCATCGGCACAGGAAAAACTCCCCAAAAAATGAAAAAACCCTTACAAGAGGGAAAAAAGGGAAGAAACCTTAGTGAGAACGTCAGAGGAGGATCCCACTCCCGGGATGGACAGACTACAATGGATGTCATGTGTACAGAATGAACAATGTGTAATACATGCAATTCCTATGACAGAAATGTTTCAAGTAATTGTGAGTAAGGGTCCCTGTTAGTGAGGTTAAAGTGCTCTAGCACAAAAAATGACTTTTTAGTTTGTAAAGAATGTGGATTTCCTTTGAATCTCAAAGATTTTTTTTTTTACTGATGCAGGTTGAGCAGTTACTCAATGACAAAATTAACTTTTAACATCTACTTTTTTTTAATCCATTCCTGCGACTTTACATTTTCTTCCTCATTGCACCGAGCCAGTTGTTAAGAAAAAAAAAAGTAATTTTGATATTTAATTTTAATAAAGTAATGTTCAGATGATGAAGAACCTTTCTTCTTCTGAACAACATGACCAGCAAGAGAGAACCACCTTTCACAGGGTGCAGATGATGTACTTCAGACTGCTGTGTGAGTCTGCATGTCATCAGTGAGAACAACAGTTGGTGCTCGGGGAGGCTCGAACACACTCATGCGTTGTGATTCTAGGATGCTTCATTCTTGCATTGGTTTGTCGACAGTTCTTCCGCACATCGCATCCAACGTAGTCTGCGGAAGTAGAGATTTAAAATTAAAATGTTAATTTAAAAGTGCAGTAATTGTCTCCATTTTCTTGGTTTATATGTGCAAAGTGTTAAACCCCTCTGAATTCTCAAACAAAAAAAAATGTTAACGCATGATACAATCATTGTCGGCGTTAACTTGTCCTGATCTAATTTACATATACAATATTATATTTCCTGTTTCAGATCGGGTGAATAACTTCCCTCCATTGCCTCCGTTCATGAGAATAAAGTCATGTTTTTACCAGAACATTGAAGAGGAGATTCCTGAACTTTACCAGCAGTTAGTGAAAAGAATCTACACCCTTTGGATGAGTATGTTTTTTCACATTTCATAAAAAGACTCTCCATTGTTAAAGTCTACCCTGACCCTGATTGTGTGTCCCCCCCCCCTCCTCCCAGTGTATTCAGGCACACTATGTTTGAATGTGATCTCATGTGTTGCCTGGTGGGCAGGAGGGGGAAGTGCAGCCAACTTTGGCTTCTCCCTCCTTTGGTTGATCCTCTTCAGTCCGTGTAGTTACACCTGCTGGTTTAGACCCCTCTACAAAGCCTTCAGGTGAGTCACCGGTTTAAAGTGTCTCTGGGTAAAGTATTACAACCAGCTGCTTTCCTCTTCTATCTCCACTCCTCTGTCAGTGTGATTGTAAAACAGTGCCACATTGTGTTTGATGTGACCAAAAAAAAAAAGAGCCACGTTGTATACACACGTTACCCTTTCTTCACAGAGCCGACAGCTCGTTCAACTTCATGGCCTTCTTCTTCATCTTCTTCCTCCAGTGTCTCTTAGCCCTCATTCAGACTATTGGAATACCTGGATGGGGGACAAGGTGAGGACTGTATGATGGTTGCTCTAGTTTTACCAGCGACAGGGTCACAATGCATTAGGGGCCACTTTTACATTACATATCATTTAACTGACGCTTTTATCAAAAGCGACTTACAATAAGTGCATTTCAACCATACGGATACAAACTCAGAAGAACAAGAAACAAGAGTGTGCAATTTCTTCAAATAAGCCAATTCACAATTTGCTATAGATACGTGGCGTTACAACCATTACAATTGAAGTGCTACAATTTGTTAGTCTTTAGTCGAGGTGAGTCTGAAGGCTCTCTGTGGTCCTGATGTCTTCAGAGAGCTCGTTCCACCATTTAGGAGCAGGACAGCAAAAGTGGAGATCTAGTCGAGTGTTTTGCTCTCAGTGAGGAGGAACAAGCAGTTTATGACATGCAGAGCGGAGAGTGCGGGTCGGCGTGTCGGGTTGGACCAGGTCCTGGATGGAAGCTGGACCCCATCCATTCACAGCATGGTACGTGAGCACCAGTGTTTAGAACTGGATGAGCCACCGGTACCAGTGAAGAGAGCGGAGGAGTGGAGTAGTGAGGGAGAACTTAGGAAGGGTAAAGACCAGTGGAGCTGCTGCATTCTGGATGAGCTGCAGAGGTAGAATGGTGGTAGCAGGAGACCTGCAGGAGAGAGTTACAGTAGTCCAGGCTGGAGATGACAAGAGCCTGAATCAGTACCTGCGCTGCCTTCTGAGTGAGAAGAGGACGTGTTCTCCTGATGTTGTAGGGCGTGTATCTACAGGATTGGGTTGTCAGTGATGTTCGGAGTCAGGGAGAGTTGGCTGTCGAGTGTCACGCCGAGGTTCCTGCAGTCAAAGTGGGCGTTAGCACGGAGTTCCCAAAGTTGACCCTCAAGTCCTGGGTCGGAGAACCTTTTCCCGGAAATAGAAGTAGTTCAGTCTTGTCAAGGTTGATTTTCAGATGGTGAGTGGACATCCACCGAAAGATGTCAATCAGACAGGCAGGAAGGAGAAGCCATGCGAGCGAGGGACAGCGCCGAGAGAGTTGGTGTAGAGCGAGAAGAGGAGGGGACCCAGGACGGAACCCTGAGGAACTACAGTAGTAAGAGGACAAGGTTCCGACACAGATCCTTTCCAGGTAGGTGGGGACATCAAGGTAGGACGAGAGAAGGGAGAGAGCAGAGCCTGAGACACCAAGTTCCTAAAGGGAAGAAATAAGGATCTGGCCGTTGACTGTTTTAAATTCAGCAGAGAGGTCCAGAAGGACGAGGACAGAGGAGAGAGAGGCGGCTCTAGCAGTGTGGAGTTGCTCTGAGACAGCAAGGAGAGCAGTCTCTGTGGAATGGCCTTGAAGCCCGACTGGTGGGGGTCAAGGAGGTTGTTATGGTGGAGATAGGAGGAGAGTTTACAGAAGATCGCACTTCTATCTGTAGGGCAGTTAGGTAGAAAGCCAGGCAGGTAGGTAGATAAATGGAGTAGGTAGGTAAAAAGGTAAATAAATGGATGGGTAGGTAGGTAGATGAATAGCTAGATGGATGAGTAGAGCGATATGTAGGTGGGTAGATGAGTAGGTAGGTAGATGGATAGGTAAGTAAATTAATAGATGAGTAGATCGGTAGTAAGGTAGATAAATGGGTGACTAGGTAGATAGATCCATGAGTGGGTAGGAGACTAGGTAGATGAGTAGGTAGGTAGATTGATAGATAAATGGATGGGTAGGTAGGTAGGCAGGATTAATAGATAGATAGCCTGAACATAGTCTAAGGCTGTTGGTGATTATTTCAGGTCGGCCTTTCTTTTAGGGTTAGGGGTTATGTAATGCTATGTTCACACCAAACGTGACGCGAGCGTTTTGCGCCACAGTATTACATACAAACGCAAACGTTTCAACTTTGCCGACAAAATAGTGTTACACTGCAGTGTCTATCAGCGTTACACCACCCCGTCAGATGATAAAGATACATTAATAGTAACCCTGTCTGTGGGTACGAGCTGTAGGAGACATCCTCGTACCTAATGTTATATTGCGACCTGTTCAAGAAAGACTTTGCACTTCTAACAAACAGCATACAACCATATTTTCCTTTTTTTTGAATATCCAGTCACTGTGCTTGAGCACGCGGTGCCCTGGTGTCCTGGGACACTTCCCTTGGTAGAGAAGTATGATGTGCAGGCGGTGAAGTCCGCTCCCCGAATGAGCGACAAAGCTATCAAACAGGCTAGCATCATGTACAGCTGGAAGCGGCAGTCATCTTTTATCTTCTCATAAGACCAACCTACTTAACTAAATATGGATCAGGACCTCCCCTCATAACATCTCAACTATCCCGTTAATGGCTCCTTATAACCTTGATTATTTGTATCAAACTGCGCTTTCTATTTGCTTACGTTATGATACACTAACCCACACGTCTCCACCTCCCCATTACGTCCCAGCGGCTGGATTGCCACCGTGATGTTTTTCAGCTACAATGTGGGCTCAGCTATTGTGATGCTTATCACCACTCTGCTCTTCACTGCGGTCACGGCTCTAATGGCCCTAGTCCTTATCAAGGTGAGTTATATATACACACAGGGCTTTGTATGAGCTTGAACCCCAATTGAACGACAAAACTACATTTTGTCATGGAATAAATCTGACTAGTGTTATGTGCATATGTATTCACCCCCTTTACTGTAAAACCCCTCACAAAGATTTGGTGTCCCCAATTGCCTTCAAGTCACATAATTAGTAAATAGGGTCTCTACTCGTATTTTTGATATTTGTTTTTTGGGGGTGGAAGGGGCACTAATGCATCATTAACAGATTTTCCACCTTCAAAGTACTATGCATGTTGTGGAAAAAGTCTATTTGAATTCCAGTTTGTAACAATACAAAATGGGAAAAAGTCCAAGGGGGCAATACAAGGCACTGTATGTACATCCTAACCACCCCCACATACACCTGTCTGTCATATACATAAAGAATAATGATGTCCCCCACACAGGTGCACAGGATGTACCGTGGCGGCGGCGGCAGCATGAAGCGCGCTCAGGAGGAGTGGAGCACCGGCCTGTGGAAGAGTGCCCCAGTGAGAGAGGCGGGCTTTAATGCTGTCACCCAGACAGCCCAAGGTCCCAGTTTACCCCAGTACCCGGCGGCAGTGCCCAGTTACCCCGACAACAGCCACTGGGGGTAACTGGGAGTCATGTCTAGATGGAGACACACAGCTCTATTTCATTGTACCCGCTTGTGACCAAAGGTTATATCTTCCAACAATGCCATTCCATTTCAGGTTGTGTTTACATCTAGTTTATTTAAATGAATGAGAGACACTTTTATGCTCAAAATTGTTGCAAAGATGCAATTGTGTATCAGTAGGGCGAGTGCCTTATAAACTTTGATAGTTTCATCATACTAGGAATGGTACTGTGCCAAACAACCACCCCCTTATCCCTTTCATAACAATAGAGCCCTAAAGAACCATCGGAATTCTGTTGGGTGTATTATTCTCTTTATTTTTGATACTCAGTGTCACCTGCTCTGGCTGTAATTTCTTGAAATGCGCCTTAATATTGCCTGATATCTTTAAAATATCTTGCATGACTTTTGCCTTAAAAAGCCTTTTTGTTGTGCATTTGTGCTTTCAGTGAACAGCAATTGGAAACATTTACTCTCCTTCCCTCTGATTTCTCATCGATTCACCAAATCGCTTCTCTCCCTCTGCATTAATTGAATTGTGTCATAAAAAGTAGATGTTGAGTTTTTCTGGTTTTCTGTCAGAATGGTTTGTGTGTTTTCTGCATCTCAAGGACTGATTCAGATTATCTTGTTTTATGACCCCAGGGTTACACTGAAAAGAATCCGTGGTCAAATGTGTGTTTTTAATAATCTGGGGCCGTCCTTCACGCAAGCTCAGACCCAAAAACGGGTGATATGAGAACCGTCGGCAAATGCAAGAAACATGCACGTGTGAGAAAGTGTGTAAAACTAGACTGTTGTGTAAAAGAAATGCCAATACTGCCTCTCATAAATAACACAAACACCCGATTGATCGATCTGCAGTGAAAAACAAACAGAAATACAAATTAACACATTTTCAAAAAGTGAAATATGTTCTGCAATAATATCGGCATGTTATTAAATTCATCCTCAAAACACAGCTGTTGCTTGTCAGATGCAATCAGATGGACGGTAATAAAATGCCATGATGCCGTCACAATGCGTAATGACGCTGATCTTGCGCTCTTAGAAGACGTGGCACATGGAAGGATTGGCGCTGTAGTGCAGCGCACCATCGGCCTGTTTAAGGGCAGACGGCGCTGCCTCGACTGCACTGGAGGAGGTTGTTGTTTACTCCTGAAAAGGTGTGAAACATCGTGCTGCATGTGCTGTGCTACATGATGTGGCACAGCTTCCAAACGTGCCTCGACCCCCTGACGCCGATGTTGGCCCAGACCCTGTCCCCGATCCCCAATCACTGCCCCCAGTCTCTCATCAGGAGGGGACAGCTCCGGTGTCTCCTTTCCCCCCCCGGGACAGACACACTTTGGCGATGGCGCGCTAAACGCTTTTTTGCATCCACTTTGATGTCAGACCATTGCTCTGCAACCTTTTGCCACTCGAGTGCCTTTTTGGCATCAGTGATCCACACTGCGCCCTCCAAAGAGCATTAGACTTCTCCTTTCCACCTCCCGATGATCATTTCCACTTCACACTGAGTAAAGTTAAGTTTCTTCGTTTTCCTCTTCAGTGTTTGTCATGATTTCGCAATCGATGAATATTCATTTGTGGGCGTTCCACAGACTATATTTGGGCAACTATGGGCGTGACATGAAGCCGCAAAAGCTGCGCTGCATTTAGAAGTGATTGTGATTTATTAAAGGGAAAACTGCGTAGGACGTTTTATAAGTCTGAATGTTTCTGTGCGTACGCACGTCCTATGTTTCATCCGTACGCCACTTCTGGCGCAAATCCTACGCAAGGTTTTATAAATGAGGTCCCTGGTACTTAGTAAATCAGTCCGCACTACATACATGTCATTCCAACACACAACAGTAAAGATTAAATGAATATAATCAAACTGTTGAACTTATTATTAGGCAACGATAATAGAATTAGCCATTCCCCATCGAAGGGTTTATCATCTTTTGGGGAGCTTTTCCTGTGCCGATGTGAGGCTTTTGGGACAGAGGATGTTGCATGAGTACAGACCCCCACGCCACTGGCCGTCGGTCCTGGGGGGAAGGGGTAGTAGTTGGGCGAACGGGTAGTAGCGGTAACCAAACTGAACAACATTGCGACAACAACATACCATGAGAGCAAAACAAATTGCTATTAAAAAAAACAGACAGAAGCGAGGGAACCGTCACAACCATTCCACACATTCTTGGTCATTATCTTTCTCAGATGATATGGGGCAGCCAGGGTTCAAACCGCCAACCTTGTGGTTCCCAGCGCACCCTCTCTACCCCTGCGCCACATCGACCACTAAGAACTCTAGTGGTAATTCAGACTTGTAGTACTTCAGGCTGGTAGTACTCCGGTGATACGATACTTTTCCTCGGTTAATGTGTGCAGCAGTGTTAAGCCCCTTCCAATGCTAAAATATATATATATATATATATTATATATATATTTACAGTGAAGATGAGCTGCCCTGAAAGAGATGGAAGATACCCTGATGTGAAACCCTCTAATCCCCAGCAGCACACCTGTTTAAAGGTAGTTGGTGATGTCAGATCTCTGACTCATCGTATATAAATCCCAGACCCTCGAGGGTTGAGATGTTCTGCTCCCCGTTCCTTTTGAAGTCAACAGCTCGATGCTCGGCCCCCTGGAGGTTTATCTCTGAAGTCCGGTTCTGGATGTGGATGTACTCGGCTGACTGCCTCTTGGCCTCGCTTTCACCGGGGCGCTTTGCTAACTTGAAGCACTCCCGTGCACGTCCTTGAGTCCAGATCCACAACAAGAGTCCCATCAGGAAGAGACAGAGCAGCGACAGAGAAGCCACGGCCACCTCCAGCCGGGTCACCTTTCCCGGGTCGTTTTGGTTCTCGGGGGACAGTGGGTCCTGCATGTCCGACCCTCCCGGTCCTGCTGTGTTGGGACTCTGCACGGAGTTTGTCACCTCGTAGATAGGAGTTGTGCTGCCTGCTGCTTCAGAGCCGGAGTGGAGATGTAACCGATAAACCGCCACAGTCCGGTTGTAGGCTCTCCCGCTGATCAGCTCCACCGAGTCACACGAGTAAAGCCCTGCGTCGGAATCAGAGGCGCTGAGGAGGAGAAGGCCGCCGCTGTAGATGTGGTATTTGCTGCTGGAGTGAAGTGTTTGCTCAGACAATCGCCACATGACCTGAGCCAGGTTGGAGTGAGGCTGGCAGGGCAGCTGGATGTTGTTCTCTGTGACTAGTAGGAAGTTCTCAGCTACTACTGGATCTGAGGATGCAGACATGGTCAGATGATCTCATGCTGACACGATTCACAGATAGAGCCACCACAAGCCAACGTACCTGGCTTTGGGCACGGCATTGTGTCCCCCTCCTCCAGACTCTGTATGGCGGTGCTCGTGTGTACTGAGGAGCACAGCTTCGGGGTGAAGTCCCAGACACAGTAGGGGTCTCTGGACAGAATGCAGTCAGTACAGGAGTCATAGCGGCTGCAGTTACTGAGCGGCATTTGGACCACACCCAACTCTGAGCCTGCATACAGCTGGCCCTGATACACACACACACACACACACACACACACAAATTAACCATAGGCAATTGAGTGACATCATGTTTTAGTGGAGATATACTGTAGGCTGGATTCAAATTGTAAAATTTGCTTAGGAAGGTTCCTAAGTGAGTGAAATGACCTGGAAGTAGTGTAAGTGGCCCCCAGGCTGTTTGAATTCTCGAATGCTAAAAAAAGAGCTTTAATGCTTCCTTACTTAGCTCCTTTAGCATAGGAACCACTTGACCATCATTTGCAAAAGGAAATGAGATAATTCGGTCCCACAATTCTTTGTGGTGGCAATATTTAAATAGTGACTTATCATTCGGAAACATGCGAGTGTATGAAAGTAACTTTTAGCATAGCTAATTTATGTTGCCACCTTGTTAATAAAGTAATACTTTGAACCTGGTTGTTTATGTCGTCTGCATGACTCGGCACTGTAACAACACATGATGATATCTATGATGCTTCTTTGTAGTCCATATTCAGAGAAATTGTAGTTTTACCGCTGCTAACTGACGAAAGTAACTTGGGTCTCCCGACGCATCACTACGTACCTTAGTGAAAGAGAGTCTGATTCCCTAAAATCCACAGCTGTCTTTTCCTAACTTTTCATGAATCCTCCCAACCATCTTTCCTTGACCCCGTTATGTTTTTCAAGGAGGTCAAGAAATAGTGGTTAGGAATAGACGCTAGGTCATTTTTTTGACAATGCAAATCCAGCCACGAACTTGTGCCAGATAGCTGATTATGAGCTCGGAGACCATAGTTGACGAGGTGATGAGCTTATCAGCAGTTACCTTGCTGGAGGAGAGGCGCAAAGTGCTAATAGGCACAGGCTTTTCACACAGCTGGATCTCCTCAATGATGAACATCTCTCCGGCATAGTTCACAGCCTTCTGAATGTAACCGTTCTCTATCAGGAGACAATAAGCATTCATTAGAAAAATGAAAGTAACTCTTATACCAATGGGTATTTAAAGCTTACAATCAAAAGGGCTTTATCCGTTTAGAGCTGGAGGAAGGTGATGTCACACTCTTACGCTGCATGGTCTGAGAGTCCTTCAGGCGGGCTGTCATGTGCTTTTTACTGAGGAGTGGCTTCCATCTGGCCACTCTACCAAACAGGCCTGATTTGTGGAGTGCTGCAGAGATGGTTGTCCTTCTGGAAGGTTCTCCTCTCTTCATAGAACAACGGTGGACCATCGGGTTCCTGGTCACCTCCCTGACTAAGGCCCTTCTCCCCTGATCGCTCAGTCTGGCTGGGCAGCCAACTCTAGGGAGAGTCCCGGTGGTTCCAAACTTCTTCCATTTCCGGATGATGGAGGCCACTGTGCTCATTGGGACTTTCAATGCTGCAGAAATATTTCTGTACCCTTGGCCAGATCTGAGCCTCGATACAATTCTGTCTCGGAGGTCTACAGATAATTCCTTGGCCTTCATGGCTTGGTTTATGCTCTGATATGCACTGTCAACTGTGATACCTTATATAGACAGTTGTGTGCCTTTCTCAATCACGTCCAATAAACTGAATTTAGCACAGGTGGACTCCAATCAAGTTGTAGAAACATCTCAAGGATGATCAGTGGAAACAGGATGCACTTGAGCTAAATTTTGAGTGTCACAGCAAAGGCTGTGAATACTTATATACATGTTTTCGTTTTTTATTTTTAACAGATTTGCAAAAATTTGCAAACAACTGTTTTCACTTTGTCATTATGGGTTGTTGTGTGTAGAATGTTGAGGAAAATAATGTATTTAATCCATTTTGAAATAAGGCCGTAACATAACAAAATGTGGAAAAAGTGTAGCGCTGTGAATACATTCCGGATGCACTGTAAGTGTGTTGTAGATTTTAAGGTTTTAGCAATACTACTAGCATACTACGATATTTATATAAAACAAAACATTTATTTATGTTGCACGTTGTTGTTGTAGCTTAACTCATGACCGTGGAGACATAAGAGATCCTCACAAACTCAAGGTCACACTCGGTGGGTCATATTAGGGACAAGTATTAATGACTTTGACTAAATGTTTTACATAATGGAGAAACCCTGAAAACCAATAGTTTAGTTTATTCCACCAGGTGTAGGTCCGCCTTTGTGCACAGATATTGCTTATCATTGGTGCCAATGGTTATGGCTGAGTGGGCTGGCGATGGTTTGTGCTCCCAGCAATAAAGGTTAGGGGGTTAGGTTACCAGTGCCGATGAACATGACTGCATGCCTTCTCCCGTCTAGCCCCATCACGCTGTCCACTACCACCCGGGTAAGCAGAGCTCCGCTCGTCACTAGCAGCGGGCCTCCGGTCAGCGGGCCAACCGCCTCCTCCATGAGTGGCCGGTCCCGGATGAACTGGAGGGTTTTGTCGGGAAGGTCCAGAGATCGATTCATCCCCATTTGACGTGACACCGTATTGATGCACTGAAAAGCAAATTTATTATTAACACCTGGAAGGCTTTCATATCTACCATCACTCACGGCTCAGTGTGAAGACTCACTGCTCCTGGTCTGGGGACCGGCACCTCTCCAGTGAACATCACCCACTTGACGTGAGACGTCTCCACGGCAACCGGGGTTTTAAATTTTCCCTTGTTGAAAACGTGCCGAATGTCTGACACCCTAAATGCACACACAGCTGAGACCTGGGACGAGCCTCTAAAACACAGAACCAAAGACATTTATTATCCAATTTTTATTATCAAGTATACGGATGATTTTTGGAGTGACTCAAAAAGATTATTTAAATTCAGCTGTTCAGCAGACTTCCTTCCATGCCAGAGGTCACCTAAAGGTCAACCCCCATCCTTAGACATGAAACTGTTACATAAGCACGTACGACTGCGGTGTGAACACAGCATAGAAGACGCTCTTCCTCCAGTCCTCGTTCTCCAGCAGGAAGACATCCTGGACAATGGGGGGCAGACTGGGTTCAGGGAGGGAACAATCCAGGCGGGCTTTCAGGAACGTCGTCCATTTCCTCTGCAGCGTCCTCTGGCCGCCCATATCCCCCTGAACACAGAGACAACTGTCCTTTTATTCATGGCAACCAGAGGGTCAGAAGGGGAGGCGTAATTCACGAGTTATCTAACTCTACCTTGCAGACTCGAGCCACTCGAGACACTGCTACTTTGCTGTAGAAGTCGTACTCCATGGCATTCTCACTGAAGAACATGTACACCTTATCATCATCACCATCAGGACTCTCAAAACTCTCTCCCACAAAGTCCATGTACACAAAGTGTGGCTCTGAAATTAAGAAATAAAGTTACATTAGTCCTGTAGAAAGTACTGGATCTTGCATCAATTGTGTAACTACAGTAGATTCCTCTTAGCTTTGAATCATATGAAACTGTTATATAAAATATCATAGAAAAGACTCACCACTGAGCCAGGAGCTCTTAAACTCTGTGCGGAGAGACAAGTCGGAGCTGCGTAGAACCACCGGCTCAGAGCCCAAAAAGTTGATAGATGTAGCAGAGTACAGGTCACTTCCTGTTGGACAGGAACAACAGGTTAGGGGAAGGGTTCCTGGAGATTCATTATTCATATTATCCTTTTACGCCGGCTTATGGACTGACTTTGCCTGAGTGATTGGAGCATATGCATATGTAGAGTGAGCAGGCAGCACTGTGAGGAGGCGATTTGTAACCCTGCTCAGTTGTCATGGAAAATTCAGCCACAGTTATAAAACTGAAGATAGTTTCTGTTGGTGCACTTTGACCACTCGACAGCTTTCACTCACTCACCGATCATGAGGGAGGAGTATCTCTGGAAAGGATCAAAAGGGCACTTCCCCTTTCCCTCCTCCTGCTTTCCCTCCAGTCTTAGCTGCCCATTAACAAACGTCTGTGAGGGGGTGGAGGGCAGAGACAGAGCGAAAGAGGGAGAAAAACATAAAAACTTTTTGTATTGTAGGAGTCTATCAGCATGTTAAAAATGGTTCGTTCATACAGACTTGCCGTCTATCTATGACTAAAGTAGAAACTGTGTCAGACCTTCCCTTTATCACCGGTCCGGTTGGTTATCTAGGCGCATTTGGGAAACAGTGGAGGTCCGGGGGAGCTCGAGATTGCCTCTCTGCTTGTTGGAGCCATATTTTCTGTTTTGTTACAAATCATTTATTTGTATTGTTGGTAGGAATTATGTGTATTCACTTAATGTATTTTTTTGTTCATATTTGAAATAACTTTCTTTATGATTTTTTAGATGTGTGGGCCTGAGGCACGGGGGCTGGCTTTTGTATTGGACGGGACATTGGCACAGTCTTTCGACCTTACGTTGTCCACTCTGTTAATCGTGATCAAATGAAAAGACCAAATGTAAAACTTAAATAAAGAATGTAAATGAGAACACAAGCATTGAGTGTCTTCTATGGGAGCGACAACGTGTGAGTCAGGAAGCGGAGTTCCGGCCACCGAAACGAGGAAGTGCAAAAGCAGGCCACCACACTGCTTTTTTCAGATGATGTGGTCCCCGTTGGCCTCCTCAGTGACCTCTAGCATTCACTCGGGAAATGCACCCGAGAGTGAAGCAGCAGAGATAAGGGTTAGTGCCTCCAAATCTAAGGCGATGCTGCTTTGCCGAAAACCAGTGGATTGTTCTCTCGGGATGGGGACGGACGGCCTACCGTAACCAAAGGCCTTCAGGTATCGCCGGGTTTTGTTTACGAGTGAGGGTAGAAACTCTCGGTCGTGACCCCAACAACAAGGATACAGGAGGCTAAAATGAGTTTCCTCCGAAGGTTGACTGGGCTCAGCCTTAGAAAAGGACGTCGGACATCAGGAGGGAAGTTGGAGTTGAGACGCTACTCCCTTGGGTAGGAAGGAGTCACCGAGGCGGTTCAAGCATCAAACTAGGATGCCGCCCGGAAACGCCTCGAGATCCCCCAGAATGAGCTGGAACATGTTGATGATAGGGAAGCCTGGGTCAACCTGCTGTGCCTGCTGCCACCGCCACCCGACCCCAGATAAGAGGAGGACAATGGAGGGATGGATGGATTGCTATTATTCGTTGACTTTCTTTCAAAAGCACAAAAGACTTTAATAGGCAAAAAGGCAAAAAGCAAAAGGCTAACTGGCAAAAACACACACAGGAACCGGGGCAAAAGTCAGGCAGGAACTAGGAACATCCAGGACAATAGACAATGACGCGACAAGTGACAAGCGACACACACTGCTTAAATACACTAGGGAGGTGCAGGTGATTGGACACAGGTGGAAACAATCAGACAATCACAGGGGATGACAGGACCAGGCAGGAAGTGAAGTTACCCAGGGAGATACGAAGCAGAAACTACAAAATAAGACAGGAAATAACTAACCCACACACCGTGACAGTGAAGGAAATGAAGAAATTAGACATCTTGCTGAGAAAATTTGCTGACTATTATAATAATTTACCCAAAGTAATACAATTAAGAGTTTTTTAAAAAGATGTTTGACTTTTAAAGGATCTATGGACCCGTTGGTTTCCAATGTCCCCGTTCTGGACACAGAATCGGGTTGTGCAAATAATTAAACCATTTGCCTTGAAAAAAAATATATATATTATATATATATAATAATGCCAGTGACGCATATCTCTGGAAACATCCAAGCTTGAGTTACAATATTGAAGCTGAAAATCCAATCACAACTCAAGCAAGCCCTGACAGAAAAATCATGTAAATTCCTTCAGATAATTTACACCCGGCCGTGCAAAAGTTGAACAATCGGTCGAAGCTAACAAAAAAGATGAGGCAGAAAACCAATATAGTATTCGTGATATCTGTATCTCAGACGAACGTTGCTGTTTTAGCTTCTGAGTGGCTAAGAGAGCTGGCGCTCTTAACAACGTCATGCTACTCGAATCCAATATGATCAAACTATTCTAAAAGGGGGTTGAACAATATTGGACTACCACAGCCCGGAATTTCTGATCTCAGAGTACATGCGAGGATTTCACCACAAGTCATGAGAACTTATCAAAGTAAAACCTTCCACAATGACTGTCCACAACCTGGGCTATGACAGATGTTTTTAGCTAGGTATCTCCATGTTTTATAGAACTTATAGGGTTGTTAGTAATCCCCTTTGTTTTGACAGAAAAAAATTGTCCAAGTTACAGAGTTATTATACGTTTTTATCATGGGTATGCCATTTTTGGAGCAGAGGCCAAAAAAACTGGCTAGTCACCAACAGGATATGGTTTTGCTAAATGTAATGCACCAGCTGCTTGACATGAAAATAAACTTTTGATAATAAGTATGACTTAAACCATGCCAAGACACATCTGAATTAAGACACCTTATTGACTCACCATATAATCACAGATGGGGCTGAACGCATTTGTTCCGCACACAAACATCGTGGTGTTGTTCACTATGTGCAGGGTTCGGATGTAGTTACGACATTCCACCTGCAACCAGATCCAGCAGAGCTCACAGCAAGGTTTTGAAGGTCAGCGCAATATTAGTCAAGGTCAGAGAAAGGTTAGACAAGGTCAGTGAAAAGTTATTCACGGTCAAAGTAAGTCTAGTCAAGGTCAGACACATAGCATACCATAAAATCAGATCTGAAGCTGTACGCCAAACGCTTAGAAGATTTCTGTGTGGACTTGAAGAGGCTCTAATATAAATTATTTACTAATGCACATAGATGAACTGCTGCCACTAAAAGTAAGTGTATGCAAGTTCTTTCACAAACCTCAGCATGTTTCCCTTTGTACGTGCACTCCTTCTGCTTATCCTCAGTGACTCGCCAATATACCTGCATTATCAGAGGGAAGTGTGTCAGTGTAGAATACACATAGGAGGCCTATCCCTAACCCTCGCATAGGAGACTAACCCTAACTCTGCTCCACCACTGTGACCTGTGAGTGGGGTCACACATCACTTCATTTTAAAGGGTTAGTGTTAGGTTATACCACGAATAAGGCCCTTCTTTCACGGCTTGTGAATTAATGCAGTTTATATATATATATATATATATATATATATATATATATATATATATATATATATATATACACACACCAACAATTCAATTGTGATCCAAGACAACCAAAATCATGTGAGTCAACAAGCCAATCAAGCCAAGCCAATTTTGTGTACTAAACGAAATTATGCAATTAATACATTTTCTTTTTGTGAGAGACGTGCAGCCGCCATAGCATGCGCACCACAAGAGCGCAAGTTTTAGGGTTTGAGTTAGGGTTAGGGTTAGTGGGGGGGGTTCAGCTGATCCTCAGTCTCAAGTGCCGTTTTACCAGGCACGTGCACAGAAATCTTAGGGGGCAGGTGCTCAGACCAAAACAAAAGGGCACCCATCCTCAAAATTATTCATGAAATTAATAATAAAATAAACAAACAAAAAACGCAGTAGGCTATTTTCCCAGTCCTTCTGCCCAGTCTGTCTTTTCTTGGCATTATGCTGAAAATATTGTAAATTAGATGAATCGATGTTATGCATAACTGTTTTTGTACTGTTTTCTGACAGAGTTGAACCTTAAGCAGCATAACACTAATAATATACCTCACCAGGCTGTCATGTAGCTCAACTTACGACCTTTAATTTGAATAATTTAGTTAAATTAAACAAAACTAGTGAACTTGTCAAATTTGTAGGCAGTAAAACTACGTTTAAAGTCTCTGCTTGTCTGTGTCACTCTCTTGATTAAACATGACAAACGTCAGTAAACAGGACAGGAAACACGGCAGAGCTTCCAAATCACGGATTTCGTGAGTTTGTTTATTTTTTAGGAAATGTCGAACCAGTTGCGACGTAACGTTTTCAGTGGCGCTAATGTGGTTAATTGATCACCAAACAACGTTGGGGACACACGGACACCGTCGTCACCTTTTTGTCCGACGCTGCAGCCGTTTGGCGCTCAGCACGCGCACTGAGCGGAGGGGGGGGGCGCCGCGGTGCATGTCGGGACGAAATTCTCACAAGAACTCAAACAAATGCCCCGTCAAATATCAAAACACATTTGGGGGAATTGATGGCAGAGAGAGTATTTTTTATTCTTAAATATTGAATGAAGAAACAATTGGGGTCCAGCAGAAGGGGCACTTTTCTTACGCAGGGCAGAATGGTTGGTGCTTGAGCACCACTAGGGGTCTATCAGTGCGCGTGCCTCCATTCAAACCATTGTGCCTTCTGGCTGGCTAAGAAAGCTGTCGATCATTTCCACGTCGGCTTAGTCAGATCCAATAGGAAAAAAGTGGTTGAAACAAGCACAGCATTCCAGAGTCAATTGTCTCTGAGGCCTTCATAAAAAACCTGTTCAGGAAAACGAACTCCTCACTCTTATCAACGTAAAGCTTACCATGCTTACGGTCAACGCAACGGGCCATCACGTAAATGTGAATTTAGGGTGATATCTCCATGTATTATAGCATTTAAGGGGATGTTGGTTATCTTATTTTTAAGGAAATTTCAAAAGTTTTCTGTGGATTTATTTCTTTACCAGTAACATGTAAACTGATTTTTAGACATTAGAACAACACTTTATCCTGACAAAAACAATGTCCAGATGGACAAAAGCCTTTTTCAGATAAGAGGCCAAACACAGTGGTTCGTGAATGTTTGGCCCACTGATATAACTCATGGTAAGAAAACTTTCATTTTTGACCTGCACTAATGAAATGTTCATTGAGTTATTTCATCTTGGAAAAGAAAATGAGTGTTGACATGTCTTGCGGGCTTCCTTCTTTTAAAACAGCTTTGAACACAATATAGCTCATAAGAACACATTTTGATGACTTTTCCTTTTCCTTTTGAATGGTTCTTACCACTGCCTTCCTCACAGAGACGTCGTCGATGTCCAGAGCGTAGACGGCCTCTCGGGCGCCCAGCAGCAGCACACCCAAGTCCTCTCTCAACAGCATAGTAGAGTAGTTGAAAATCCCCTCTTCTTTGAACAACTTTGTCCCCACTAATAAAGTAGAGCGTCTACATTACTTATCTGCATTGTAGCTGTTGCGACTGTGTGCACAAAAATGCTCCCACAGCACAAATTAAAAAGCTAATTTGTTGAAATTCTAAAAGCTTGTCCAAGCTAGGCAGAAAAAGTATGAAGTTAAAGTTCCACTGCTTATTTAGATTTTTCAAAATATTCACATGCATGGTGAAGCTGCTCCACATTTGAGTATTTAGTGGTCAAACAGAGGAGTAAATGTTTAATAAAAAACGTTCTAGTGGCTAAGCATTGACAACTCACTCTGATAGGGGACGGTCGTTCGTGGGGCACCATAGTGAGTGTTAAGTGCACCGTATGAAACACGAAGCATCAATCCACAGACGATGCTCAGTGTCCAGAAAGAAGACATGGCTCGCTCCTCCTGTTGAGCTCTGCCACCAAAGCGGCCGATCAGAGGCAGAACATGGTTCTAGGTCCCAGGCCAGGTGCTGAGGCATCTCATAAGTGCGTTTAACCAGGCCGGGGGTGGCGGCAGCGAGGTATCCTGCCTGGTGAGGAACTATCTATGTGGCGGTAGCCTGCAGCGTTAATGAGCTACAGGAAGGAGGAGCAAAGGCCATGCTGCACTGCTACTGAAGAAGACCATCTTCAAGGTGCTCATCTCTAGGAGACATAAAAACATCTAGGCATTACTTTATTAAAGAGGTTGATATCTTTAAGGAGAGACTGAGTTTAACGCTCAAAATTTGAAATGATTTGATTTTATAAGGCTTAGTAAATTTGCCATTGCTTTTGCGTATGTTTGATGTTAATGACCCATCAAGATCTCCAAAAACTGCAATTTGATTGTGTCTGCCACTGATATTCATGTGATATAATAAATCTGTGCATAACATTAGTAGCAGGAATGAGGAAGAAGCACAGACGTCAGATCATTCAGACCGATCTCCAGAGAACTGCTTCTTAAAGCTGACATGAAACAAAAAATCCTCAGTCATACTGTGCATCTATTTAAAACTAATGCAAAACATAAGAAATATATAAGATAAGCAAATGCTCAATAAACCTCAATTTAACACACCACGATACCAGTTAAATCACAAACTTACTTTATTCACAAAGCCCTGTTTCTTCTTGTCCTCCTCCCTGATAAGAACCTGCTTCCTGTGGGCTTAGCAGGATCTGCAAGTCAGAAGGGTATCAGTTCAGGTTTGGGGATATCTAAAGACCACATTGTACCATCTCTGGAATTTCTTTGGTGAATGCTGCACGTGTTGTTTGGATTTTTATCTCACAGAGAGAAAAAAAATACAGCAGATTAAAAAAAATAATCCTTTACTGTTTGACAGACTCAACAAACGCGAAATTAAAAAAAGATACGGTTTCTGAATGTGTGTTTTCCTTCTTGCTGTTACTTGAGACAGCGGGCGAGCTGCTGCATGTAGAGGACTGCTCATCAGTTTTCCCTCAAGCTGGGGCGCAGGTTGTTTTTCACTCTTTATCAGACAGACAGACAGACAGGTAGTTCTGAACCAATAGAAGCGCCATGCAGCAGCAGTTATTTTCTCTTTCCTTGTTTACCTACGGACACACTGACATGTGCACATGCGTATATGTTTTTTCTGGGGGGGCTGGTGGGCTACACAGTGAGTTTTTTTTACACAAAACTTCATCATTTGCTCTGTTCTGCACTTTTTATATGAAACATCCCTGGGAAGTTACCTCATTTAAATGAATATACATTTTTCTTATTGCATGTCTAGCTTCAATGTCAAGCAGTTTAGAGGTTACATTTGTTGAAAGGTGAGCAAGTGGCTAAATAGGGAACAGTTTACATTTTAGCGTGTGTGGCCAGAGCAAACTCAGTGAGTCATGTGACATGTTGGCATTTGGTGTTATGCTGTAAGGGTAAATATTTTATTGACCTATTAAGAACTACAAACAACAAAATTACCATTCATCTGGAGTTGTGTGTTTGGCCACCAAACAACAATTATCCATTATTTACTCAACTTCGGGTTTTTTCAGGTCACTTTAGAAGAGCAATGAGCCTTTCTAAATTATATTTAGACAGGGGAATTTGTATGGGAACAGATATATTAAATCTAAATGAATAAAACCTGAATAAATTGGACACTCTGCCCTTGTTAACAATGTGTGGAAACCAAGTTGTTAGGGTGTGGACTTATGGTGAGGAAGAACTCTCCCCTGAACCGTCTGACCCCTAACATGTTGGAAGAACTGGGATAACTCTGTAAAACAGGCTGCACATGAACCAGCAAAAAACGCCGGCGAAGCCTCCAGTCGCATCTCCTCTCATTACAACCACTTGACACATGAGGATATTGTGGCAAACCAGGGGGCAAAAGGCAAGCAGACCAAGCCCAGGAGTCGGATCCCCAAGATCAGATTGGGGGAGGTGATAGAGGGAGTATATTACCCAGTAATAGGTGATAGAGGTAACGAACTGGACTCGTCAGTCTCCTTTGCTCTGTCCAAACAGGACAGAGGAAACAGTTACTCTGTGGAGTAGAACACAGTCACTCACCAAAGCAGGAGGACCCTTTTTGATTAGTTGTCTTAAGTGCCCTTTTTCCTGACTTCGTTATTAATAGGATACTTTTTGTTTGTATAAATACTATCTCTGAAACGCCTTTTTTATCCCTGAATCTGGCCTCAACTTCCCCTGGGCTGACACAATGTTTATAGCCTGCTCAGGAAGGCCTCAACCATCTTCAGAACTCCTCCATGGATACTCACTACTTACGAAGTAAAGAGCCTCCACCCTTTTCAGAACTCCAACATGGATTCTCACTATTTACAAAGTAAAGAGCCTCCACCCAGCAGCGTGGGAAGCACAGACAGGCTTTCATCACACAGCTGTGACTAGTGCTGTTTGGGCGAGGCCTCCTCCGGCTGTTACTGATTCACCCAACTGGCTGACTAAGTTGTCCGCTGGTTTCATGCGGCCAGGACGCCCGTGTTTTCATCCAAGATTCATATCCACGTTCGCGCCGCAAATGGCTGCCTCGTGTGTACGTGCTTGTCACTTTCCCATACACTCAACAGAGTTGTGTAGAGTATGATTGTTTGCCAGTGTACTTTCTTTTTAATATTATTTTTCTTTTAAATGTTTATTCTATATCCCAATAGCCTTCTATTTTATACTGTAGAGTTAAATTTGGTGACTGTGGGTGAGTGGGGGAGCACGGTCGTCCTCCAATCAGAGGGTTGTCGGCAGTGCTGTAGTGGTAAAATTAGAGGTGGGTAAACTCTGAATTTTGTGATCATACAGACCTCGACGCGATGCAAACGCAACACAAAGCGTCGCGACTCTGTAAGGCTGTCCTGGCTATATTGCATTATGTTATCAGTAAAAGTCATATACAATCAATGACAATGAATACATGTGTTAGTAGTTTGTAGTTTTTTAAATTTAAGAAAACAGTAAAGAAAAGTATGTCAACACAACACAACAACACAATTGCGGATTAAGAACTATCTACATACGGAGTCTCCATTTTACAGGTCCTGCCTTGCACAGAGGAGCCATGAATTCATGGCTCCTCTGTGCTTCTCTCTCTATTCGACCTGGTGTTTCTCCTCTCTCTGTGCTCTCTGCATCATTGCCTGTCCTCTCACTGCCTGAACAAATATGTTGAATTTAAGAGTTAACCAGTTAAGCAGCCTGTCAATTACACTGACAACATAAGTTAAAGGAACACTCATGTACTACCTATGACATCATAAATAGCCTATACAGCAGGGGGTTTTTTCACATTGAGAACTGACTTGTTTTCTAATCTACGCGTCACCAGGCGTTTTTCTTGTCCTTTTAGAGCGCGCGATCCTGATTGGTGTCGCTGCTGCAGCCGCAAGGCACTGATTGGATGCTCACAGGCCGTAATACAGCGCAGATGAACATGATTCAGACTACGCCGTTTATATGTTCAACAATAGGAAACGTAGTCTTAGCTGTTTTGAAATTACACCAAGTTTATTTTCGGATTATTCCAACGGAAGAATACAAGGCGCACGGAACTTTGAGGTGCGTAAACGCCACTTAGAGGTGCGTAAGCGCTATTTATAGGTGCGTAAACGCTATTTCCAAAATTCTAGAGGTGCGTAAACTGCGTTTACGTGCGTTTACCCTACACATGTCAAATTCCTTGTATGTCTAACACATTTTGGCAATAAATGTTCCTGATTTGATCTCAGGTACGCCCTTATAAGAGTCCTCCATCACGGGGGTTTGAATAGGAAACTGGTTGTGGGAGACTGCTCACCTTTTGACCTTGTGTTGCAGACAGTGTTGTAAAACACTTTCCGGTGTGCGCTATCTCTGTAAGCTCAGGTTTATATCCCTCAACTCAGAGCTCAATTAACTAAAAGAAACTGTTGTGTTTGACATAACAATTAGCAACATTTTGATGCGCAGGAGAGTCTCAATTAGCGATACTTGTATTGTGCAATGAAGCCAGCTTAAATATCCCGATAAGAGAAGCAGAAGAGACTTGAATCCTTAAACTCTGTCAAAACACCACATGGTGATTGTTCACTGATTAGGGTGTCAGACGATTGGTGTTTTGCATTTTCAGAAGTTTCTGCCGAGGCCAATAGACCTTTTGTCCCCTAAACGACGGGGGAGTGGTCAGCGTAGCGAACTTCCACTAACGAGGGAGTACTTAACTAGAGGTTGAGTATAGCCTCGCAGGACGAAGACTAGGGAGTCTTTCGTGGGAGTCAAGACGAGCTGAACAAAGACTAGGACTAAGTCTTTCATGGAGTCTTCTGGGCGGCTGAATGCGGCGCCTGCCATTTTTAATACTGCGTTTGACCCCTTTACCCGTACCTGTTTGAATCTCTTCTCGCAGACACTACAGGCCTCGGGCTAGATCTGCTCTCTATCGTAACCTCTCCTCTCTCACCGATCCCACCCGCTCCACTCATGTCCAGCACCTCGTCACAGGAGGCCTCTCAAACTGCCAGTCAGCTACTCGCAAGGCAGAAGACAGTTACTCACTCGGTACAATTAACTATCGTTGTCCTTTACAGTCCGCTAGGCTCTCTGTGTCATTTCTTGGAAGAACTGGACATTCTCCTGTCCAATTTTCTTGAAAATGTCCCTCCGCTCATCCTCCTGGGTGACTTGCAGACAGAGAAGTCATCTGACCTCTTACACCTACTTTCTTCTTTCGCTCTGTCACTCAGTCTCTCTCCTTCTACTCACAAAGCCAACAATCACCTTGACTACATCTTCACTAGAAACTGCTCTACCACTAACCTCTCTGTAACTCCACTTCATGTGTCTGACCACTTCTGCATTTCTTATTCTCTCCCACTCTCTATAACTAACAACCCCATCAACTGACTCTGTGCCTGTTCGTCGCAACATTCGCTCCCTCTCTCATGAGAGCCACCATGCGAGCATCGGAAAGGAGACAACCCTAAACAACCTGATAACCTGCTTGTGTATCTCTTCTCACCTCTTTTTCTGCTTCTATCTCTGCTGCTAAAAGCTCTTTCTACCAATCCAGAATTGAATCTTCATTTTCTAACCCCAAAAAACTCTATTCTATCTTCTCCAACCTAGTCCTCCTCCGCCGCCCTCCCCCTTCTTCCAGGAGACTTTGTCAACTACTTTACCAAAAAAATATGACATACGCTCCTTTTTCAAACCCACCTCCTATTACTCGTGTCCCACCAACTTCACCTCTATTGCCCTCACTTTCCTCCTTCACCCCCGTCTCCTAACCAAATTCTTACCCTAGTAACCTCTGCCCGTCCGACCACCTGCCCTCTTGACCCCCTTCCATCACATCTTCTACAATCTATCGCTCCTGACCTTCTTCCTGTCCTCACCTGTCTCATCAACCATACTCTATTATCTGGCTGTTTTCCCAATTCTCTGAAGGAGGCAAGAGTCAACCCTCTCCTGAAGAAACCCACCCTCAACACTTCTGAAGAAAACTACAGACCAGTCTCTCTTTTTGTCAAAAACTCTTGTGTGATCTTTAACCTACTCTCCTCGTATCTCCACCGTAACAACCTCCTTGACCCCTACCAGTCAGGCTTCAAGGCCTTTCCACAGAGACTGCTCCCCTTGCTGTCTCAGAACAACTCCACACTGCTAGAGCCGCCTCTCTCTCCTCTGTCCTCATCCTTCTGGACCTCTCTGCTGCATTTGACACAGTCAACCACCAGATCCTTATTTCCTCCCTTCAGGAACTTGGTGTCTCAGGCTCTGCTCTCTCCCTTCTCTCGTCCTACCTCGATGGCCGCACCTACCGGGTAACCTGGAGAGGATCTGTGTCAGAACCTTGTACTCTTACTACTGGAGTTCCTCAGGGTTCCGTCCTGGGTCCCCTCCTCTTCTCGCTCTACACCAACTCTCTCGGCGCTGTCATTCGCTCGCATGGCTTCTCCTACCACAGCTATGCCGATGACACCCAACTAATTCTCTCCGTCCCTCACTCGGACACCCAGGTGTCTGACATCTCTCAGTGGATCCGCCCACCATCTGAAAATCAACCCCGACAGAGTGAACTACTTCTCTTTCTGGGAAAAGGTTCTCCGACCCAGGACTTGAGGGTCAACTTTGGCAACTCCGTGTTAACGCTCACTTTGACTGAACCTCGGCGTGACACTCCACAGCCAACTCTCCCTGACTCCCAACATCACTGCAACACCACGATCCTGTAGACACACGCGCTACAACATCAGGAGAACACGTCCTCTTCTCACTCAGAAGAAGGTACTGATTCGGGCTCTTGTCGTCTCCCTCCTGGACTACTGTAACTCTCTCCTGCAGGTCTCCTGCTACCACCATTCCACCTCTGCAGCTCATCCAGAATGCAGCAGCTCCTCTGGTCTTTAACCTTCCTAACCCTCCCTCACTCCTCCACTCCTCCGCTCTCTCCACTGGTACCGGTGGCTCATCCAGTTCTAAACATGGTGCTCACGTACCATGCTGTGAATGGATGGGGTCCAGCTTACATGCAGGACCTGGTCCAACCCGACATCCCGACCCGCACTCTATCTATGAAATAAACATTTATTCCCTTTTTTTGAAATTATATACTTTGCTGTGATATCAGTAGCATTACACAAGCATTACAAAACCCTTCAACAAAATTATTTCCGGAACAATTTATTATTCAACATCAGTTATGGTGATATATCTGATTCCATCAGATTATGATTATGATCATAAAAAAAACCTTTGAGTAAGTCACATGTTCATATCTAACATGGGAGTTAGTGATGCTTTAATTATATATTAGTATCAATCTAAATTAAAATCAGGTCAATTAATCACACATATTTCATTCAAAAAGTGTATTGTGCACTTTTTTATGCGAACACTTTGAATATGTGCTTTTTAACAGCAGTATTTCCATAACACAGTAGCAGCTCACATATTGCTTGTAAATCTCAACTTTAAAATGTTCAGTCGAATCAAATAAAGTAGTAAAAAAGTAGTAGTAATATTCGGAGCAACAGTTACGTTTGTTTTCTTTTTTGGTAAACTGGTACCACCAGAAACATATTTCTTTTTTTAGGGAGAAACAGTCTCCACTCAGTAGTCAGAGCATGAATACAATTGATTCCATCAACGCCGTCTGGACGATATTTAAATGAAAAAAAGATCGCTACCGTCCGGTTTTCCGCCATTTCTTTTTGGTTTCAGGTGAGCAGCTGCAGCAGTTTAAGACCCGCCTTCAATGCTCTCATTGGTTGGAACGCGTGATGACGTTTCTCCCAAACCAATACTGATCAACATCTCACCCTGACTATGAACCACTTTATGAATATTCAGTGCCAGTGATCAACAAAACATAAAAAATGCTTTTAAAAAAAAGAAGAAAAAAAAAGAGTAAACCGCTTGAAAATAATAGTCGGCGTTGGGAAACTAACGTGCTAATGTACACCGACTCAAATATTTATACATACACTGTACACACACACACACACACATATATATATATATATATATATATATATATATATATATATATATATATATATATATATATATAATAATACACACACGTGTGTATAATTATGGAAGCTTTGTTTTTATTCATTAATATATGAATAGATGCGTAATGACTGCATAGCTTGGACAATCCCCTTAGCAGGTATCCACTGATAGTACTTATAGATCCTCTGCTACTTAACCATGCGCATCGATATAGACTCAAATACCACGCGGCCGTGCTTTCACCTTCAGCTAAAGACATAGTTACATTGATGTAGCAGATGGACTTCAAACTGTGGACACTAAATGAAACAAACTTGCACAATGTCTTCATGTTTCCTTCGGTGGATAATCGAGCACATATTTGACATGTCCGTGTTGTTCCAAAGAATTTCCTCTCGGGATTTAACTTACTCGCTCTTTAACGCGACAGAATAAGTACAAGTGTTTACACCTTGGACCTTAAAACCAGATCGGAGTCCTTCTTAGCTTTATTATTTATTATTAGATCTTACTGATATTTTTTAGATCAGACTGATTACCGTACGCGCACCTCTCAAGCACGCGGGTTGTCGCACAAGCAGGTCGAGCTCCGTGGAAAAAAACACGTCTCCACAAACAAGTGAAAAGTCCCCCAGCGGCTCCTGAGCCCACTTCACACTCACCTCAGGGGGGCAGGCGGTTCTTGATCGGACACGGTTAGTCTGTCCTTCTAGAACCAGAACCGGCTCCACCTGTAACGTTCCCTCCAACATGGAGATTATGTGTGGCAGCTCTCCGCGGGAGGTTGGACCTGGTCACGTGACTGTTTGACTCTACCTTTACTTAAAAGACACAGCAGGACCGCAACATGGTATCCATATTTATTTTATTTACACGACGTTTGCTCCTAGTTGTTGATGAAATGCAAAAATAAATTGTGATATTTAGACTGAAAACCGATAAATTGTAGAAACATTCAAGATACAAACTGCAACTAAATCTGCTTTTCCTTAATCCTAAAAGAATAGTTCTAACAATAAGCACACAAGTACCACCAATTTCCCTCAAAATACATATTTGTTACTTTTTTCTTATTTACTTTACTAAAATCTGCTGTTTGCAACATATTCAAACGTTATCAGAAATAATACAAACAATTCAAAAACACTGTATTCAACCACTGACACAATCTGCCACCCAGTGGTTCATAACAGGAAATACATTCATAACGATTCAAGATCAATGGAAACACCTGAAACAGAACACACGGGCTACAATGTAAAACGTATAATAATGCTAATAAGGAAATATATGATATACAGAATATGATAATGGTTATGATGTAAGTATATAATAATACTAATAGAAGCAGGGTAAACAATAACTTTAACTCCCACAGCTTTAATATAAGCCTTGCCTCAGAATTCATGGCCAATAAAGCTGATAAAAATTATTCTTAGAATTTGACTCCAGTTTTCTCTTTGGTCCCAATGTACATGCACAGGTTTGACTACATTTGATGATCTATAACTTTCTCATTATTTGTATCTCCGCTTGCCTTCGTTGTATTTCCTACAAGGACTCGGCTTCCGGATGTTCTGAAGGGAAGAAGGTTCCTTCAGATGATCCGAGCCGGGCCGAGGAGACGGCTGCTTGCTGGTGACCGGACGTGTGTTCGCATAGACGGGTTCTTCTCCTACATGGAGAGAAAGAACCGGATGGAACCCAGTAGTCTCATCGATTTAGCAATGTTTAAATAGCAAAAAGATACAATGATGAGTTCCACTTCACTGTTTGATTGCTTTATTAAGATTTGATTAGCTTTGTTGCTTCAGTAAGTATATCATATCTTTCTCAGATCCACATCTCAGTTGACCTACTAAAGAAGAACACAGGCTTCTTGGTATATGGTGCCGCACAGCGAGCTGTTAAACCGCGCAAACCACCTGCTTACTCATCGGCAGCTTGAGGATCCTTTCCTGTCCTTTTGTTCTCAGATTCAGATCTCCGCTCAAATCTACATCTTTTGCAAAGGGGAACTAGCAATATTCACCCTCATTCAACTCTTTTTCTGAGTGTATGTTTCATCACAGCTTATCTACAATGTACAAAGGACTAATGCAGGGTCTAGATCTAAACCTGCTGGTCTAATAGTGGTCTAGACCTACTGGCATAGAGGGTTTCAACATCTGACATTGAGAGCTTCCTTCCTGAGACATGATTCATCTTTACTTAGTCTACTTGATTTCAATCAATACCAGGATCATGATTTTGTTATTTGACTCCATGAACGAATAGTTGAGCCAACAAAGTCTAATAGTGCAATTTGAAATAGCTTGTTACTACACCAAAAGTAATAAATGGTTTGTCTTGAGGCAAACACTATGGCCCGCTTCTGAAAACCATTGATGTAAATCACTTAGAATGAAAACGGAAGACTCGTACCTCTTCTTCTGCAGCGCCGTCTGCTGAGCGAGACACATATGAGGAGCAGGACAACCAGGAGGACAGAAGAAACTCCCAAACTGATCCACATCCACCCGTCCATCAACTGGGACGGTGGGGGAAGCCCTGAGGAAAAAAACATGTTCTTGAAATGCGATTATGACACAGTTTCTTTTGTGTAAATGTAGTCCTCAATGAGGGAGTGTTTGTTCAACAATCACTATTGAATCTCACAAGCAGCCCAGGTACAATAATTAAGATCATATAATCTGCTCTCATGGGGGTTAGGGTGCAGGACGTCTCACCTCACATAGCCTCCAGTTTAGCATTTTACATGAAAACCTGAGAACTATTTTTCTATCCTTTAGGGGTTCATGTTCATTTATTATTTCTTGAGGTCAGGTTTTTGTCTGGTTTGTGTGTGAATCAGACTTCTGGATTTTACAGACCATCTTGGATGGCGAGCAATTTTTATTTTTACCCCTTTTCCTCTTTCGTGCTGGTCGGATGGAACCAAATGATGAACTCAATTTACTTTTTCTAGAAAATGGACTGAATCTTAGTTTACCCCCTTCTGAACTACATTTCTTTTTGTTTGTAATAAAAATGACAATACAATTCCTTGGTAAACTTATCAGTAGTTCTTTGGCTAAAATCGGGCTGCCTACGTGAGGTTGGGATCAAAAAACATTAAAACTAGTCCACAAATTATAAATTCCCCTAAATGCTCTTTTCTGTCATGGAGGTACAAAATAATACCTTTTTATGAAGTCAAAGCAAACCAAAATATTTCATGAATCCTTGAATGTCCCATGATAATCAGCTGTATGGCAACACTTCTCCTTTGTTCAGGTTTATCAGCAGCATATGTGATAAAACAACCGTGACCTCTGCTGTGAGGTGGGGTGTACAAACAGAATATATAGTTGATTTAGTAACATGCACTGTAATAAAATTAGTTACTGCTGACAAATAGTTCCCATTCACTAATTTTTGGGAGCATTTCAATTGCCTCAAGCGGCTCTGAATCGCCGTGAAGTGCTGACAGCTAACTTGGTACAAGCCAATCGTGTTTCCTGAGAGGTTTGTCATCATCTCCAGCACGCGTGAGAGGTTTTAGATTATAAATCAAAGTGTTGCCTTGTTTAATGAATACTTACTAATAACAACTTGTGTTGTATTGCTCATAGTAGTGTCTAATACGGGAATCTCTGCTATGATTTTGCAATGGTAACATCCCCCATCCTCCTTTGTTGCATTAGCTAAAGTATATGTGGGCCAAGTCCTGTTAGTTTCTTGGGTCTGCTGGGTTTGGTTCAGCACATAGATTGAGATATTCAGGATAGTAGTGTTGCCGGATGGACTAGGGCTGAAAATCCACTGCACTCGAACTCTGCCGTAACTCGGTGTCTTCAGACGGCATTGGAAGGCCACAGAGGAACCGAGAAGGACTTCAACTCTTCTAGGTTCATAATCCAGAATCACAGGAACTGGACCTGAAATCACCAGGGTGACTGAAATGGAGAGACGTGTAAAACAGATTTATTGAATTTATTAATAAAGAGAGATTGATAAAATATATTTAAAATAGAAAGAGAGATAAATATAACAGATAACTGATTTATATATAAAATAGATTCATGTGTAATTTAGCTACATACGTTAAAGAGATATGTAGATATGTGATATGTAAAACAGGCTATACAAATAGATGGATTGATGTAGATAAGGCCTGATATGGCAGATAGACATATTAAAGATACGCCAGAAACATAGATATATAGATTGATTTATACAAAATATATATATTAAACAGATGGATATATATATTACATATGATTTAGCTGACACTTTTATCCAAAGCAACTTACATTGTGTATTTAATGCACGGTCTTAGACTTTTAACCCTCCCGCACAGTGGGAGTAGTGTGCAGCCGTAAGGCCGCCCAGGGAGCAATTTGAGGCTGTGTGTCTGGCTCAGAAACACTTCAACATGGGACATGGAGCAGCCAGGTATCGAACCACTAACCTTGCAGTTCCCAGCGCACCTTCTCTACTCCATGCACCACCATCACATATATGTGTATACATGTATTTATAACATTTATAATGTTTCAACTTTTGTAAAAAGAACAAAGCCAAAAATATGACTCGTATAGTTAGTTATTGTTTTCAGGAGTCTTACCTGAGAGCAACACAAGAGTCAACCGCTCCAAGCACATCTCGTCGTGTTCTCCTCACAGAGCTGTTCTACTGCTCACTCTCTTCCTGTCTGTCTGCACATCATGTGTGGGTGGGAGGAACTCTTTGCCTTGTATAGTGTGCACCTGTATGTGAGCACGTATAGTGTGCACCTGTATGTGAGCATATATAGTGTGCACATGTAGTGAGCATGTATAGTGTGCACATGTAGTGAGCACGTATAGTGTGCACATGTAGTGAGCATGTATAGAGTGCAAATGTAGTGAGCACGTATAGTGTGCACATGTAGTGAGCATGTAACAGTGTGCACATGTATGTCTCTGACCTGGTTGGTTGGGATCAAACAGTGGTGGAAAATTCAAAAGACTGGCTGGATTTATGACCAAACGTACAGCACTATTGTTTGATTTACCTTCTAACCTTTAGACATGCTGGGGGAGAAATAAAAAGGGGCTTGTGAAACTCTTGTGGCTTTCAATGCAATGGTGTGAAGGGTTTGGGTTACCAGAAACATACAGCTTGGCTTCCTGTGAGAAGACACAACCAAGTATGATGGGTGATATGAACCTTCTCATTCTAACCCAGATACATGATGGTGGAGGCTGTGTGTCTGGCTCAGAAACACTTCAACATGGGACATGGAGCAGCCAGGTATCGAACCACTAACCTTGCAGTTCCCAGCGCACCTTCTCTACTCCATGCACCACCATCACATATATGTGTATACATGTATTTATAACATTTATAATGTTTCAACTTTTGTAAAAAGAACAAAGCCAAAAATATGACTCGTATAGTTAGTTATTGTTTTCAGGAATTTTACCTGAGAGCAACACAAGAGTCAACCGCTCCAAGCACATCTCGTCGTGTTCTCCTCACAGAGCTGTTCTACTGCTCACTCTCTTCCTGTCTGTCTGCACATCATGTGTGGGTGGGAGGAACTCTTTGCCTTGTTGCGTGCCTGTATAGAGTGCACATGTAAGTGAGTGCATATAGTGTGCACATGTAGTGAGCATGTAGCAGTGTGCACATGTATGTCTGTGACCTGGTTGGTTGGGATTAAACAGTGGTGGAAAATTCCAAAGACAGGATGGATTTATGACCAAACATACAGCACTATTGTTTGATTTACCTTCTAACCTTTAGACATGCTGGGGGAGAACTTAAAATAAACTAAATAAAAGGGGGGTTTGTGAAACTCCTGTGGCTTTCAATGCGATGGTGTGAAGGGTTTGGGTTACCAGAAACATACAGCTTGGCTTCCTGTGAGAAGACACAACCGAGTATGATGGGTGATATGAACATTCTCATTCTAATCCAGATACGTGATGGTGGAGGGAGCAAAAATGACAGAAACATTAGACATTATTTCTCAGACTAGAGTTTCATTTAGTTGAGGGTTTGCCTATTGTTTAATGATATGATATTATCTTTTATTTTGATCCTTTTTTTAATCTTCTATGTTCATTGTTTTGCTCCAAACCAAAAATGTATTTGAAAACCTACAGCAGATAAATGTGTCTATATCTCTCTGCAATAAAGCAGAATCTGACCTGAAGTCAAAGGATGCAGTATGATAATAAGTGTTTATGTATAATCTGTGAGTCAATGGCTGAAGAGTGGGTGTACTTCTGAAACCTCCAGCAATGAACTTCAAGAGACTTTAAGTAGGTCTTTTGTACGTAAATATAAACAGAGAAACATAAATCATTTGTTTCGTGGGACAGTATTCTAGAGTTAGATGAAATTCATAGCTCATCTGTATTTCCACTGCAGTACTGTTTTAAGGCATGATGGTGAATCTCTTTTCATACTTTTCATAGTTTATATGTAACTTGTGTTTTTGGGGTTGGAAACAAAAGCAGATGTACTATTTTAAGTTTTCTTCATATTAAAAACAATGGAATACAGTAGCAACATGATTAAACTAATGACTAAAACGTAAAATAGATTGTTATGTAACTAAAGAATATCTGTGTCATGATATAACCATGAGCTATGCTCCCATAATATTACAGTAATGTTCCTAATCCATCTTTCATACCAGAAGATGCATCAAGTGATAATTGTTTTCTTTTATTATCCAACTCTACCTTCGCAAAGATGCAAACGATCACATTGAGATTTAAAATAACATACCGAAAAAAACGAAAACAACAAACAAAAAAAGTGTTTAATTTACTTCTCCCCGACGCTCCCTGAACGTAACAGCCTGACGACAGAAACATCAGTACCCACAATCCTCTCCTGGCGCATGCGTACATCGCACTACGGCCCAAAGGCGTTGGTGTCCGTCCGAAGATGCGTTGCAGTCCGGCAGCATCAGTACCAGCTCCGCGGTGCCGGTAAAAGAGCCGAAAAACGGAGGAGAAACCCGGCGTCTGTTGTTCGGTGGTTCCGAACGAAGCGATGGGAGACCAGAAGGTGAAACCCGGGAACAGGTGTCTCTGATGGAGGGGGGGGGGCGTCTCAGGGCGTCATGTACAAAGGACGTGCGCGAGCTGCAGAACTACTCGGCGTTTTTTACGGGAAGCTTTTCCCCGGTTGGACAGAACGTCTCTCGTTAATGCGGCGCACAAGATCGGTGCATTGTTGATATGGTCTGTGAATGAAAGGGGGGGGGCAGCTCCTCTCGCGTCAACTACCACGTTAAGTCTGAATGAGAAACTAAAAAACAAACCCACGTTTGATGCGTAAGATTGGCGAGGGTTCGGTTCCTTTGGAGTCGGAAGTCTGCATTATTACATTGTAGATATGCATCTTCCCTTCCCTCTATCCTCCCATTCTTCCCCCATTCTCCCTTTTCTCCATTCTCTTCTCCATGCACACTGATTAACCTCCTTGCTCACTTCCTTCCTTCCTGCATCCCTTCCTTCCTTCCTTCTCCACACACAGATTGACCTCCACCCTTCCTTCCTTCCTGCCTTCCTTCCTTCCTTCTCTCCACACACACTAACTAACCTCCTCCCTCCCGTCCTCCCTTCCTTCTCCTCTCCACACACACTGATTAACCACCTCCCTTCCTTCCCCCCTCACCCCCTCCCTCCCTTCCTTCCTTCATCACTTCCTAAAGAGCTCAGGAACATCATGTAAACGTTGTCTTTTCTTTAGGAATCTCTGCGTAAGATCACGCACACGCTGGCCATGAAGAACGAGGAGATATCAAACTTTGTGTGCACGGTGAAACAGAACCTGAACAACTTAGAGGTACCAAGAACGGACTTGGAGAAACATCTGATCCCCACTGCTGGGTTGGTGACCAGGTACAGAAAGAGGTTTACTTCCTGTGTGTTCTTATTTCTGTTGTGGCACCAGACGAACTCCAGCCGAGTCCAGGAGGACCTGGAGACCGAGTTCACCTTGCTCCACTCGGTCCTGGACGAGATGAAGGACAACATGCTGACGCGTATCAAACAGGAGAGAGCCAGCCGGACCTACGAGCTGCAGGTAGCCTCTGGTTATTTTGGAGAACATCTGGTATTATTTAGATGTTTGGTGAAAGAGAGAATTCAAACTTGTTGGAATTTAAGTAAATAATAAGTATTTTTTGTGATATCCTTGCTTATTAAGGACAATTCTTTTTTTTTAATTTTACATTTAAAGGAAAACACATTACCTAATTCCAGAGATCATGAAATTAGGTTTTATGTGTTGGTTCATCTGGCGATCCTTTTACTTAAACACTATTTACTATAAAAATCTCACAATGTTCTAAACTGTTAAAATCTGGTGAGAACAAGTTTCAACATTAATGGTACAACTTTTTAATTATTTAAATTACTTGAAAATCAGACTTAAAACAATAGTGTTTAATAACTTCATGTGTACGTCTATCATTGATATTAAACTTGTTATGATTGTTTAGATACTAAATACTTTATTGGTTTGGGATCACATTGTAATTAGTATTGGTAAACTGTTTTTTCCTAAAACATCGAGGACAAAATCACAATTCACAATATTCACAAAATCACAATATTTGAAATATTCTTCACATATTGTGCTTAGCAGACATTCATTATCACATCAAAGTTTATTTTTATTATAGTACTGGAACTATTCACCGGACATGAGGTGTGATCGGGGTTAGAGTTAGAGGGTGTTACGTTTAAATAGGGTGTGGGGTGAATAGGGTGTGGTTAGTTCCTCCGGGTCAGAAATCCTTTGTCGTTGTAATAATCAAAGCTGTGGTTTCCATTACGCACATATAAAACCCCAGCAGCCTCAGGATGGAGCCATGACTGATAAAGCTAACCATGGCTCCTCTGCAGAGAACACACTGGTCCCTTTCTACCAGAGAGGAACTAAACAACACAAATTAAAACCACGGCCATCTGTTCTTCTCAGAGTCAGCTGAGCGCCTGCTCCAAAGCCCTGGAGAGTTCAGAGGAGCTGCTGGAGCTGGCCAATCAGACGCTGTGCTCCTCTGAGACGGAGGGCTTCAATCAGGTAGCTGCAGCATTACTCTGTGAAGTATATAGCTATGTATGTCATATTTAACGTGTCCTTGTAGTGGCTTCCTAAGTGATTTAACTCAGCCACTTTGTGTTAAGTGACAACATGGCGGGCTACAACTTAGATCTGTGTTCGCTTCGTATCTCTCCTCTCTTCTTCCTCTCCCCCCTCCCTCTGCTTCTCCTCTCCAGGCGGCCAAAGACATTAAGGATAGGTACAGTACTCAGTCCTCCATTGCTTCTCCTGTTTCTTCATGGCCTCCAGGAACCACTGAGCCACTCTGTTAATGTAGCCTGCATGCGTCATGAAGCCACGTCACCCGACTCTAGTACAATAGGTAGCATAGAAACCGCTGGTCTTTGTGTCTCCCTCTGTGTTCTGTAGTCTGTGCCATCCCGTGTCAGTCCTCCTCCTCCATGACCTCCTTATCTAGCGGTGCTTTAACCCTCTGTCAGGTTGATGAGATCAGTGGTAGTTAGTGTTTGTATCACACGTGTTTACCTGTGATCTGCTGGGTAATGGACGCTGCTTGTTTCCACTCCGTGTGCTCGTGTGTTTTTGTGTGTCTCTTTGTCTGCAGTGTGACGATGGCTCCAGCCTTTCGCCTCTCCCTGAAGGCTAAAGCCAGCGACAACATGAGTCACCTGATGGTGGATTTCAGCCAGGAGAGGGAGCTGTTGCAGGGCCTCAAGTTCCTCCCAGGTCGGCCTCACTTTTAATGCTAAATAAAGTACTGTGACTGCAGCGGGGGGTTAGTTAACCAAGTGCTGTCACACTCAGCGTGGTTACATGGATTCCAATAACTGGCTCAGACGGACTGAAATCGAATGATCCGTTTCATGTAAACACCTTTGTCGACTACGTGCGGTGCGACTACGATCCGACTAACACGCCTGGATAACTCGATCCGATCCAGGTGATAGTTCGATTATCGCGGCATGTGACGGTGAATCGGATGAGGAACTCGACTTTGCGTCTTTGCGCATGCTTGAGATCCCGACGGCGTCTTCTCTCCGTTATCAAATCAGCCGATAGCGTCATTCACATTCGCTGTGCTCCTGTTAGCATCATGCACAGACAGTAGAGGGACGTAGCTTCACCTCGCTCTCCGTTCGCCATCGTTCTCCTAATGTTGATGTTGTTGTTGTTGGTTGTTGTTGGTCGTGGTGAAGAGGTCAAGCGGAAATGGCTGTATCACAACTAGTTGTAATGAAAACAGCGCCACCTATCGTATCGGATAGGACATGCGTTCGGCCAATGATTGGATTTATTCACTGGCGTGTATATTGGGATAATAGCACCTCCCCCCGAAAGAGAGCAAAGATTCCAATTATACCATCATGTAAACACACTGACTATTATCTTACTGGAGCTTCATGCTGCTGTAGACTTCTGCTCCACTACATTTCAGAGGGAATTATGGTGTCCTAAATATCTATTTTAATAATACTACTTACTAATGCTTTCATTTTCAAGATACAGTCTGTTGTTAGGACAAGTTCATTTGAATGAAAAACAACTCCTCTAATGGTGTTTTTTTAAAACTTTTTTTACAAACTAGAATAAAACAAATTAAAGCCAGAACTTTATTTATATGACTAATATACCCAACAGTTAAAGTATCTAAAGTTAGTTTGACCTCGGGCAGCTGCAATAGTGAAATGCTAGTATTTGTATATGAATAAATAGGTAATAATATTCCTTTTATATAATCTATATACAACTATTTGGATATCATCTATATATAACTGTATTATAACTAGTGCTGGTCAAAGATGAAAAACTTGAATCCATTAGTCGCATGATTGCTCTGTGATTACCAGGGATTAATTGCGTTATGCACATTTCAATTCAATATTGAATTAATAAATTATAGCAGGGTTTAATTTTAAAGTAATGTCATCAGAACAATATAACAGGCCCTCTCAGAGCAACAGCAAGTTCACATACAGAATATAAATGTGTTTTTTGTTTTCATGACTTTTTAGCATAAGTGGGTCTGTCCAGTGGTTTGGTCCCTGTTAGAGGTGCCAGCAAGTGCTCCAGCACAGAAAAAAGGACCTTTTAGTCTGTGAAGCCTATGGATTTCCTCTAAATATCATTCAAAGAAAGAAAGAACACCTTCAGTGATGCAGGTTGAGCGGTTACACAATGACAAAATTCACTTTTAACATCCACTTTTTTTAGCCATTCCTCCTAGTTTTTCTTCACGCCGCATCAAAAGTAGTCTGGTAGTACTTCAGGCTTGTAATACTTGAGGCTCGTAGTCCAGGGATACGTTCATTCCACTTTCTGTGGGTTTCCATACCAACATTTTATTTTTGGTTATTTGATGCAGTTATGATATTTGTTTAATTAGATCTTAGGTTTGGGGTGCTACACGAGTGGGTGGTGAGGTTATGATTTGGGGAGGGTTCCATAGTAAAATTACATAATCTACCCCCCTTTCGACCGATTCCGGTCTGCCCCCGTCCCGCCTTCCCCATGCATAATAAAAATAACAAGTAGTAGTGTTAACCAAAAGGAACAACAACCCTGTATACATAAAAAAGTTCCACACATTCTTGGTCATTACTGCATGACTTGCAATGATTGGGGTCAGCCAGGGTTGCTTTTGAATGAACTTAAATGTGTTCCTTAGTAAGCAAGGATCGCTAATTAGCACTACAAAGTTTTCCGTTAGCTCCCACGTGGTGACCTGACGTGATTTTTTTTTCCAATGCCAGGCGAGTACCAGCACTGCCTTGGCCATTGACCTGGTCCCCATGTCTAACACATGCGCTCATTCACACACCGAAGCTCTAACACACATATGTCAGAGTCAAGGCCCGCGGGCCACATCCGGCCCGCGAGAAGGTTTTTTACGGCCCCTGGGATGATCTTGATTTATTATTAGAACCGGCCCGCAGACCGCAGCAAGCCGGCAGCCCGCAGATCTTTTACACGCACCAGTACTACATTTCCCACAATGCAACGGTGACGCACCGAGCAGTAGGCTGCTTCATTTCAATATTTATTGGCACAGCAGTTGTCAGCATCACAGTAAAATTAACTTTCAGATACCCATCAAAAATGGCAAAACGGAAGGTGGACACTGAGAACCGGGGGTTTCAAACAAGGTGGGAGTCGGAGTATTTGTTCACGGAGGTAGCTGGAAAACCTGTGTGTCTTCTGTGTGGAGAAAGTGTGGCGGTACTGAAAGAGTATAATCTGCGTTCCCGAGCGCACAGTTGGCTGATAAAATAGGTATGCTTGCCGCTGACTTTCGACGCCGATTTGCTGACTTTGAAGCACAAAAAAGCAGGTTGGAACTGCTCGGTAACCCATTTGCTGTTGACGTGGAAAGCTCACCACCAAACCTCCAAATGGAGTTGATTGACCTCCAATGCAATGATGCACTGAGGGCAAAATATGCGGCAGTGGGTGCTGCGGAGTTCGCCCGTTTCCTCCCCGACACAATGCCCCAGCTGCGCATCCAGGCTGCTCAAACGTTGTCTATGTTTGGCAGCACATACCTGTGTGAACAACTGTTTTCTTTGATGAACTTGAACAAAACATCACACAGAAGTCGACTTACGGCTGAACACCTCCACTCAATTCTGAGGATTTCCTCAGCTCAGAGCCTTACCCCGAACATTGATGAACTTGTGGAAAAGATGGGACACCACCAAGTATCACCCTCAACCTCAAACAAGTGAACATTACTGTGCAATCACATATTTAGAGTTTTTACTCAGTTCAAGTTTAAAAGTTAAAGTTTAATATTTGTTTTCACTGCATGTTACTTCTCCTTAAACAAAGTGTTGTTTTTGATTAATAGATTTTTGCACTTTATTTTATTGTATTTCAATCCAATTATATTTTAAAAATATTTCAGTTGAGTGGATGATAGAAAATTGCTATTGTTTTTTTCTTTGAAGTAAATTTAGCCCACTTTTGCTAAAATAGAAAATATAGGCTACTGATGGTGCCTTGAATACCGGTTTCTTTCATTTAATGTTCATGTTATGGGGATTTTTATATAAAGGAAATTTGTCTTTTGTGTCTGTTGAAAATTAAAGATTACTGACAGAGCCATAAGAAAATATTGCTTTATTTATCTGATCATATTGGAATATATTTGTTAGGTTTTCAGTAGGTTCAATTAGGTTCACTAGACTATATGCGTCATTTAAAAAATTTTCAATGAACATTCGAACAGTCCGGCCCTCGGCTTGTAGCTAAATTTTTTATTTGGCCCTCCGTCCATTTGACTTTGACACCCCTGCTCTAACAGAACGTCTCTTCTCTCCAGTTCCCTCCACTCCTGAGATCCAGGTCTCAGAGTGCCAAGTGTGCGACAACACTGTGACTGTAGTCTGGACCTTACCAGAACCAGACAGCAAGATAGACCACTACATCCTGGAGCACCGGCGCACTAACCACGAGGGTCCGCCGCGCATCAGAGAGGACTTCCCCTGGATGGTGGTGGAGGGAATACGAGAACTGGAGCTCACACTCACCGGTAGGGTGAAGGCTTGTTTTTTTGGGGGGGGTGATGTCTGAACTATGATGAGAAGCGCTCAAGAGTTGCTCATTGTTCTCAGGTCTCCGCTTTGACACACGTTACATCACGTTCAGAGTGAGAGCGTGCAACAAGGCCGTGGCAGGAGAGTTCTCCGAACCCGTCACACTAGAAACCCACGGTGAGAAAACGCTAACTAGGTGTAATTTTACTATATGTCTTTTTTTTTTCATTCATTCATTTGATTGCAAGACAAAATACATTACACTAAGAGAATAAAAAGAGATATTAAATTATATAATCAATACAAACAAAACAATAGAAATAATAAGTATAATAATAATAAGCTTTATTTAACTAGAAGTATACCAAAAATGATAATAGTAATTAGTAATTAATTAGTAACACTAATTAAGTTCTCTGGCAGTAAAGCAGAAAAAATATATTTAACCCTTTTCCATTTCCAGCCTTCACGTTCAAACTGGACGCTGCTTCATCCCACCAGAACCTAAAGGTGGAGGACTTGAGTGTGGAGTGGGATGGCAGTGGAGGAAAGATACAGGACATCCGCAAAGAGAAGACGCGAACCAACTCACCAATGCATTCTCCAGCCAGGTATAATAGCCTTTAATCTGTGGTTTAAAACCCTTCACATTAAACCACATGTGGTCGTGAACTTCCTGTCATTAAGACCTCATCTGAAAACATGGATCATTGAGTGTTTGTTATGCACTGTTGTGTCTTATCAGGTCGGCACTGATGTCACCAAAAAGAGCACCGACAGCCCGGCCTGGCAGAGACCGGTTTACAGCAGAGTCCTACACAGTGCTGGGTGAGAGTGCACACAAGCCAACAGGCAACAGGGTTGCTACAGACAGTTGTTTGTCAGACTTTGCTGCTTGAGGTTGAACCTCAGCATTGTAACTAAACCACAATTAGTTCAAACCACAATTAGTTCAAACCTGAGTAACGTTCATTTCATTTCTCAGTCGAAATCTTTGTAAATTGACAATGCATGAAATGTCTCTAGCCTTACATATTTATTTTATTTTTAATTTACATTGGTAGTCCCTTGACAAGTTATAACAAGAATAACACAATCAGAGGGTAAAAGACTTGATATAAATATATTGTGGTGAAAAGAATACACAATGCACACAATACAAAACTAAAGAGTTGCATATTAAAAGTAAGTAGTAAAAACCATACTCATTTTGCTCACTGAGAATAGTGCAGGGCAGCTTTAAAACTAATTTTTTAAACTATTTTTTGAATTGCTAATGGAGCTGCAGCTTTTCACTGCAGAAGGAAGAGTGCTTAAAGAAAGAAATGATGACAAAATGTAGTGCTGCAATTTAAAATGGTGCAGTCTCCTTCAAATGACATTCAAATGGCTGCACAGTAAGAAAAAATAACTTTTCATTTTTGATTTTCAAGGGCAAACACGCAAAAAAAATCTTTGGAGAGCTTACCTGAGGGCTATTGCACGAAACCAGGATAAGGGATTAAGCGTGGATATTCAGGTTATCCTGGATGAATTTTGCTTTGACTTGGTTGCACGAAAGCAGGTTGAATTAAACCCAGCCAAGTAACCATGCTGATTTATTCTTTGCAGCTAGCCTGTTCCAGAACAGGCTAACAGCCAGTTAAATCAGCTGCAGCCCTGATCCAAAATAAAAGTGGGGTTGACGATGGCGCATGGAGTAGAGAGGGTGTGCAGGGAAGCGCAAGGTTGGTGGTTCGAACGCTGTCTCCCCCATGTCCCATGTGGAAGTGTTTCGGGACAAGACACTATAACCCTGAATTGCTCCCTGGGCAAAATGTAAAAAGCCACGGGTTAAAAATGTAAGTTGCTTTGGATAAAAGCGTCAGCTAAATGACATGTAATATGTTTAACAGTTATCCTGTTGTCTTCTGAATGTGTTTGGATTTATTTCCATTAACAAGCATGCTGTCACAAGTTTGATTTTAAACCCTACTATTGCAGTTGTTTAGTTCAGTGGTCCCCAACCTGAACCAGGATCTCTTCCAGTCTTTAATTGTAGAAAGATATTTAGAATTAGACACAGCTTATAGATTTGTGCATATGGTTGTGAAAAACATATTCTCCCATTGTGAATAAGGGTTTGAAATTAGGCCTAGGCTTTAGGGTCATTTTACTGAGGAACATTAATTCCCTCTTTGTTGGGTTTGGTTGGTTAGTTGGGTTTGTTGGCAGTTTGGTTGATTTGGTTATTTGGGTTTGTTGGTAGTTGGTTAGTTGGTTGGCTTATTTGGTTTTGGTTAATTCGGTTAGTTCAGTTGGTTGGCTGGCTTAGAGTAGGTTTGGTTTGGTTGGGTAGTTGGGTTAGTTCCGTTGGTGGGACTTTGTTGGTTTGGTTTTGGTTAGTTGGCTTTGTTTGGTTAGTTGGTTTTGGATGGGTTAGTTGGATTATTCTGCCTTGATTAGTTGGGTTGGGGTAGGTTTGGTTTTTGGTGGTCAGTTGGATTTGCTTTGTTGGGTGTGTTGGTTAGTTGGGTTATTTTACATGACATTACATTACATGTCATTTAGCGGACGCTTTTATCCAAAGCGACGTACAATAAGTGCATTCAACCATAGGGTACAAACTCAGGAGAACAAGAAACCAGAAAGTGCAATTTCCTCAAATAAGCCAATTTACAATTTGCTATAGATGAGTGACGTTACAAGTACAATTTAAGTGCTACAATTTGTTAGTCTTTAGTCGAGGTAGAGTCTGAAGAGGTGTGTCTTTAGTTTGCGGCGGAAGATGTGAAGGCTCTCTGCGGTCCTGGTGTCTTCAGAGAGCTTTTTTTTGAGAGATTTTGCTCAGTTATTTGGGTTAGTTGGTTTTGGTGTGGTTAGTTGGTTTGGTTAGTTGATTTTGGTTAGTTGGGTTGGTTGGCTTAATTGGTCTGCCTGGCGCTTCAGGTGGTTAGGGTTCTCCTTAGAAAATGATTCATCTTGTGTCTCTTTCCAAGATGGATTTACCAATATAGAAAACCTGTATCGATACCTCTCAATCTCCAGAAAGGGTTGGCTCTTTAAGTTAGAAATACATTTTTTGGGCTTATGTGTGTTGACAGCTGACACGATGATCGACGCTGGCCAGCATTACTGGGAGGTTCGGTTTGACAAGGAGAGCAAGGCCTTTGCTGTGGGCGTGGCCCTGCGGAGCCTCGGGCGCTTCGACCAGCTGGGGAAGAGCAGCGCTTCCTGGTGCATCCACCTGAACAACTGGCTGCAGCAAAGCCTCACAGCAAAGCACAACAACAAGGCTCGGACGCTGGACTGTACCATCCCAAGCAGTATAGGGGTGTACGTCCACTATGACGAAGGTAACAACACGTGATTAGGGAATAATCACAGAGAATCACTGTGGACCATGATATATAATAATTAAAGATAAATACACACACACGAAATAACATTGAAAATGATCAGTTTCTTTTTTATTGATCTGTATTCAGGTTAGTAATTAAAACGGTAGTTTTTCAGATTTCTTAGTGCTGAAGTCAATTGTTTGGGACACAAAGTGATTCAATGTTCCATGAAGCAGTACTGAAAAAGTTTGTCTATTGCTTGATTCTAATTTTTAATTGAATTTGTGCTTCGAAACTTATTTTTAATGGAATAATGCATCACCTAAAACGTTACTAAAATCAGATCTAAACTGAACATATTTGGCTGCTGTACTGTTCTAACAGACTTCTAAATATTTTGACCGTTTCAAAAAAGTTGAATTTATTATTTTTTTAAAATACCTTCAATACATGTTACATTTAAAAATGTGTACGTCTTCATTCTCTGCAGGTGTTCTGTCTTTCTACAACTCCAAAACTAAACAACTGATGCACACCTTTAAAACCAAGTTCCAGCAGCCGGTTATACCAGCTTTCATGGTGAGAGACGTCTCATCTGAAGTCTAAAAATACCCGTTATCCAAAAAACAATGCCCCCCCTTTTCTACTGCTTGTTGATTTATCGCCCCCTGCAGGTGTGGAATGGCAGTTTTTCAGTGGTGACGGGCCTTCAGGTTCCCAGCGCAGTGCAGAGCGGACAGAGGAAAAACAGCGGCACCAGCAGCTCCAACGCCAGCCTCAACTAGAACCGGGGAGGGGGGCAACTTCATTGTATCATATCTCTGCAGCTTGGTGGCTTGGGTTCCCCCCCACCATGTTACCTAAATATTTGGGAACAAGTGAGTCACCTGACTCTTCACATTACGACACATTAGCTGTAGTCCGACTAGTTCCTCCTCTCATGTCATTTGAGACATGAGAGGAGACTTAGCGCTGGGCGCTTCCCATCCCTCTTTCCCACTCTCTTCCCCTCTTCCCTCCCTTCTGCCCTCGTTCCTTCCCTCCCTCCTCTCCTCATTCCTTCCCTCTATCGTTCCTCCCCTCCTCCCTCCTTTCTTCCCTCCTTCCTTCTCTCACTCCTTTCCTCCCTCCTTCCCTACCATAAGTGGTACCGTCAATGCACACAGCTTCATGTGCTTCTCTCCCTGTGCCTTCCTTTTCCTTTACGAACCGGTTCGTTGGCTCCAAAATGCTAATATTTCACTGGAAACAACCTTTGTGACGCTTTCTACAAGTCTGATGGATTATAACCATCCTTAGCAACATAGTGCTTTTACAGATAATAACGTGGTATTCTTTTTTTTTAATTGCATAAGAGACCTGAGGGTCATAACTCAATGCTCTCACTATTTCAATTAAAACAATGCGTCAATATAACTTGGTTGCTATACGTAGTTCAGTATTAATTATCACCAACTGAATCAGCCAGCCGACCTGTTTGGCCCAAATAACCTCCTGCCTCAACACAATGCTACTGAATAGAACGTGGTTGATCAGGATATTTTTCAACTGGACTTCAGTGATGCTCATAATAACAACACATATTAGGGATGTTGTGTTGTTTCTTGCCAAGGCATGCCGACTTAACAGTGTTAACTGCATCTGCTGACTCTGTAGTCATGGTGGTTTTCTTTGGAGTTCAATGTGACTGAAGAAAGTTAGAAGGGAGCTTCTATCAGCTTTATGTAGAGAAGTCACCAGATTATGGCTTCAGGATTTTGGAGAAGTCTGTACTGTATTCTTCATGTTCACCTGACTTCACATGGATCCTTGTTTGTATGTGTGTGTCTCTAAACCCAATAACACCCTTTATTGCAAAAGAGGAACCTGTTTATGAGTCATAGACAAAACACATAGCTGGAAAGTATTCTCTGCTAATACATTGTGTTGCACCTGGGTGATCAACTCTGAATAGCTGATGTGATGAAGTCCTTTTTGTGCACATTGTTCACGTCATTGGTTTAATATGGAAACAGTCTCCTTCTGTACGCATCTCCTGAATAACTGTAGCCTGCAATGCTTTAACGTACATTTATGGTAACTTTGTTTTTCACATGGTGACACAGGAGTCACAATAATGTAAATAATTTTAATTTCTCCACTATAATGCATCAGCCATGGAGGTAACAAGAAGTGAGAGTACTTTGTTGTTAGATTTTGGCTTCAACGATCAATAAAACAAAGTGAGAAACAAACTAGACTGTGTTTATACAAAAAGAGAAGTTTTACAGAACGTTATGAAACATGGCACTTACTACAAGTTACTTGTTCATATTTATAATTGACTTACATTTATCGCTATCTATCATAGATTTACATATGATGGGAACAAACCCAAACTAATGTCATTCTTAACCGATTCGTACAAACATCTGAAATATAATAATTGGTTCATCTTTCGTTTTTTATTTTATATTATCTTATTTTATTTATCATTGTATAAATGTTGAAACACTTTAAGCCATCTCTTTGGACCCGTAAGAAACCGGGATGGAAAGTGGTCAATTGTTTTGACCAATCAAATAATTTAGAGGAATAGCCGCAGATGAATAGATGGAGCCTTATTTCATTTCCACTTCAGTATATAGAGAGGCAGTAATTTCTTTCACAATATACATACTGTATATGTATATATATCTGCTATGTAAAGATATTTACAGGAGACAAAAGCAACACATAAAAATGGAATCTGGAAAATGCAAACCAATTAGAAAGGAATGTGCAAAATGTGCAAGAACTTCTCGGTGGAGACAACGTGGCACGGATCAGGCAGATGTTCCATGACGTTTCCAGATGGTCTCAAGATATTCACAAATAGTCCCATAAATGTACAGATGTTCAGAGACGGTCCCGGATGTTAACAGATGCTCGGCGGATTGTCATCAGGAGAGGTCACTCAACACCGGGATATTTGCCCAAACTTTAGTTTTAGCTCCGACATGGCAGCAAGCGGAACTAAAGCACATCAGAGAATAAACAATGCTATTACTGGCACAAAAATAACATTACATTGAAGAGAATAACGGGAATGAATAAGGAGGAAGACGTACTCTGTCCCTGTGGCTCTGTGACGACTCTCATCTTCTGATCCCCGTTTGTGGAGGAGGGAGATGGGAGCAGTCTGCGAGGAGCAGGAACTGGAGGCATAATTGCTTTCTTCGGAGCTTTTTTGTGAAGTTCAGTGGAAGACCAAAAATTATAGCAGGTCAGAAACAAACATTTATAGATATGTTTGTGGGATGAAGTCTTACGTTGCAGTGGAGCAGCTGATAAACTATCCATCTCTTTTTCTTTCTCTTCCACTGTTTGAATACAGATAGTAGTTAGTGATGACAAATTGAAAGAGAATGAAGTCACACTGTTTATGTTGACGTTATGTTGTTACTAGAATATAAATGTCAGGAGAATGATCAATGGAGCTTTGTGGCATCAAAGCTGTACTCACGCTGGTCATTTAGTTAAACATTCTGTTGTTCAGTTGGTTCATCGGTTAGTATTCTTGTAGCTACTGCAAAACCAAGCATGCAATTACAGTGATTATAAGCCGCTATACTAAATTCCAAACAGCTGGAGATTTATGGTCCTCGGAGGATGAATTAAACCATTTTAGATTGTCTCCTGACTTTTCCTCTAGAGTCACCAAGTTCACTGCTGTGACTTTTTAGTGAGGGGTATATAGGATGGATTGCCATAAATATTTCAAAATTCAGTCACAATCCCCACTGAATAAGTCAGAAACCTTTGGGGATCCCACTACCTCGAACCCGATGGTCTTCTAGTCTTCCGACCACTGAAAGCGCTTCAGACACAATGTCCAAATTTAGCCATTCGGATTCATACACTAGCACAGTGATTCTCCACTGGTGGGTCGCGGACCCCTTTTTAATGGGTTGCGGACCCCTTTGCCAGGGAAAATAAAAATTTGAATTAACAGCTGGCTGTTTTGTTTTTTCATTAAACTTGTTTTTGTGTTGGCATACGTATTCTGTCCCCATACTATCTCAGGTTCAAACTGCACCATATTTTCATTAAATAAATTTGAGAAGTTGAGAATGTTCCTCAATTTGGGTCACGGCTTGTCATTAAGGGGTGATGGTGGGTCCCGGAGCCAGACCAGTTGAGAACCACTGCACTAGCATGACTGAGAACAAGTTATTCTTCACCAGTGGGTCTAGAGAGATCTACAAATGGCCCCCGATCAGAGGGTTCACAGTCCAGCATCACCCAACCAGGGCAAAGTATTATGGGAAAAGGGGGGTAGTTGTGGAAGTTGTCAGTTTACTTTAGTTAATGATTCCAGTATACACAACAGATTTATTCTTTAATATATTTTTAATTTGTTTTTTAAATTAAAACTCCAGTTACTAAGTTTTGCGAAACGCTGAATTGTAGTTAAAAGGACTCACAAAGAAAACCTCCTTCAGTCTGTGATGCTCTATTGCCAATTATACTCATAGAGTAAACCAACCAGTTACTATTTACCATGAAGTATTAATGTAGTAGTTTTTAGAACATACCATTAAAAACATTTTATTTGCGAGGTTTGGGTGTTATTAATGTTATTTATATTATATTAAAAGAAACTCAGTCATTGTTAATGTGAGCTTGACTTGTTGAACAAATTCCAAGATTAGTTGTAAATGTGGAACTTCCAGATAGCTGTTAGCGTCAAGAGTCCTCAGCATTCTGCACGCACACACACGCACACGCGCACACACACACACACACACACACACACGCCTTGCTTTAGACCTGTTTGGTCAGAAGGCCTCAGAGAACAGGTGTGGCCAAAAGAGCAAACAGTGGAGGATGTTCATTGTGTGCTTTTGTTTAAGAGCGGAATGTACCTTTCTTGGGGGGGGCACTTGGTGGGCCAAGGCTTGTCAGGGCCTGCTGAAGGCTGCTCTCTCCATTTTCACAATCTTTACTAATAAAAGCTGTAAAACAATAGAGCAAGAACTTGGATGCATGTGGAAAATAAATGCACACCTTAAAGGTGACCTTAAATTGAGGAGGTTTACTACATACAGATGTTTTTTTCATACGTTTCCTCAAAGATAAGAGGAGTCAGAACTCCGTCGCTTTTCTCCACTAAATAATGGATGACATCATGAAGCGTGGCACACAGAACCTGCACAGAGGACAACTTCCCTTTAAAATCTCAAAAACAAGAAACACATGCAGGAGATGAAAAGCATGACATGCAGGTGCGTGATATGTTGTATATAAAATGTAAATATTCAATACTCACAGGATTGTCCACATCAATGAGGAAGCCCCCAGTGTGTTTGGGGGTCACCCTGTAGTGTCTAATTATAGAGCTGATGGAAAAAGAGAGACAATTAAAAGAGAAATGAAATAAACAGACAAACAGATTATAGACCGTCATCACATTTAAGAACAACTTACTTACTTAGGTAAGTAGCATAGGGAGTTCAGATAAGGTTCATATAAGGTCTGTAGCTTTTGCCATAAGAGAGGGCATTGGAAATCTGATTGCTATGCTCTTATGGAGGTACCAAGACAGAGGGTGCTACACGAAAGGCAAACAGGACTTGCATTGCATTGATTATGCCTGGGTTAGCTGCAGAGTCAGTAGAAGGTGATGGGATGCAGAATAAACCTTTGGGCCTCTAAACTTGGTTTGTTTTTGCCGTTTATGTTAGATGGTGTGGTTTCTCTTGTGGGAAGTGAAATGAAAGTTCCCATCAAGATACTACGCGATACAGCAGCTTATGACTCTTATCCAAGCTTTAGTGATATCCTTCAAAGAGGAGACCAAGGTGTTCTATTCAAGTTTTGGGAGTGGGGATAAAAGTTTTGCACACTGACATTCTTCAAGATCCTCTTCTCCCAAATGTCGTCGGAGAGCACAATCAGAGGCCGCATTAAGCTGAGATTCAAGGATACCATAAAACGCCACGTGAAAGACAGAGCTATTGCTGCGGAACATTGGTATACCCTCACCCAGGCTTAAGGCGCATGGAGAAAGATGACACATACTTCCAGCAGTCAGTCTTAATCGCATACGATGGACTTAATATGAGTGCTTGAGTGACTATCCTACTGCATTCTGATCTGTTTCAGGTAAAAACTGGAGGTTGGTGTGCTTCTTGCACTGCCACTTCATTTTGGGTAATGGGGTTGCAGGAGTCCATGTTTGAGCTGATGTTCCGCCTCTTCCTCCTCCTCCGGTGGTTTCCTCGGTTCTGCTGATAAGGAAGCAACCTGATAGAAATGAAGTGAACTTCCCAGAGATTTTCCTTGCATTTTCCTGCAGGTTGAGCAAAAGACTAATCTCTCTTTGAGAGTTTTTTTCAAGCAGGGGCTTCCCACGGAGAAGGGCAGGGTTATTTAATACACAATGTGCTGCAGGTAAGGAAATGCGTGCCTCATGGGGACAATTTCATGGGCGACCCCATCATCCAAATGTTTGACGGCCCTCTGGTTTTGAGCAGCTTGCTGTGTGTGTGTGCTTGTCCCATTGTCCTGTTTTTCAGGTCAATGGTAGCAGGAGCTCGTCAGGGCAACTGGGAGCACTAAGTCTTACAGTTGTATTTAAGACTTGTCTGCCTCCGTCCTCGCTCTCTTGGTTTTGGGGCATCCTCTTGGCTTTGTGCGCTGGCGTTTTGTCTCTTTTTGCTTTTTTGATGGAACGACAAATACACTGTACGTGCAGTCTACAATTCTGTGTTCCTCCCATTTTGGTCATGGCGCAAGAGCCAGGTCGTCACAAGATTAGACAGAAAAGTCAGATTCACTGTCATTTTACCCGATATTTTCTAAAAGCTATATTCCAATGTTCCATTACGTGATGATAGTGTGTTTTTAAATGTGAGTGTGTTTGTCTGTCTGTGTGTCTGTCAGTCTGTGCGTGTGTTTGTGTATGTCTTTCTGTGTGTGTCTCTATGTTTGTACCCCTCCAGGTGCTGTCTGGTGGTCACAGCGAAGGAGCTTCCAGCACTTCCGGGTCTCAGCAGCATGTTTCCTCTCACGGCTTCTCTCTCCAGCAGAAGCTCCGCCTCCAGCCGGGTCACGTTGTGGTAACAACTGCAGAGAAGATAATAGAGGGTTATCTGGAACCTACTAGAGACTATAAACTATACACAGATTTAAAGATGCAGGTGTCTACTGCCTCAAGACAAGGTCTGGAGTTTGGAGAAAAACATATTTTAATAGGAAAACCCAACACGACTAAGCAGAATTGATCTAATCAATTTTTCTTTCTACCAGCATGCTTCATGGAAAATACGTAACACATTGAATTCTGCTCGACTCGTTATCAATTCTACAAGTTTTAAACCAACGTAGAATTCTTAAACACTGAAAGTTTTTGGAGAACTTTGATTCAAACTTTCATTGCCTTTTCTATCAGTCACATTAGGCCAGTAAAACACATTTCTACCGTGTTGGGATGAAATGTGCTGACACACCTTCAGTTGTACTATAAAAGGCAATACTTTTACGCTAGTACTCACGCTGGCTTGTCCCCTTGCAGGCTGACTGGAGCAGCGTTGTTGGTGACAACAGGTGGGGAGGCGTTATTTATTCTTGCTTCTTCCTTTTCCACGGTCTCTTTCAGAGTCTGGATCTGGCCTGGCAGCAGGTTAATGGAGGCTGGTACTGCAAGCTGCAAAGTGATAGTCCGTGCTTCTTTAATTCATCAGAGATGTAAACTCTTTACTCTTCATAAAGGGAGATGGACGTAAAGCCCACTGACCTCGACCACGGAGCGGATATAACCCTTCCACAGCTCACGAGCCTCTAAGTTAAGAGCCTGCAGACACAATGGAGGAGAAAAAAAATGGCAAAATAAGGATTCACTGAAAGAAAAGAGGACAATTTCACATATTTTCTGCATATTTGCTCACAGTGAATCTGATATTTTCCTCTTTCAGCTGGAGATTGAATCTGGCTGCATCAAGGTTACGATCCTGGCTGCTGTCATCTGTTATGGATACAAATCCCCTGAGATCCACCTTCTCGATGTACTGAGGAAACCGACAAAGACACACAGGGTCTAGTCCAGGGGTATTCAAATAAAATGTAAAGCGGTCCACTTAGAGACAATTTCTAGAAGAAAATGTCCAGAAGATGAAAATGTAACTGCTTAGTGTGATTAAATGGGAGAAAGTTGTATCAACGTTTGCGTTTAATCAATTCACAACTAACAAATCAAATGAATTCAATACAATTCAAAAACTCTTTGACAATATTTATTGTCACGTGACAAAGAACTTAACATATACGTGTGACTGCAAATATAAATAATGTTCTCTCAATTGACTACATAAAAGTAGGGCTGTCCATTCTGGATTAAATGCTCTACTTTTACTGTCCACTTTTCTTTTTGGAGAGCGCCATTTGTTCCTAATTTTTCACTTTCTCCAGCTCACTTGTCTTTTTCTCAAATCTTTGTTTGTTTTCGCCGTTACATCTCTAATCTGTGGTCTAGTCGGTGTAGTTAATAAGCATCCAAATCTCTGAGATAACTTACCTCAGTGTTTCTCTTCTCATTGAAGAAGAACAGTGTGTTTCCACAAAGACACGTCCACAGTTTCCTAGATGTCTGCACAAAGACACATATAAACTCCTAGTCAAATGTTTGGACACACTTTCTCATTGAATTGAATGAGAAGATTTGAATTAGAAGCAGTTGAATCTGGAGTGTAAAGCTAGCTCTTATCAGTCAGGCTTTGGTAGAACCGCTCACACAGGATTCCTTGTGCCATTAACCAGTTTCCCCGGTCTGAGTCTCAACCTGAATCTTAACCTCCCAATGAGCTGAGAAGCAGTCAGACCAGTTGAAAAGACAACTACAAAATACCGCAGATATTTTGTGAGTGTCGCCTAGACTGCCTGGAAATGTCGCAATATACACATATAACTCATGCACTTATTGAAAGTCACTTTGGATAAAAGTGTCAGCTAAATGACATGTACTGTAATATAAAATCCAAACCATTGGGGTTTCTAGCCCTTTGTTTTTTACAGCATGAGAAGTGCAGATTTGTGAGCATTTTCTATACTGGTGGCAAACTAGCTAGCTAACAGCAGATCTGTGACATAACAGAGAGACAGACTGACAGAGAGGAGGGAAAACAATTGCTTCACTAATTACCTTAAGTCATCTGTGTGGTGGAAGGCTCACCCCACGCAGGCTCAACAATTTTCCCCCAACAATCTGTTCATGTCTGAGCATGAGTCAGCCATGCAGGCTAGCCAAGTGAAGGCTAGCCACAACGGTTAGCTAGCTAGCTAAAGACATGACAGATTTTCTCTGGCTGTAAATGTCAGAGGGTTTCCATAGACACATGAGTACGACCAGCACAAGCATCACTTTCGGATGAAAAGAAATAGGAAGAGTTAAAACTGTGGAAATGGTGGCAAAGCCTGAATTATTTTTTAACCAGATTCTGACGCTGCTCCACCCTCGAACAATCCAGCCCTGCCCACTTCTCCCCACATACACACTTAGTGTAAACAGACTCTCCATTTTTCACAAACGTGAACTATGATTCCAAGAAAGCCGTTGGAGGTATGCGTATGTCCTTTTTGGCAAAATAAAGGCAAGACCTTTTCCGATGTTTGAAGCTTTTAATCATTTATCTATGTTGAAGTATAGACAGTGGGGCTGCCAAATTGAATGTCTTTTCCCTTTTTGTTTTTTTGAAACTGCATTCATTCCAATGGAACTTTTGGGCTCGGTTTTGGGGGATTTGAGGGAAAAACTGTCATTTCGCTTAGAAAAGTCATACAAGACGATTCCCGATGGTCCCGACACTTTTGAGAAGTTTGAGACATGTGCGAGCAACTCTGCGGGAAGAGAAGCGTGCCAAACCTTTGTACGGAAAGATAATAATATAGTATAATAATAAGCACGTGAGATAATAAGGAGTTTGGCTTTGCTTTGCATGCCACACTCAATGAGTTAGATCACTGTTGGATGAAGTTACAGGTCAAAGTTCACAGTAGACATGTGCACGTTTCATAACAGGCTAAAAATAGCAGTAGAATAAATTAAATGAATCCCATTCATTTAGTGTGTCACATTCCAGGGAAATAGCATGAGCAACAATTGAGCATTAGATCAGCCAACGTTATTAATTACACACGTTTAAGTGTGAAAGGCTGACCTACTTCAAGCAGGGTGAAAGAAGTCCTATGCACATCACTTTAACATTGCAGTTTGCTAATCTTAATGAATCCATTAATCCAACAGTTGACAACAGTAAACTCTTTGGATTATCTTGAATAACCAGGTCATTGATTAGTCGTCATCTTCAAGACAATGAGATTAGTAAATAGCACAACACGTATAAACATGTATATCTTATAATGAGGTGAACTTTCCCCTTGGACATCTACATACCTGTCAAATATTTCATGAAGCACAATATTTACATACAACACTTCATTCTTTTTTACTTAAGTATGACCTACAATGCAGTACTGCAGAACATGTAGGAGTTGAGTATTTCACCACTGCAGATGATCCCACTGATATAGACAGAGCTTAATAAAAGAAACGAAAGTCGATCTCAGAAATTGTTGAGCATTCATTACCTTATCTTTGAAAGACCTTTTCGTCAAGTATCCCTCGTAGTAACAGGTGGGCAACTGGCTCCTTTGTCGCGCTGTTAGCTTCACCATCATCATAGTCAACACATACAATACATAAACAGCTTATGAACGGGTGAGGCTTTGTCGTGAATTGGCAGAAACCTTCTGCTGGGTTGCAGTAAAGCTCTAGTGTATGCAAGTGACGGGCGAACCTGTGCGCAGCTGACTGGTCAATGTGTGTAAAGTGGGCGGGTTCTTCTTTAGTATATTTCAGGTGACTTCAGTTATTTCAATCACTGAAACTAAACAAAGGAGAGGATTTTACCGGAACTGGTTTCCGTTCAACTGGAATCTCGCCAGGAAGTGATGTTGGATTTAGTTTGAAAGCTGATTCATAGTAGTGAATGGCTCTTATGAGGTTTATAACCTTATATATAACTAGCAGTGAGGGAAATTTAAGAAGTATGTTTACTCAATGTGGTGTACTAAATAACTAGACGAGGCACGCGTTTAACTGTTTAATAAATAATGTCAGGATACAACACACGAGGCTCGGCATGAGGGCATTATCCATCTTTTTACTTCCCCAGACATGCGCAAAATACCACTAGCAAGTCTTCAGGACAAACCTAATGCACATATTAAATAGTACTAAATACACCACACTCAAGTACAGTACTGAGTAATTTAGTTCTCTTACATCACTTTATCTTGGAAATATTGTGCTTCTCATGCCACTACATTTCACTAATGACTTTCGTACTGTTGCATGTGTAAATTATAGATCAATAAATATGTTGTATATAGTATGCTAACAGAAAAACTATGGTAGTAGGTACATGAGATTTAAATAGAATGAAAATTTAACATTATTTAACATTAGCATCCATTCAAAAATCATAATTTATTTACTGAATAATCAATACAATCTAAGTGTAAGTTCATAAACTGAAGTGCGTGCTTCATCCTAATAACACTAATTGGGTCTGTTCCCCCTTGGTTGAATGCACATTGGATAAAAGCATTACGTAAATGCAACGTGATAGAAAAATGTATATGTGGCTCCATCTGCTGGAAGAATTTGTTTTTGTAGCGACACGGGGCGTGATGTATGGGTGAGGGCATTTTAAATATTGTAATGTTGCCAGACAACGCCACCCAGGGAATTGTTTCAATTTTTTTTTTGTAGAACGAGAGCATGAGAGAGGAGCTCGGTGTGTCCTAAGAAGTCCCCCAGCAGTCTAAGCCTATAGCAGCTTAACAAAGGGCCGGTCCGGGCTAACCTGAGCCAGCTAACTATAGGCAGAATGAAAGAGGAAAGGTTTAAGTTTTACTTTAAAAGAGCTGACAGAATCTGCCCCCTGGACTGAAAGTGGAACCTGGTTCCACAAAAGAGGAGCTTGATAACTGAAGGCTCTGGCCCCCAGCCTACTTTTTAAAACCATAGGAACAACAAGTAACCCCATCAATGGAGCGCAGCTGCCTTGTAGGGCAATAAGGTGTTACAAGCTCTTTAAGATACGACGGTGCCTCACCAGCAAGTGCCTTTCTAGGTGAGGAGAAGTACCTTAAAATCTATTCTTGATTTAACAGGGAGCCAGTGCAGAGAAGTTAATACAGGAGTGATATGATCCCTTTTCTTAGTTCTTGTTAATATACGTGCTGCAGCATTCTGAATCAACTGGAGAGGCTTAAGAGATTTACAAGAGCAGCCTGATAACAAAGAATTACAGTAGTCCAGTCTGGAAATGACAAACGCGTGAACTCATTTTTCTGCATCAACTGTATCAAGTGTAGCATATAATGGACTAAACTACAGGTGTGTGACGATTTTGATCTATGGCTTACTAGGTGCATGGCCAGAGTTTGTAAATCTAAATGGTCATGCTGCAAGACAAGTTCATCTTCTTCGTTGTGAAGAAGTTTAGTCTGTACGATTATGAATTAATAATTAATTTGAATAATAAATCATCTTTTTGAATGTGTAGCCAGTGAAGAAATGTCCTTCCTGAGCCACTGTAGGTTCAGGCAGGCCTTGGTACCTCCCATTTCCTGGTTCACCAATTAGACAGGGTATAAACGCTGCACATTATGAAGCTGCTGTCAGTATGCTTGTTGCTTTCAGAGTTGGAGTCTGGCAGGAGACTCTAGTGAGCTGGTAGGTGTTTTTATTCTCAGTTCTTAGGAAAATTATTTGGCCATTGGTGATCCTTCCGGTTTGTCTTCCAGCTCGTCAGGAAAGCCTGCAAGTGTGAGCTGGCCCAAGTGGAGGAGGCTCAAAGTCCAAAGGCTGGGATTGGAAGTCACTGCTTTTTTTTTCTTCATTCTGTTTGTCTTTATTTGGTAGTATTAGGTAGATTACTTTGCTATCCAGGGGATTACTTTTTGTTCAATTTGATTTATTGGTTCTTTTTTTTTTTTTTTAGGTGCTTGAGGCTCAACTGCGTGGCTGCCCAGATGGTGGTGAGTCTGGTGACTAGGCCTCACCGGCTTTGATGCTCTACACACAAACTATACAAATCAAAATATATGCTATTACTGAAGAAATATGTAAGAAAGAATACCAACAAACTGAGAATATGCGAAGAAGCACTGTTCCCCCATTACCTGCTGCAGCCTAGTCACCAGTAGCACTCAATTTGTTTGAAGCCCATTCGGTGACTTCAGTCAACTGTTTATCCGTGGGTTTTTAAAATAATGACATTTTGAGTAAATTATCCACCCTGTGCCCCTGGTGGTTACAAACGTCCTACAATTAATCAACTTCTCATGATTTAATATACACACTACGCCTTCGCTAAAAGTAACGCCTTCAAATGCAGCAGCTCTACAACTATTTCTCCAGTGAAGTAAACAGCCCACATAAAAATTGGCCAATGGTACTCCTAGAGGGGATTTCCTCACATCTTTAACTTTACCAATTGCTTGTGGTCTCTTCTCAGACTGCTATGGCTGGTTCGACACCTGTAGAATCAAGGTGATTTTTGGCACGCAACATGGAAAAACTGACTTCCAAATGTCATACCAAAGTCACTAGATTATTGTCCCAGCAAGATAAGGACAAGGTTAATGGAATGCAATACATGGATCAAGAGGCAGTTCCTTTTTTAATCTAAATTCTGCCACTGAATTTCAGCGGCTGGGGAAAATTTAAGATGCCAAACAAGTAAGTGGATGTGTTACATTTTTGACCTTCCTTTTTGAGGAAGTGTCCATGAGAACTAAAATGAGTAACCATTCACTCAATTGTTGCATATTTAATTTTTGTTGAATAATGTCTTGTCATTTACTAATTTCAGTTTGTTCAATATGCGTTGGAAAACTTGATGGAGACCATGGAGTACAAACAAAGGTATGACTGACTTGTGTTAACTACACTACCATAGACTCCTATCTCTAACTGCAAGCTTTTGTAAACGTTTTGAATTGCTTATGATGATGGTGACATTTATTTAGTGTAAATGGTTTGAATTGTATGCGTACCTTGTAAATACAATGTATGTAGTAACAGTAAGAACTGCTTTTAAAATAGTATTTGAAATTTTTTTGTCTTCACTGAAAGTGAGTTTATTTGCATATTATATCACAAATGGGGGTTTTGCTAAAGATGTTTATTCATTTGAATAAATGGTTGTTGTTTTTTTCTCCTGCAAAAATGCTTTAAAGTTTGAGCTGGACATAAAGAATTGACAGTGGATTAATATGTCAATGTATTCTGGAATCTGACACTCGACTGAAATTGCTGTTATGGGCGGTCGACTTCAAATGACAGAACCGTACAGGTCGAAGGAGGCTTATGGATAAAGAAGGGCGAGGCCTGTGCTCTTCAAGCAGGTATTGTTTTTGTAATCCTTGTCGTGGCTCTGCTAAAATGTCGAACAGTATTAAATGCCAGTATTTCTGTCTGCTTCAAATATGTAGAAGTCTCTCTTGCAGAACTATTTGGACCCTTAATTTGCCGTTGGCCAATGTTTTAAGAATGCGTTAATTTGTAAATGTTAGCCTGTGTGCGCAAGAAGATGCTAACTTGTCAAATTTTTCTGAATGAGTTTCTAAAGTAGTGTTGTGATTTCACACAGGACGGTCCAGATAAGAAAACGGGCTCCTGCCTTGAGGATCCTCGGAAGTGTTTAAGCGTTTTCAGCGTCCCGTAAAAGTGGAAATAAGCAGCCATCTTGAGTATTTGACGGAACGTCAAGACATTTTTTTATTTTACAGTGGTTTTTTATATGTTCACTGGTACCGGTGGCTGCCCGCATCCAGTTCAAAACATTGGTGCTCACGTACCATGCTATGATTGAATCGGGTCCAGCTTACATCCAGGACATGGTCAAACCCGACATCCCGACCCGCACTCTCCGCTCTGCATCCGCAAAACTGTTTGTCCCTCCCTCACTGAGAGCAAAACACACTACTAGATCACGAATCTTTGCTGTCCTGCTCTTAAATGTTGGAGCGAGCTCTCTGATGACGCCAGGACCGCAGAGTGCCTTCGCATCTTCCATCGCAAACTAAAGACTCACCTCTTCAGACTCTACCTCGACTAAAAGACTAACAATTCGTAGCACTTAAATTGTACTTAACGCCACGTATCTATAGCATATTGTAAATTTGCTTGTTTGAGGAAATTGCAGTTTCTTGCTCTGAGTTTGTATTCCTAAGGTTGAATGCACTTATTGTAAGTCGCTTTGGATAAAAGCGTCCGCTAAATGATATGTAATGTAATTGAATCTTCTAATATGTAGTTGTATGTCCTGAACTATGCCACTCTCTTTAGCTGCTT